AGTTGGGAGTGCGGATAGGAAATCTCGCTGAGATTTTGGAAAAGAGAAAAGAACAAGCTTGAAAGCGTGGCTAGTCCGATTGTTTGCTAAGAAGGTTGTGATGCCTCTTCGTCCGATTAATACTCAGCTTGAAAATAGTGAGAGTGGAGGCATAGTTTATGGCGGCTAAGAGGTATGCTAGGAAAGAAGACAGGTCAGGTAACAATTTGGGTTGCGAATGGGTGATAGATATCGCAGCAAATCCATTAATCACCATGCCATACCGACAGACACGCACGCCAGCAGAACAGCAGGGGCAGGAGATTTCTACGCCCTTTGATATAAAATAAGTTCAATACAAAACGCGAGTTGTGGCGGGGGCCGCCTCGGGGGAGTCGACACAACCCAGAGAAAGTGAGAAGGTGAGAAGCAGCAGCTGTTTGTTGACTATTGCACTCATCTCTTTACTCATAATGCCTCAAATTTTCAGCCCATTTTGAGGTTGGTACGTAGTACAATAAGAGATGAAGATAATTGCATGTTGACATCTCCCATCTCGCTCGAAGAAGCACAGGAAGTAGTTTTTCAAATGGGTCCTGATAAAGCGCCCGGCCCGGATGGTTTGAACCCTGCCTTCTATCAGAAATTTTGGCCTTTACTTGGTGGGGATTTGGTAATTGCCTGTAACCATTGGCTACAACAAGGTATTTTCCCGAACTCTCTAAACGATACCTTACTTGTTTTGATCCCCAAGAAAGATAGACATCCCTTTACTTGTTTTTATCCTCCAAGAAAGATGACCAGAATTTTGTCATTTTTCGTGAGAGATTTTTAGACTACTTTGTAACGAGGCAGGACACTGGCACCCCCCAACTTGCCTGGTCCACCGCTGATCTACCCCCAAGATTGCTGTACCCTACCAATCCTTACCCGAACTCCCGTTCTTAAATCGCCCTCGCTCGTTCACACCACATCTTCATCCTCCCCTTGCTACCTCAGCTATGCTCTTTTTACTGGGCAACCGCGCGCCTTATCACTGATAAGCTATCTCTACTTACATCGCTTCTCGAAATGACAATGCCTCAATCTCCCTAAGAAGCGCCAATACACAGGTCAGATGCTGCGCCAATCTGGGCGATGAATTGATATCACGTACCAGCCTATGACAGAGTTTGGGTTGGGACGTACTCGTTTGGCCATGACTTGCAGTAAAGAATCGGCGTTCTGTGCTGTCGTGGGTAAAAGTTTTGCTGAACGACTGTGTAGACTTCTGTTAACATATTCAACCTCCTAATATGTTAATCCGCGGAATACTGTCCCGGACATCCTCAATTGTTCCCCGGCAGACGGTTTACGGCAACGGGATCCCTATACCATCACCCTAGCTTATTTTTGGTATGTGAAGAAGGTTTGGTCACACGTCGCCGCTCGTCTCTCTCAGAACGGGACCAGGGGTGGTAAGCATTCCCGATGGGGTCAAACGCTTGGCTCCCGCCCGACGGTCGCCCACAAATCTCCCATTTATTTTTTGCAGAGTCGACTCACTTTTCTTCTTCAAAGCATCTCCGCCCATCGATTGAAGCCACACTAACTGTTCACCGCGGCGCACTGCTATAGCTACATACCTGAGACAGCGCTTCCACTGGTCCACACCGCCCCCTCGGAATTATTTTCAAAAGTCCGGCCATTATCGTTTCAGCTTTACCCCCATACCCTACCCACCTCGCACTGCTGAAACCGCTCGGTTATTCACCAATATTCTGGGGTGTTTTACCCCTTTGAGGTGGGTCTTCACCTGCGGTTTACCTTCTCTGATAGGACAGGACAACTAAAAGGACAGTCTTGGGTTTCCCACTAAAAGAAGAATGCTGGAAGCAAAATAAATAGCTGCGTCTACGATCGTTCTTTTCCTTTCCAAAACGCCAGGCGACGAGATTCTCTCTTAAATCGGTGATTCCAAGCACTGCCGGTTCACTTTGTATGAGTGTCCTTTGAACACCTGGCTATACGTCATCTCGTCTCACCCTGCACTGGAAAACCATGATCATGTCACCTTCTTGTGCGTCGCGTCTTCCGACCAGTTAGTGAGAAGAACTCCCATGGTTAGCCTTGGAATCAGAAATGTGTGGAAGTACAAAAACGATGGCGGGACATGGGTTACTTAGGACGGAAAAATCTTCAAATTGTTTCAATATACGCTATGTTAAGCCCGAAATAAAGGGTGGCGTCTTCTGACTTCGCCGTTATCTCTCTTTAAATAGAGGTTTTCACATCCACTACCCACATCATTCTCCGTGAACGGGAGGTCTCGCCATTGAAGTGCCACAAACGGGTCCAATCGCACCACTAGCTTTGTAGTCCTGGAGGGGGATATAAGGATGTCTTCTAAACTATCGATTCCTTGAAAACAGGAGAGTGTTAGGTGGAGGGTGCGATGGATAGGCAGTAATTCTGTGTGGAAGAGACCCTTGTTACCCATTGATTGCTGTTGTGAAGGACCCTTGGTTACCCATTGCTGGAGTCTTTTATGTGGAGGATGGTAGTCTCTTTATTGATAATAATCTCCTGGTGACAGATCTTTTGGTGGAGGGGGAGAGAAAATGGGATGTGGCAAAGATTATTAATTAATCTTTTTTCTTTGAGAGATATCCATACTATTCTTGATATTCCCCTTAGTGTAAGAGATGTGGAGGATGAGCTGATTTGGCATTATGATAAGAGGGGTAATTTTAGTGTTAAATCATGTTACTATCTTGCCTTAAGGGTGTTGGGAAGGGGTGATGAACGTATAGAAGGTGAGGGGTGGGGGAGTATCTAGAAGTTGAATGTTGCACCAAAAGTTAGAGATTTCATTTGGAGAACTATGCGTAACTTATTGCCTACTCGACGGAGATTGAGCAGAAGGGGTGTGAATGTGGACACTATATGCCCTTATTGTGATTTGGAGGAGGATGTTGATCATGCATTATTATTGTGCACGTGTTGGAGGTTTGGAAGGTGTTGGAGGTTTGGAAGGTGTGTAGGGTGGAGGAAGCTTCTACTAACCTTTCTTTTAAAACTCTTTATCTGCAGGTTTTGAAGCAAAATAATACCGACAAGTTAGCTTTTATCTCTTATGTAAATAATACCGAAAAGTTAGCCTTTCTCTCTTATGTCGCATGGAGTGTGTGGGATGCTAGGAACAAATTTCTTTGGCAACAAATGGCTTGGACTCCTTTGAATGTTAGTGCTACAGCTTCTATTCTTTTTCAAGAATTCAAGAATGCCTTGGTAAAGCCGCAAATGCCTCAGGTACAAATTTTGCAAGTAACACCTGCTATTACCGATCTGGGAGAGTGGACTTGCCATGTGGATGCTGCTATTTTCTCTAATATACGATCGGCGGGTATAGGGGCTGTTTTTGAAGACAATGAAGGTTATTTTTCGCGCGCTGGTTCCAGCTTATATGAAGGTCAGCCATCTCCACTCATGGAGGAAGGTTTGGCTCTGCGCTTCACTTTACAATTCATAGCTCGGCATATTCATGGTGCGGGTACTATTCTAATAGATTCTCAAAGTATTTTTAATGCTCTTTCATCAAAGATTAGAGATATGAGTGAGTTGGGTATTGTTATTTCTGATTGCATTTTGTTATTAACCTCCATTCCATTAGTCAAGGTTCGTTGGATTAGAAGACACGATAATATAGGTGCTTATTGCTTAGCTAGAGCGTCCTATCGTTTTAATCGTGTTCATATTTGGGATTCAGTGCCCGAATGGAGCGTCCAAATTCGTTTTAATTTGTGTTCATATTTTGGGATTCAGTCATATTTGGGATTCAGTGCCCGAATGTTTGATGGATTACTTTTCCTTGAGATAATTAATGATAATTCTTCTCTTTCAAAAAAAAAAAAAAATTTAAAGTAAGGAAAAATATAAATTTTTTTCTAAATTATAGTTAAATTAATATTATATTTTTAAAAATTAAGTATGAAGTTTTTAAATTATGATTTTATTAATACTTTGATCCTTCCGATTTTTATCCTAAATAATTTTTTTAATTGTCAATTGAATAAAAAAAAAAAGATGAAATCTAACTTTACATATAAAAGGATTTTAAGATGAAAAAGTAAAAAATTTGTCCTAAATTATAGTTAAAATGAGGAGCCTATGTTTTTAAAAAATAAAATAAACATAAGTCGCTAATTATGGTTCAATTAATATTTTGGATCTTCCACTTTTTTTTTTTTTTTTTTTGATGGTTTCTTCGCCGTCCTAAAATAAAATTATTTTAGAGTGTTTTTTTTTTAAATCACCGGTATACAGGTCCTATCTTTTTTTTTTTTTTTTTTGAATGGTTCTTCCCGTCCTAAAATAAAAATTATTTTAGAGTGTTTTTTTTTTAAATCACCGGTATACAGGTCCTATAATTAGGAACAGCCTAATTCAGAAATCGTCTAATTTGGTTCGAGATTTAGTCATAGTTAAGGCTTTTTGTCCCTCCTTATATGTGTATTTAGTGGAAATTAAATTCGAGAGCTCTTTTCATACGCTCAACTTGCTTCATCAACTGAGTCACAATCCGTAGATTTGTTTTAGAATATTTTATAGACTAACAAATAATTTTTTTAATTTACTCTTATTTACATTTAATATAAGAACTATTTTTATAAATTACTATTAATTTTAAAATTAAAAATAATTTAATTAAATTAATATTAATTTTATTATAATTTAAAGAAATTACTTATTTTTTAATTATCGTGAAAGAACCCTAAACTAATTATATTTTGAAATGAATTATATTTTGAAACGAATTGTATTTTGAAACGAAAAAAGAACCATTTTAATAATAAGAAATTAAACATAAGACATTTTTAAAAATATTTTAACATTGAATTCAACTAGGTTAGGAAATCATTGACCTTAAAAAATACTAATAATAATAAAAAAATAGGTAAACAATAATAAAATATTAAAAGAAAAAACTAATTTAAATTAAAAAAAAGGAATGTAATTATCAACTAGCAAATAATAAGGCAAACAAAACCAGTACAAAGCAACTTCTATTTTCCGTTCAGCTTCACCACGAGCTTCAATGGCTAACCAATGAAAGGAGTAGTTTTACTGTCATTTTCCTTCATTATCACTCTTCTTGTCTGCTTTTTTAAAAACCTAATCCCTCTTTTTCTTCTTATAATTGCACTCATAATTGACTGTCCACTGTGTCACTCTTCTTGTCCTCTTCTTCTCCATTCCTCTCCTCGATCTTCTAATGGCAGATCTCAAACCCAAATCTGAGATTTCATTCTCTGAAGTCTTCATTTGCAGCGCATTTGCTGCTTGTTTTGCCGAGGTATTCTCTCTTCTTCATTTTTAGATTTTTCTTAATGATGGTATATTGGAATTTTAATAATGAGATGTAAGTTGTTTAGGAGTTTTATTTATACTGTATGGTAGCAGCTTCATTTTAATATCTGTGTTTTTGATGGCTTAAGAGTCTGCTCCCAAACACTGTAAAATGCACATTGGGGAATTGAATGAAAGCTAAACATGACATTTTGATAGCTTACTGTGCTATATCCGAGCTGATTGGCTTTGGTGTAACTGCGTAAGTAGAATGAGCCAATGAGGTCAATTTGTGTTAATTGTGTTGTACATTTAAGTGGATTGAAGTTAATTTGGTAAAAATTGGATGGTTTAAGAGGATTTTAGGTCAAATGGAGTTGATTATGTTGTTAAGTTGATTGAAGATTATTTGGGGAAAGCGGAGGGTAGGATTAATTAATTAATTTTTTTTGTTTCATTTTAATATTTAACAGTCTCATCCTTTTCTTACCGTGATTTTAGCTTTAATTAACTAGTTTCTGTAGTTTCAGGCTTAGTGAATATGAATTTAACATATTTACCATGAACTTGAACAAAGGCTTTGTAGATTTGGAAACTTGGTTGCAGATAATGTAAGCATTACAGTCTCAAAAATCTGACTACTTAGTGAGCTGCATTGTAGTCTGAGTTATGAGATTAACAATCTTATAACTCATTTTAGGGTTTTTTTTTTTTGGTAATATAACCACCTGTATACGAAAGGCCATTGGACTCTGACTACGTCCGGTTCGAGTACTGCAGGGCTCATATAAGGGGCGACTCTCCCAGCGTGGCAATTCCATACCCAAGACTCGAACTCGAGACCTTTGGTTAAGGGAGAAGGCGTCCCAACCACTCCATCCCAGCTAACGTTGGTCATTTTAGGTTTTAATTGCTAGTATAGTTCCAATTAATTATATTATGATCAATTGTTTTGCTTTTTTTGTCCTTTCAATCACATCTTGTTTGCTATTGTTACATTTATATATATATATATATATTGCATTAAAATTGCCTACAATGCAACAGCATTAGAATTACTAATTGTTATGCTCCTGGGTTTTACAGTTCTGTACCATTCCTCTAGACACTGCCAAAGTTAGACTTCAGCTCCAACGGAAAGCTTCCACTGGGGATGGAGCTGCTCCTACATATAGGGGTTTATTGGGTACTGTGGTTACTATTGCTGGGGAAGAAGGTTTAGCAGCACTTTGGAAAGGCATCACTGCAGGGTTGCATCGTCAGTTTATTTATGGAGGTTTAAGGATTGGATTATACGAACCTGTATGTCTTTGATATTTTCCATCCATGGATGTGATTAATCGTTGATAGGCATTGACATCTTTGCACCAATCGGATGTTGAACAGGTCAAAACATTCTTGGTTGGCACTGATTTTATTGGGGATATTCCTTTATACCAGAAGATTCTTGCAGCTCTGATAACAGGTGGGTGCATTTGGCAAAGGTCTGACTGTCCTGAATTGTGTATTAGTCAATGATCACCACTTCCTAACCATTTGTGTCATTAAGTGGATATTAGAAACTTATCTTGTCAAACTTATTGGAAGACATTCACTCTGAACAGGTGCAGTAGCAATTGCAGTTGCTAATCCAACTGACCTTGTTAAAGTTCGGCTTCAAGCTGAAGGAAAATTGCCAACAGGGGTGCCTAGGCGATATGCGGGAGCCTTAGATGCTTATTTAACTATAGCAAGACAGGTTAGTTTCCTATAATGCTTTTACCATTTACTTTTTAGTTATTTAATATATTATGATATTACTCTTTTAAATTAGGAAGGACTAGGGGCATTATGGACAGGACTTGGGCCTAACATAGCACGAAATGCAATTATAAATGCTGCTGAACTAGCAAGTTATGATCAAGTGAAACAGGTAAACCCTAGAACTTAGTTTTGAATTGAACTCACTAATTTCTTCCCTTATTCATCATTCAAAGGGCCAGTGGCTACACAATTGTTCAATGATATCCTAATCTCAGTACACTTATGCAGACAATTTTGCAAATTCCAGGGTTCATGGACAATGTTTTTACTCATCTCCTAGCTGGTCTCGGTGCAGGTTTTTTTGCAGTCTGTATTGGTTCTCCTATTGATGTGGTAAGTATCCTTTTGTCCACGTGCTTGCACTTTAGGCACACTAGTTTGCAGCTCAAGAAAGATGATATCACCATGATCTTCATTGCATATAGCCATTAGTTCTATGTTTCTGTTGGCTTTTCTACTTTTTCTGTTAGAGCATTCCTAAAAACAAGTCTATTGAATGTGTAATGTCGCAGAAATCACTGAAAGTAAGTAAGCTGGTTATATATTTTGCTATTGTGGCAATTGAGTTTATTGAGTACTCAAAAGTTACCACTGACATCTATTTGACATATAGCTTAATCTATAAAATTCACCACAAAAATGACTCTGGTTGTGACAATAGGAGATTGTGTTACATAATAACTTTGTATCATGTTTATCATATTTTGCAATTCTATTTGCTATTAATGCGCATTGGTAAGCTATTTAGTCAATGCTGGATTGGATGCTGTGCATTTTGTGTTCCAGGTAAAATCTAGAATGATGGGAGACTCATCATACAAAAGCACTCTTGACTGTTTTATCAAGACACTGAAGAATGAGGTAACAGTGACAGTTTAACTTCCTCAACTTTTCTTGAGTTCCTTCCTGGTTCTGTGCCATGCTAACATGACATTCCACTAATTTCAATAGCAATGAAACATTCAAAATGGAAACTTCTTAATTTTATAAATTTTTAGGATTACCAGAAACTGTATGGCAAGTGGTTTAACCTACATTATTATTACAAGTTATTACCAGAATAAAGCTCATATCAGAATATACTATCATGTTATCATATTATGTCACAGAAACCATTGCCTTGACCATATTGGTGCTGATTTGTGGAAGCTATGCACTGCAGGGGGTTTTTGCCTTTTACAAGGGCTTCCTTCCAAATTTTGGTCGGCTGGGATCTTGGAATGTTATTATGTTTTTGACTCTTGAGCAGGTAAATTTGCAAAATATGTTCTTTCACTTTCAGTAATTTCTTTTTTTTTTTTTTCTTCTAAATGCAAGTTCTGATGCAGTTGCTTCATTCCTCCTCTTGTTCATTGGTTCAAATTTTGTTGTTGTATTGCACATTCATTGTGGTGAAAGTTCCTGGCTTGCCAAAAGATAAAAAATGTCTAGATTGCAAAAAAAAAAAAAAAAAAAAAAAAAAAAAAAAAAAAATCCTCTCTTGTTCACTTGGTTTCAAATTTTGTTGTTTGTATTGCACACATCATTGTGCGTGAAAGTTCCTGGCTTGCCAAAAGATATAAAAATGTCATTATATTGCACAAAAAAAAAAAAAAAAAAAAAAAAAAAAAAAAAATTCATTGTGTAGGAACTGCTTGCTTAGGTCATTTGACCTTAGAATGGATATAAACTTAAATTCTGATTCCTTCAAAAAAAAAAAAAAAAAAAAAAAAAAAAAAAAAAAAAATCATTTGTGTAGGAAACTGCTTTGCTTAGGTCATTGTACCTTAGAATGGATATACTAAATTCTGATTCCTTCAGAAAAGCCAAAGCTAGAGTTCATTGAGGATTTAACAATTCAACTAAGTGGTATGTCAATATGACGATCTAAGCTTACATTAATTCACTTGTGTGTCAGGGAAGCAATTTGCTCCACAGACTGTTTTATGTTTTTGGAGGAGAAAATATTATAGCTAAATCTTTTCTTTGTCCATTACATGGGAAATCAAAGATAAATCAAAGGTTTAACGTTTAAGTAGCTGTAATACAATGATGATGTTAGCTTAATTTCACTTGTGTCAGGCATGTGTTCTGTTCCACTCGCCGTATTTTCTTTTGCACTTGAAAAAGCTCTATTACTACATCGTTTTTCTATATTTACTGCACAGGAAAAGGCTCATTGTTATTTACTTGGTTATCGCAGGTGAAGAAAATATTCACAAGGGAAGTATACTATGACTGATGATGAGTTTTAGCAAGCAAGAAAGAAGATAAGACATCTTATTTGGTATTTTCTCTTCAACATTGGATATTTTTCTCCATAAAAAATAAGATTCCCTCTGGTCATATTCTTTTCCACTTGGTTATTGTGAGAAACTTCTTCATATAATAGACAACACAAGCTAGATTTAGTTGAAGACGTCTATCCATGTGATCACAAGTTTTTTTCTTCCTATCCAATCTGAAATGTATTTCAAATGCCCCATTCAATCTGAAAGTGACACTACATCTCCATTTTATTTCAAATGATTTAAACCCTATGCTTCTATGGCTATATAAACCAAATACCTTGCATTCTTGTAATATTATAACTGTAATTTTGTATAGAGCTCAGTTCATTCTGTCAACTGATGTTTCACGATTTTCTGTTGGTATGTGCTTATTACTGTTGTATGCTTAATTCCTACAGCAAGTTCCCATTTTATTTCAAACTTAACAAATACAGATTTGTAAATGAATTTTATAAGGGTAAAATATAAGTGGGTTCCTAAATTATATTTAAATTAATACTTAAATTCTTTTATATTTAAGAAATAACTATGACATCCATAATTTATAGTTTATTTCACTGTAGTGTCCTTTCATTCAAAGAGTGATCTTTTTCCGTCTAAAAAATGAGCATATTCATCCAAAAAGTGTCGAATTAATGGTAAGGAACTCACTTTTTGGATGGAATTAACGGTAAAAAATTCACTTTTTAAACGGAAAGATCTAATAATGAGACGGAAACATAAGTCAAGAACATACTTATTTCTCAAATGTAGGATTTAAGAGTTAATTTCACATTTTACCCATTTTATAAAACCGTGCAAGTTCTAAAATGCAAATAAATTTTACAGCACCATCATTAACAGCTTAAACTTCAAAACTTTGTAACACAAACTCCCCATAACATTATTGGAACTCATATTACATCCCATACAACACAACTTGACATCACTATCCTATGATTCCTAATAACATTGGGTAAACTACTTCTCTCCTTGATTCACTTCCAAGCTTTCTTGAGAGAAGAAAAGTCGATCTAAACAAGCAGTCCATTACACTCTAGAGCACATAAAATTACACTTGTCAACCCAAAAACTGAAAAACAAGTCATGTCCTAGCCACTAAATAAACTCTAGCCCTGATAACTAATCCACTTCCAAGCTTGAACCCAGGACTCACTGGAAACCCAACAATATGACCGGCTGGAATTCTGCCGCCGGAGAATTTCACCACACTTTCCATGTATTGTGGATGAAACGCAGCTCCTCTACTTGCCTCAAATTGACTTGGTGCTGGATCAAGTGAAAATGCTAGCAAATGAAGTAACCAAATAGTTTTAGCCAACCCCAAGAACTCACCGTAAAACTGACTTCTTGGATGGCTACCAGCCAATACTTGTTGCCTTTGCTCCAAATTTCCAAACAAAGACTCCTCCATTTTTGGATGAACAATAGCCACGTATTTCTTGAAACAGAATTTACCAAAATGGCACGTTGGCAATATTCCAAGAAGCTCAACTGGGTCCATACCTTTCATGTCTCTGTACTGAGCAAAACAGTCGCGGCGAAACTGGTCCGGATTGAGAAGGGAAGAAAGACTACCATCCATGTAGAAAGTCTCATGATCAAAACCCTGAAATATTTTTCTAGAAATGTAAGACTCTACTGCATACTTGGCATGGTGAGTTACAATGGTGGAGGCAATAGTGGTGGTGTTAGTGATAATGCAATTATCAGTGGAGGCAGTAGCTGCTTCAATGGAGCGAACAGCGGCTGCAATATCCCAATGGGCAGCTCGCATTAAAGACAATAAAAGCGATGTGAAGGATTTTGAGGTTTCTTTAACTTGGTTCATCGTTGCTTCAAAAAGATCTGGTGCTGGAGATGCTGCAACTGTTACTGGCAAATGAAATTAAAGTTGTAACCTTTGTATGATTAGCAACGAATGGATTCTGATTCATGTCTGTAATAGTAATTTTGCATTATGGAGCTATATTCATGGAAGGAAGTCAAATGAATTTACCTTGAGCTGCTTGACTACTGCAACTGACTTTCCTCTTTGATTGAGACCTTCCTTTCTTTCCATTGCTATTAGTACTAAGATTTTTTATCTTCTCCTTCAAATTCTCCACTTCCACTTCTCTTGTCTTCACCTCCCTCTTCAACTCCTCCACCGCCGCCTCATACGGCGCCACCACCTCTCTCAGCATCCCCATCCCTTCTCCGTTGCCGCCAATTCTCTTTCTTCCTCCATGACCAGCAATGCTAACACTCCTCCTAAACCTCTCTCTCAAAATCCCCAGCCTCCTCAGCTCCGCCACCACCGCCACATCCGCCACTCTCATCCTATCCGGATCCCATGGACAATGCGCCTCTTGTAAACTTGCGTAAGCTCTCTTCATTGCCGAAACTGAATCGAAAACCTCATTCATTAGCATCTCCATCTCTATCACTCTCTCAATAGCTCCCATTCCTCCTTTACTCTTCTTCTCCTGATCCCAACCTTTCACTCTTCCTTTCTTTTCTCCCATTTCGACCGACTCCGTCTCCCCCTCGTCTTCCTCCTCCTCTTCCTCCAAATCCTCCTGTTCATCAGTCTCGTACTCGTAAATTTGTCGTTCATCGCCAGTCACATTACCGGAATCTTGTCTTCCGGCGGCAAGTGGATGAAGCAAACAAGAAGCCGCCACTCGTTGAATCAGGTCGGAGAAATTCGATACCTTGTTCGCCATTTCTCCTTTCTTTTTTGCCTGGAATTGAGACCTGGAAATATGATCTGATCGGAGAGTGAACCTTGACGGCTTGGCAACCACCGGATCTCTGTTGTATGGAAGAGAGAAAAACAAGCCAGCGTCGTTAGCTTCTGTCTCGAAGTCGTCAGTCTGCTTCTGTAAGTTTTCTCGCTTCTTCTTCGCCCTGCAAAACCGGTATTAGTTACGTAAAGGCAGTATTCCGTTCACCAGTAATTGCAGGACACAGTGAAAGAGTCGGTATTTGCGTTAAAAGGAAGAGAGACGAAGAGAGGGTTTTGTTAAAGTGTGTGAACGAGTAGAGGAATATCTGTGTGGATTCTGGCGAGTGCTCTAGATGGAAACTCGCTATCTGAATCATGGAATATACAAGTCTGCAAATGAGTGTTGTTATTACGAAAATGCCACCCATCATTATAATAATAGAAACTGCATCTTCTTTTGATTGGGATGAATTATCCTATGCAGTTAATGCTTGTCACGTGCATGGGAGATGGTGTCAACTTCATACTTTTAAATTCACATTTTACAATGTATTTCGGGAAATTTGATTTTGGACCACCAAATGTTACAATGAGATTTTTTTCAATATGAAATTATTTTAAAATTCGAACACCGTTCAAATTGTTAGAACTCAAAAATTCGAAAACCGTTAAAATTGTTAAAACTCAGATAATAAATCGAACTTTCAGAGTCTAAAAAGTTAAATAGAAAATTATATCTCATGGGATAAGAAACAATTATTCAATTATATGTGGTTGAATTGTTAATAATTAAAGTTAGTCCAATAATATCTTTTTTTCCCATATATTTGGCATCATAGAAGTAGAAAGTTTGCTAAGAAACAGAGTGGGCGGGTGGGAACCAGACAAGACAAGCTCACGAAATGGAGGACTATGGACAAATGGTATGATACCTGCTTAACATGGCCCTCACCACGTGACAACATCGTCTAGCAAAGAGTTTCTAGTTAATAATATTTTCTCCTGTCTCTTCATAAAAATCTAATTTTATTTTGGCACCAAAACTAAAAAAAAAAAAAAGAAATTAAATAGTTTTAATTTTTTTTAAAAGAAAAAAGTTTTAACTTTTTAGTAATACAATTCTTTAGCAAAAAGATTAATTGAACGGTATTTGATTCAATTGATTCATACAGTCATCAATTGATATAAGATCGAATCACTGGCTCTAGTAATTATATTTTTTGAATTCTTTTTTTAATTTGTAGTTAGTTGTTAGATAATTTATATTTATACCATATTAGCATTATAAAAAATAATACTATCTCTATTCCATAATACTTGTCACATTTGAGAAAATAGTTTGTTGTAAAATACTTATCACATTTGTCGTTTAATAAATCCATTTTTTTTCATATTTACCCTTTATATATGACTAATTATTACTTCAATTTAATGATTTTCTTAGAGAATTAGAATTAAATTAAGGGTAATATAGTCAATTTACTCAATAATTTATTGTAATTTAAAACAAATTTAATGGTTTTTTTTAAAGGATGTGAAGTTTTAAATCTAACAAGTATTATAGAACAGAGATAATAACTCTTAAAATTATTATATATAACACAAAATTATAATAAACAACTAACATTCATCTAGCAATAACTAGTTATCAAACAGCAGTTAGCATAAATAGTTAAACTAAACAAAGTTTGGAACATATTATTAATAAAAAAAAATTTGTTGACTTATTAAATTTTAAAGAATTTAAATAATTAATTTGAAAGTATTTCACATTAGTAAAATAGACTATTCATTTGTGATAGAGAAAGTATAATTATCTGCTAATTTTTATAATTTATATGATTTGAATATATCAAATTTACTTTACTTTTATTAACATTTTTAATGTAATATTTTTTTTTCTAATACCAACTTAAACCTTAATATCAATCATATTCTCCGAAGCCACTAACTCGACTAATTCAGATTCGCCCCGGGCAAACCCACAAAAATAGGCAATAGTTCCGTTCCGAATGGTTAAAGGAAATCTATATTCAGAGTTTGAACTCGAGACTTCTGCTCAAAGGAGAAGGGATTTCTGCATCCCATCTCAACCCTCGGGGACAATACCAACCATATTCTAATAAACTAAGGAAGTTTGTTTGATATTAATATGTCATAATAATTTTTAGGAAAAGGATCTCAAAGCAACACTCAATAGAGAAATGATATAATTCCCAAAAGATGATTAATCATTACAATTAATTGCATGCAATTAATTAAAAGAAGGGTAAAAAAAAGAAGAGCAGCCAGCAAAAGTGTTTATATAATTGCATGCATGTACTAAAAGTGAAGATTAATTACAGTTTAGGGTTAATTGATTACCTTGAACTGTTAGAGCGCATGGAACAAAGCAACATGCTGCTAAACATTGTCTTCAACAGATCTCACAAACACACCCACAGAGAAAGAGAGAGAAGAGAGAGATCTGAAGTGGATACAGTTAATGAACAGGAAGATGGAATGTAGGAGAGATTTATAAATAAAGCAATATGTTCAAAGGTAAAAGCCGTGCATGATACATGTTTTTAACTCAGAAAATAGGACAAAAGGAAGGATTTCATTTTGATAAAAAAGAACTAGTTTTCTGAGTACGACTTCTATTTTCTTACATGTATGTTTTTAGTTATCACTATTCTCATTCCAATCCACTGAATTTGCCGTTCAATTTTCAGTTTCTTGAAATTTCCTCAAAAAAAAAAAAAAAAAAAAATACGACTTCTATTTTCTTACATGTATGTTTTAGTATCACTATTCTCATTCAATCCACTGAATTTTGCCGTCAATTTTCAGTGGTCTTTGAAATTTCCTCAAAATTAAAAAAAAAAAAAAAAAAAAAAAAAAAAAGATGACGTCATGTAATTAAAACATGGATTGACCTGTCTAAATTAGATTCATGGTCTCGCTCATGGATCAAACCAATGAAAATAGAAATTAGACCTACAAATGTGTTTGCTTAGATAGAAAAGAGTTAGACTCGAACCATTTTATTAATAATGTATTTGATATTAATATATAATTAAAATTTTCCATCTTAAGGACTTGAATAATCCTAGCCACAATATGGATTCTTTTTTTTTTTAAAAGGAAGACATCAAAACATGGTTCACCACTAGCTAGCTAATAAGTAGGTTTATATACCACCATATATTTTATATATGACGGGGCAAGATAATGTTGTGAGAAAAAAGGCCATGTAGGTAGGGGTGCAAACTTGCGGTTCAGTTCCAAACCGAATTGCAAAAATCAAAAATAAATTTTTTAAACCCGAACTGCAAAAACTAAAATAAATTTCAAAACCAAACCAAATTTATCGATTAGGTCAAATGGTTTTGTTTTACTCATAAAATAAACATTTTGAAATAACCAACGTAAAGACAAAAAGTTGAAATTGCGAAAGATTTCAAATTAAAACCGAAACCGAAATCAAAAACCAAAAATAATTTGGTTCGGTTTTTTCCAAAGTTTGCTCACCCCTACATGTAGGGTTAATGAGAGCTTTGCTGTAATTTTGTTGTGTTTCTTATGTAAGTATACTAGTGGAGAAGCATATTATTCTAATTTATACCTAAAGTTCATGAATTTTATCTGTCATAAATTGTTATATTTATAGGAATATATTAATATATATTAAATATAGTATATATATAATATTATATATATATTATATATATATATATATGTATATATATAATAAAAAAAAATAGAATGAAAAATTGGAAAATTAGCATCATTATGGGATGGGCAAGCTTATTTTTGAGATAAGATATATAATAAAAAAAATAGAATGAAAAATTGAAATTAGCAATCATTATTGGGATGGGGCAAGATAATTTTGAAGATAAGGAAGAGAGTTTGATCAATTATATAAGAATTGTAAGTGGGCAGTGAACGTGATATTTTGTTGGAGAAGGTATGGTGTAATTTTTTCCGACAAATCTGCATGGCTTAAACCAAAACGATGTTACTGCAACTCAGCTGGTTTGATTATCAAAATTCAACATTTATATGAAAAATTATTTCTTTCAAAAGAAGTTGTTCGAACTCTTACTTAAGCAACCTGATTTGTAATAGATAATATTTTTTCAATATTACCTTTATTTATATTAAATACAATAATTATCTTATTCTTGGTTTTAAAATAAATGGTAATTTAGTTAAATTACTTTTACTTTTGTTATAATTTAAGAGAATTATTTATTTTCTTAATACCCGTATAAAAACTTTGAACGACTTATATTTTGGGACTGATGGAGTAATTTATAAGTTGCTCTTTATTAGTTTGTGGTATAATTTATAATTTTAGTATTATTGTGTAAATCTCTGCCTAATTTGCAATAAAATTATAATTCTATATCTTTTGTACATAAATATCTTATTAAAAAAAAAAAAGCCAAAGCTAATCTATTGTAGTTTAAGTTAGTCTTTTTATAAAAAGAATAAAAATCTCGAGTTTAAATTCTCTTTATCATAAGAATTTTCACTAATTTAATAATTAAAAAAAGCTATTCTTATTATGTATAGTCGCATTATTATGCGGATTTTTCGAACATTCCTATGAATAATAAAAAGAAGAAGACATACAAAAATTTAGATAATTTGAGTTTATTATATTACAAATGTTTTTACTAATTTAATTTTAGTGAGTTGAAGAGAAGGCATTGAATTCCCTAATCAACGAACAAAAATAAAGGAAAGAAAGTTTGAGAGAAGACACCACTTTTCAAATTAATCAAAGAATTATTGAAAGGAGAATACAAAATAATTTTGTCTGATCCTCTCATTTGTTGCCACGTGCCAAAGCATTTGCCATATGTTAAAAACATTATTAAACAATGAATTGACAAAATAAAGTTTTTTTTTTCTTTAAAAAAAAATATTAATATCTGGACAGACATGTTTTTCAATATATTTAATTCATATATTTGGCACTAGCGTATGAGAGGGTATGATGATGATGATTTGAAAATTACATTGGCATTTTTTTCTTTTATTTGGAAATTAGCCTAACGGCCAAGGTGAGGTGTCCATGATAAAAAAAAAAAAAAAAAAAAAAAATATCCTTTTCTCAATTTTGTAATGGACTATCCAATGTGGATTTTATAATTTCAATATAGAGTATTGAATGAATCCTAATTTACCTTAATTAGGATATTTTATAATAGATTTTCAAGAGTGTGTTTACTTACAAAAATATTTTCTGCTTTATAAGAAAACAGGTTTTTAAAAAAATAAAAAATAAAAATAAATGCGTTCACATGATAACAATAAAAATTATATTTTAATTTAACTTCATAAACATTATTCATTCATAATTTATACAATTAAAAGAAATAAAATGTTATCAAATAAAATTAAAATTTTTTATTTAATATTGATTATTTATAATAATAATATCATTTAATTTTTTAAAAATAAAGAATATAATGTATTTATGATAATAAAATTAATTATTAATCAAAGCATAATATAATTTTTATGTTATTTAAATATTTTTATTTAGAACTTTGTTTTACAATTTTCTTGAAAAACTTTTCTAGAATAATTTTCTAAAAGTGAACGCACTCTTAGTATTTCTAATTCCGTTTTCTAAATTAAGTAAAAGTATGGAAAAATCTGTATATTGTAATTTTTTAAGGGAAAATGACGAGGCTTAGCATTAGAAGGTGGTCGTTATTGATTCACATGGGATTCCATGTGTCCAAAAAAACGATGTCGTTTTACCAATAATATAATAATAATAATTATTATAGTTAACATTATTTAAAATCTTGTAAACTCCATGTGTCTTAGATTAAAGGGCAAGCTGATAATAATACTGCTTATACCATAGCACAAATAGTAGCCATTTCTGACGAGCTTTATGGCCCATTGTCTTTGGGCCAGACTACCAGAGAGGAGCCCATTTCTGACCTTTTTAGTTCACTTTTTCAATCTCATGAATTCAAACATGGAAATTTCTGAACCCATTTTCGCTAAGTGCCACCTACTTTAATTGCACTGCTACACATGGATAAGGTTGCAAAGATATTTAGCTGAAAAAGTTGGACCAGAAAGATATTTTTTGGTGCTAATTACCCCACAGAGGAAGAAATCAATAAATGATACAAGGAAATGTCAAATTATAAGCAAAGCCTCTGTTTATAAATTATAAGCAAACCCAATTGAGATTTAGGCAAAGGAAAACCAAAATGGAGTGTTGCAGAAGGGCAAACAGAAGTGACATTCACTTACCAATGGAAGAAGAAGCGAAAATAGAAGAAGAAACAAGAGATTACTTTGATGGAATGGCTCCTAAACGCCATACGAAGCCTTCACGCAGCGAACATTCAGCTCAGTATGTAGATGTTCTTCTTCCTCACCAAAATTCAATTCCTGAGTTGCTTCAATTTCAAAGTCTCCAAACTGAATCTGAATCTCAGGTTCTTCCTCCTTCCTTTCATTTCATTTACCGTTTTTTGTGTTTATTATTTGCAAAAACTCTGGTAGATAAGCTTTCCGAACATCATTAGACGAGCCTGAGATCTAATAAATAAAAAGAGAAAAAAAAAAATAAATAAATGCGTTTGCCGGGAGTCGAACCCGGGTCTATTGCTTGGAAGGCAATTATCCTAACCGTTGGACTACAAACGCTTGTTGATTTTGTAATCGTTTCTTAACTTATTTCACTAGCAGGAAATAATTCACAATGGAAAAGGTGAAATTGGAGAGGAGTTTGTGGAGACAGAGTACTATAGTGATCTCAACTGCATTGACAAGCAGCACCACACGGTATCATAATTCTATATTTTCCATTTCTTTACAATGGTTAAAAAAAAAAAAAAAATAGCAAATAGGCACACAATTGAGAATAGTTTATTACAATTTCAGAAAAAATTCTTTCCTTATCTTTAAGCTTCAAACCTTTCTCTTGATGATAAGCTATTTTTCATTTGCTTCTTATTTCCTATGGAAATATGTGAAATTGAGTTATGGTAGTTTTTGTACATTTCAGACAGGAACAGGGTTCATCAAAACGGGGAATGCCAATGGCAAGTGCTTTAGCATAGCACCAGACTCTGTGACCTCTTGTCATACCTCTTGTCAAGGAAACCCAGCAACTAATGATTGGATTCCAGCTGCTGCTAATTCAGTACCTCCACTTGCTTACTTCATTTCCAATTAACAATAATTATTCTATTATGATACTCTCCATCCCAATTATCATACTCTTTATCCCAAAATATAAGTAGTTAATGTTTTTACGTGGTCGAAGAAATCAATTAATTTTTTTAAATTATAATAAAATCAAATAAAAAATATCTTGCGAAGACAGCTACTATATTTAATCTAAATAAAGATAATATTAGAAAAATATCATTTGTTATTTTTTAAAATATGTAAAATAATTTATATTTTGGAATAAGATAATCACATAAATACGATTTATATGATTTATATTTTGGGAGGAAGTATTTAACTCAAAGTTGACTCTTGTTTCAGGACAGTTTGACTGCTTCAAACAAGCCTAAGAGGAGTGACAGTTGAGATGAAGGGTGGTTGGAGGGTGTGTTTTCATCAAAGCTAGACCTACCTAAATATAAAAATCTTCTCTACCTATTATGCTTACTTGTGATAAATGAGCGTTCATTATTGTTGCTATCAGGCCAATTTATTTGTCCTAGTATAAGTATTAATTTCACTGTAATTGGCAATTGGATGCTTGTGGTATTTTATGCTCTCTTGTTTGATTATTATAAATCTCTCAAGTCAAAGTTCGACAATAATTTTTAAGCAGTTTTTAGCCTTCTATCTTAAAGGAGCTTTGTGTGAAACATTTAATCATTATAGTTTTTAGCTTTTAAAAAGGATTAATTAATTTCTTTTGATAATCATATCCATGATTTTTCTTCTTGGATTCAATTAATTAAATAAATAATATATTTTTCCTGTCATTTTATAATAAATAATTATTTTCACCGAACCAAGCTAACAGTTAACAATTAATAGAATAATTAATAATTATTAAAATAATTAATATTACCGTGGGTGTGCAGGTATACATGTATTTTTATAACCACCTGCTTTCAACCCAGCCTGTCAACTGAAAATATCATTGCATAGTTTCCTTATCCTAATAGTGAATGGAGAATGGAAAAAAAAAAAGAAAAAAAAGCTAAAAGCTTTCATTAGGAATAGCCATTGACTAATATAACATAATGGCTTCATTAACAAGTATGAATCCGTTGTGTACTTATGTTAGACATGAAGAGTGTTGGCATAATTATACTCCCGTAATGTATAAGCTAGCTGCAAAAACTATGTCACGTTTTATCGAATTGGATGCAGCTTCCATTTTCTTGTAGAGTGCAGAATTACCCATAATAGCAGCAGCATTTCTAAACTCGCGACATGTCTCATCCAGTCTGACAATGGTTCGCACTATCAAGCCTTCAGGAACATCAGTAAGCTCACAGATATCAGCAAATGGAGTTCCCTGCCACGAGAAAAACATAATTACAGGCCATTCAATAAAATATAGAGCGGTGAAACTAAGCTATATTTTGTAAACTTCCTAATGTTGCTTCTTTTGTCTATACTTTAGCTATTATAGAATATTATATTCTATAATAGCAAAAAAATGAAAGAACAATTTTAGCAAGTTAACCAAATGGAGTCAAAGGATTTTTAGAATAGACCTTTGCCCACTCGTAAACTACTTCTACAAGACCGAACTTCAGATTTTCCTGTGCATACTCTTCAGGGCTTATCTGTAGTTTGCAGTTGACTTGAAGCTCTCCAAGCCTTATTGCTGTATCATAGAGTCTGAAGAGAACAAATATCTGGGATTAGATTCAGAAATTGAAAAGGAAAATAAATAAAGGGAAGTACAAATATTACAGTCAAGTTTCAGAGTCAGAATCCAGGATTTATAGGCAACACAGTTATTAGAGGCTGGACACTGGAGAAACCATTACCAGCACCAAAAAGTCGCTATAATCCAACCAGACAACCACCACCCCTAAAATCGCTTGCCACTGAGGCTTCTCTATCCTAAATTTGGACACCTTCAATATCAGTAAAGAACAGCTTTTTGGATGATTGCATCCAGGCCCTCTCCCCTCCTAGGCTCATATTTCTTTTTGCCTCTTCCCCCTATTTAATCATCATGGAGTGCTTTATATTAATAATTTTCACTTTATCCTTTTTATTTGTGCAAGCAAACAGCATTAGTTTTTGGGCCTTACAGTTATAAACATCATAACAGCTTATAGAAGTATTTTGGGCCCTTACAGATATATTTTAGAACTTAATTAGTTCATACTAAGGAGATTGCAACTTTAGAAGAGAATGGAAGAATGGAAAAGTTGTATTCTTATATTCAATAAACTTTTGGGGTACTCGCAACTTTTCCATGTGGGCAGTAATCTTATTTTGAATTTACTTCTGCACTTTGTCCCAACTCTCAAGTGCATGCCTTGCACTTAGGCTCCAAGACTCTGTCGTAGTTACAAAACTGCAAGAGCACATAATTTTACATGGGTGTATATTTGGAAGGTTGGACCTTGCGAGCATTCATTTCCACTATATGTTGATGCACAGTATCATATGAAAAACAAAATTTGAAAGTATTATGAGGAACTAAGGAGACTTACTATGTGTACTCATAAGACAGGTGTCTTCTAACATGTTTTGATTTAATTTTGAAGAGAAAGGGAGCATTTAGGGAAAAATGCACAAATTTTTAATGACAACTTTTGAGAAAAATTATGAGTAGAAAGCATTCTACAGCAGATAGAATGGGAATCACCTCTTTTTAGCTTCAGATAGTTTGGGAGTTAGAGAAGGCTCAGAAGTTTTCCTCTGCTGAAACACAAAGGCTGACATTATTGCCACAGCTTCTTCTGGTTCCAGGTTATCAAGTTGATTCTCAAATAAACACTCTGTGCATATCAACTCCTCCCCTGAATTCATCTCACAAGCAACTCGGCCTTTAATTTGAACAACGAGGTCAGCATCGATACAACCAATTTCCTTTAGAACATCCATCTGCAAGTACACCATTTAAAATGTTCATAAAGAGTGTTTTACGACTGTCATGACTCATGAGACCATTAGCATCAGAAATCCCACAAAAACATACCCTGCCCTGAAAGTCTGGCATCTGTTGCAGTGCTTCATCTGACATTTGAAATCTTAGGTTATCAATTTCATCTTTATGCTTCTTCAGCTCTCTTGCCAAGGCAATGTGCTCCTCCAATTTTATACAACCATGACATTTATTCACTGCCATCTTTTGCAACAGGCTAGTCCACTTTTTGTATGCCTCCACAAGATTCCAATCTTTCATCTTCAGATCTAAAACAGAATCAACAACTTAGAAGCAACTTCAAGACTCAAGATAGCTGCTATGAAAAGCTCACCATCATAAACACAAACTACAGGTGGAAAGAGAGAAAGAATCAAAATGCATCTATGTGTTATAATTTTATGACAAAGGATGGGTTACTTCATTATGCAGAGGATGACTGTAAGCATAAAAAAATCAGCATCTTAAAATGAATCTCTCTGTTACAATTTGCTTATCAATCTAAGATGAACACATCGTGCATATGATGACTGTAACCATGCACTATCATATGGTTGGTCAAGGATCCTTGACCCTTCTAAGCATTATGTTAGATATCAAGGAAAATCCATTCTAGTTCAGGATCTCTAAGAAAGTTCATATATAACCAATGTTATAAAAACATCCAGCCTTGCCACTTCACATAATATACGGCATAATTTAGTCCATAGCATATGAAGGCAAGGGAGATAAACAGCAGCCATGTTGTCATGACTCTCACGTATGACATACAGTGAGATCACTGAAGAATGCATCAACAGTAGATAAATAGTGATTTCAGACGATGTGATAATACTAATAGAAAGCCATTAGGATAGAAATAAGAAGGGAACTAATCTTCTGGGAAAAGAAAAATCTCAGAACCACGGTACACAACTACATAAGACAAAACCTCATCAAGAAGATTATCCTAAAAATCCACGAATTAGTGTTTGCTAAAGCGAAGAAAGTTAGAGCATGAAAATAAGGTATTGCATATGGCTTGCAAGACAAATGAAGATTTGTTGTTGGGACTGACTAAAGTGTTACTTCCGTGACTTTTGTCAAAATAAACAGCTTCCAACACAATTGAAATGTAATTAGTTTAATGCCGGTAAACTTGAGAATGTTATTGCATTTTTATCATAATTGCCAGTGAAGCACTGAAATGCTCCTCAAACATGTGTTATGAGCTAAATTGCAAGCCCATCAGACCTTACAAGTTATACAGTGCATATTTCCAGGAACTTATATATGATATTCATCAACAAATAATTTTACCTTTCAGTGGATCTAAGGCAGGAGGGTACTTATTTCCATCAGATTTCAGTTCTGACAACTGCTGGACTGTCTTAGAGAAAGCACTGTTGCTAACATCCTCAAGAAGTCCAACTTGGTCAATCTTAATTTTACTATTGCATATGCATAAGAAATCTTTGGTATCCATTCCTCTAACTTCATAACTGACACCAGCGGCACTGCCTTGGTATGGTAATTTTATGTTGATTGCACCTGATCCTTTACGTGTAGCAGCAGAATAGAAGTACTCTTCTCCACCACGCTTCGATTTTGGCATAAGCAAATAAGCTTGTGGGCTATCACCACTCTTCTTATCTTGCAGCTCAGAGACTGGCATTGATGATGGCAAGTCAGGTTTGAGAAATAAAACTATGTATTGCTTCATAGTGGCAGAAGGTCCTTTCACAACTACTCCAAGCAAGTGGTCTTGTGCCTGTAATTGACAATTCCATAAGCTTAGCAACCTTAGCTACAGAATCAAAAAAATAAAAATAAAAATAAAAACAAAGTAATAATATGAAACGGTTAGCCATTTTCTATTTCAACAAGGTCAAAAAAGTAAAAAATTATGCTCCTGGGCAGGTTACATTCATGATGACTGAACTTATCACTAAATTTCAATGTGGTCACGCGAATTTCCAATTTGTATTCATAGAATACTCAACTTTGAATTCATTTCAATTAGTTGGATCTTCATGTGCTTCGCCAGCAAGGCCAAACTTTAAATACTATTTATTACAAATTAATCTTTTAAATAAATATAATAATTAATAAAGCATTGTAACTTTTCATTTTATTTTTATTAATTAAAAATAGTAAGATTATTATAAAATATTCAACCAATCTATTACAAAGTATATTAAATCAAATACTCTGAATAAGGTCGGTAGTGTTAAATAATTTAACATAAGCAAAATATTATTAGAATGTATTAAGTAATTGAAGTATATAAACAATTTCTTTCTAGACATTATTATGAACTAACAATTTTTAAAAAATAACTATTTATCCTCATACAAGTGTATCATAATTTCATATATGATCCATGAAAATAATTTATAGAGAAATTAATTATGTTAACTAATTACAAAATTATGAAATTAAATTGCATGTAATGTATGAAAAAACATTTTTGGAATGAATGATCTTTTAGTAATTAATCAAAATATAGGTGAAAAGTATTTATGCTTTTAATTTGATGCATATTTAATTATTTATATCTGTAGATCTTTTTATGTTGATCCAGTGTACCTTATTGGAGGAATCAAAGATAATAAGGGTAAAAAATAAATAAAAGATAAACAGTAGATTTGTTAAAAAAAAGGGCAAAAAAGAGGAAAAATAGATATTCATTGTTAAAAAAAATGGAAAGAATAATTGTAAAGCTGTAATAAAAAGAAAAGAAAGAAAGGGCACGGAAAAGGGAAATAAAAGATGAATAGCATATCTATCCAAAATAAATAAATAAATAATAGACGAAATAAAATATTTATTGTAAAAAATAACTAAGTAAATAGTAAATAAAGAACGAGAGCAAAGTTGTAAATGAGAGGAAAAGATGAAAGAGGAAGGGAAATTCAGTGCTTATTATGAACAGTAACATCCCTACCTTTTCTTTTATACATATGAACAGATAAAGTCACTCTTACTAAATTTTAATAAAGATTTTGTAATGTTTTTAATGTGAAGGCTAAGAATGGTAACCCTATAGTTAAAATTTTATCAAAAAACTAGCAGACTGATTTTATTGAAACAAAAATAAAAAAGTTGAGTATTTTGCTTACAAAGATTGAAACTTAGTGATTGCAAAAATTGATGAAAAGTCCAATGGTTTGAAATTAACCCCGATACTCTAATGAGAATGAACTTCATAACTGCCATAATTAGCAATACTGATTTTATTGAAACAAAAATCAAAGTTGAGTGATTTTGCTTATACATATTGAACTTAGAAACTGCAATGGTCTGATATTAACCCTGAGACTCCAGTGAGAGTGAACTTCATAATTGCTGTGTTAAAGACCATCACTGATAAAAAATTATGCATGGGAATCACCCTTTCTTACCATTTAAATTGGTTTGGTTTAAAATTTTTATCTTTGACTTCTATAGCATACAACATCCAATCAAAAGAGAATCAGCAACTCCTAGCAAATGTATGTCATTCACCTTCATCATTACTATGCTTGTGTCCAAGTCTTTTGACCACATGTCAACAATATTTTGCTTCAATACTCTTATCATATTCGGCTTTTGTATACCTTTAAGAGTATATTTATATTTTATTGCAAAACTGAAACCAACCCAACATTTCCATTAGAATTAGTGAATGCCAGTAGCAAGAATGGTTAGTTAAACTTCATATACTCAATCAAGAAACTTCATTAAAGAACCACGCCTTTATCAATTAGCACAACAACAATGCTTCAGCCAACATAGAGCATAATTTTATCCCTTTTTTAGCGAGAACATTAATAAATATGGGAATCATATTTTAAGACAAAAAGATATGGTCAAATATATGCACCAACCACAAATTAGAACTCACTGAGTGTGACTTCACAACCACCACTCTTCCAGGAGTAAGGAAGTGTTGGGCAGCAGGGGACTGCATAACTGCTTCTGATATCTGATTCCCATATTCCTCGGCTTCCAAGTACATGTCGTAGTACTCTTCAATTGCTGGTTCGCCTTTAATACATCTACATCCAAAGAGCCATACTTGATGATCTAAAAAATAATAATGCAGGAAGAAATATACAAGATGATTAATCAAGTAATAAGCCACAGAGTACTTCACTTCCTCACAGTTTATGAGAAGATTCAAAGACATGTATAAGAAAATTAATAAATACCCGCTAAATTTATTTAAAGTATGAGGAAACAAAAACAACATCAGATGCGGCAACAAATATGACGTGCTACTTGCAATGCTGCTTAAATTCTTATGCTGACTTAAGCACAACTAATAACTTTATCCCTATGCTATTGTCAGCAAAAAGACCAAGTTTTGAGGGTCAGAAGGAATCTATAATAGAACAATACAAGAAAAATTACAATAAATTTTTAAATTTTTGGGATTAAAGTGTAATAAGATATTCATAATCTTGTACCGCAAGGACTAAGGTATGAAGTCATTAAACCTCACGGACCAAAGTACCTGATTTTTAATCAACATGGATGAAAATGGATATTAAGCCAATCCTGAGGGGTGTTCAGTAATTACTCTAAATAAAACCATGATAACTGCATTTCAAACTTGTTCTAACGAGCTTCATCATTTTTTCCCTGTGATCTTGCATATTCCAATTGTTCAGAATCATGAAATGTATGTAAATGAATATGATATACATGTTGAGAAAGAGAAGTTTCTAAGTTTCTAAGACAAATATAGCCAAGCTATTGAAGCAAAACTTGCAAGGCGACATTTGTTAGAGTATTAAGCCAGCATAACAGTTGTTAGGGATATTCATATCAGGTTGATGGACCAGATTTAAAAGAACATATAACAGTAACTGAGGGTCATTATCAGGGGTGTTTTCTTTCTATAAAACATTTTCCATAGTAAATTAACTGCAATTAGGTTCTCAGTTTGAAATCACAAAATTTGGAAAACATTTAAGAGCCAAGCACAGAATTATCATAAGATCCAAAGCTAAAAAGCTATAAATCTAAAGAATAATAAAGCACAGACATATTAGGCATACGCGACATCATGAAAATATCCTGCATTGGTAACTGAAGCAAAGACATTTTTCACTTTGAAAGTGAAGAAAAATACCAAGGTTGACATAAAGGCTAAAGGTCAAGTTTCTATTGCTGGTATACTTACTCAATAGCTTTGGTAGGCTGAGCAAGCTTTCGCCTTAGAATTTGCTGTGTTTCAGGAAGTTTCTTTTGAGCATGAAACTCAGCAAAACTTCTTTTCAACATGTCCTCCACCTGCAGTTAAGTCCCCCGTCTGGTGAAATGAACTCACTGATGGATATGAAGACTCGAAGAAAACCACAAGCCAGACTTGGGAAGGGGGAAAATAGAAACAAAAGACCCAGTTACGTGCCTAACTACAAAAATTAATGCTACATGCAGAGATCACTCCTTTGGCTGCAAGAAACTCAACATGCACCTTCACCCTGAGCAACAATCTTCTGGCATTTGATTTAAAATGAGAACCTCAAGGCAAAATTTAAGCATCACAACTGAATTATGTGTCATGTCTTAACGACCAAATTTCCCTATATGAAAATAGCATAGACTTCAAGAGCATTATATCTATAAACATCTTTTTGTTTTTCATGCTTTTCCTTCCAGATATCAGGGTAAAACATCTTTAAAAATCCGGAGTTCCATGTACTAAGCCACATGCTCTGTAAGCTTGGGACAATGCAAGAGAAGGTTCTTGAATTTGCCAAAGGAAATGTTTACCCTGGTCTTTTTGTTATCTACAGAATAAGTTTAAAAATTGAGTTCATCTATCTTGCTTATCATCCATCACCCATTTTTCAGGATTGATGGCATCTCTATATTTCATACTTTTAGAATAAGAATCAATGAAATTGACAGTGGAAGAAATGCACCAAAAGACTATGCTATTGCAAATTCTGGGAATGCAAATGTAGAGGTCAACACACTAAACAACTAAACATAAGTGTGACCAGAGGGCTAGGTGTTCCCAAAGAAGCACAAATGTGTGCATGCTGCAGTCACGTCCAAAGTTGCTAGCAAAAGTACAATTGACTCTACAAGCATGCAACAAGTCGTAGCTTCAATTTTTTTACATTTCAATTTCAGAGCAAGCATAACCTACAGTTGGAAATTCAATATGCACACAAAATATAAATTAAAACATTTTGAAGGTCATGCAATTCCAAATGACAAGCAATCAAAAACATAAATTTTAGTTTGATAATTATTTACTAACTGTTGCACTGCTACATATTTCAGAAAACATAAATTTAGAAGTACCTTCAGTTCCTCTACACGGAGGAGATGTAAGATCATAATATAAGTCAATCGAAATTGAGATTCAAGCCTCGTAGCACTTCCAACTATAACAAGTCTCAAATCGCTCTCTTCAGGTATCTCATCACGGCACATCACGACAACTGTACCAATTTTGTCAAGTCCTCTTCTGCCAGCACGACCTGCCATTTGAGTATATTCCCCAGGAAGTAATTGTCTAAATTCCTTGCCATCAAACTTCCTTAAAGTATCAAATACAACCTGCATATTATGTCAAGGCAAAGTTGAGATTAGATTTATGCATCTCAAATCTAGAACTGGTAGTAATCATGCACATGAAAACCCATGATAATCTGTGTAAGACCAATGCATGTAGTTTCTCACTAGTTAGCAGACATAAAATTCAAAGAATTCCTCAAGTCTGGTGATTCCAACAATGAGCAAAAGCATTAGATCATTGGAAAGCTTGACACTGCTACACTAAAATGCATGTTAATGACAAACTACTCTTGATTTTCACTTCAAAACCAACATATGACTAATGCCTTCAAGTAACAGAAAGAGGACATCATCCACACAAAATGAACTAGAAATGTGACAGGTGTAACCTATTGCCAATTCCAACAATTCTGAGATAAACAGTCATATCAGAGATGCACTTTTTCTGTTGATCAGTTCCAATTTCAAAGTCAACCTCAACCAAATGATTCACTCTCATATAATGCCATGACTTTTTAATAGCAGGAAGAGCCCTTTAATCATTTTGTTCACCACTTAAAAATTCAAATATTAAACACCAGTAGAAATAACAAAGGAACAATTAAGAACAGAAGTATAAAAAACTATTTTTAATAAGAATAACGTATTGACAGAATTGAAAGAAGAGATAAACTGTTACAGTATAAGATTTGCAGGCAGATAGCAAACCTGCTGCTGTAGCTGTAGATGGGATAAGAGTTTACTAGAGGTATTTGCATGTCAAGAAGAAAGAGTCCAGAAAGAAGCATTGAAGACTTGAAGCATCTGATTTATTTCTTATTTTCAGTTATATGTGTGTAATTATGTAATTACATATTTTCTTTTTTAGCTTTTACCTCACTTTTAGAAAGTTGTAGTGGGGACGCGGTTATGCATATGAGATAGTTATTTGTTTCATGTAATTTTCTTTTCCCCATATGACATTTCTTGAAAGTCCACTTGGAAGCTTCCTCATTGGACCTGTTCTGACTGTTATTTATTTGGAAGGAAAACAAGAAATGGAAGTGGTTATTTTTCCTCAAAAATTGTCATTTGTTTATGAGATCGAAGGGTTCTCTCTAATGAGCCCTTAAACCAGCAATAATAGTTGGAAAAGGCAGAAACACTTATAAATTCAGACTTGTATCTGATAAAGGGACTGATTTTCCTGTTAATCAACACCAAACCAGATCACTAACTCGGGAACATAACATAAACACAACAAGGAGACTCTAGATAAGTAATAAGTAAACATCCCAGGAAATATGATACTGTGGCACAACACATCATTCCATTTTTCAAAATTAGTTATAAAGGAAACTCACCGTCCTAGCAGGGGCATTGACACCCATGGCAAATGTCTCTGTTGAAAAGAGTACCTAAAAGAAAACAAGCACAAGATAATTATATATAACTGCCTGAAGAGCAACATTAATAAAAGTGCAAAACATAGTTAAGAAACTCCAATTGTGTAATTCTTCAACCTCGTAAGAGCATCATCAAATAATACAGAACACTCCAGAAACTAAGGGAGAACATAATACAATATTGAAGCAATCCATAATCAGAGAAAAATTACCTTAATGACTCCACGGCAAAAAAGCATCTCAACCACTTCCTTAACAATTGGAAGAAGTCCTGCGTGATGTACGCCAATTCCTCTACGAAGAAGGCTCTGAACTCTGACAATCTGTAAATCAAATTAGTATGTTGAATCTGAATCATATTTATATCAATAGAATATGAATGAATATTTAGCTGTCAAACCTGTGGTAAATTCCGGTCAGATCCCTTTAATCGTGAAAATGCTTTATCACAGAAAACTCGGATCTCACTCTTCTCAGATTTGCTAGTGAGGTCAGTTCCAGACATACTATCTGCTGATTTATCACACCGATTCTTTGAGAAACAAAATATAACTACCTGAGAGCACAATGACAAGAATTTTAGAATATAAAAAGAAGGAAACTCCGATGCTGCATTTTAAAGTTTTCGGCATACATTAGAAACAGAATGAGTCATTTGATGCTATCACAGCATTCAAAAGACTAAAACACACCAGTAAGTTTGAGGTTTTCAATTGTCGCCTGTATGAACATTAAGAACAAATATTTAAAAAGTCAAATGCAAACTTAACTCCATTTGTCAAAGGAAAAATAAGAAGGAATCTTAAGCACTTCTTTTAGTTGTGGGAAAAGCCTATTTTCAAGGAAATGATTCCAAGAAAATTGGAATAAAGCTTTTCTATAGCTACAAAAATTTTCTTAATAGAGAACAACAAAATAGCTCTCCAGATTTTCCAAATTTAGACCAGTAGCTAGAAAATTAATATTATGTTTCCATAATTCATTTAATAAAGGAGCACTTCAATTTAGAAACCCTGCCTTCCATTGAAGTAAATGTGCATCGTGTCAGACTACTGGGTTTGAATCCCAACATATGCTTTTGACTTTTTTCCTTTTTGGATTGACACCAATTTTTTCCATATATAATTCAGTTATATAGATGGTTTTGTCAATGTCTTGCATAGACCATCATATGCACCGGTTCGTAGGTATGATATGTTAGTGGTGGAGGGTGCTAAACGTGAAAGAGATAGCCATACAATCACATAGAGGGAAGTTGTTGCAAAAAATCTATTTTCTCTTGCCATTAGCAGAATTTAGCTCTGAAAAGAGCATAATTGACAAAAGATTTGTAAGCCAATCCCAACTAGTTTGGAATTACGGCTTAGTTGTTGTGTTGTTGTTGTTGTTGATAGAATTCAGTATATGCATATGAGTGATCAAGTTTTAAAATTTATTTTTAGATTAAAAAAATTAAGTGATTAGACAAAAAATTATTTATATACTCACCTTTAATTTAATTTTTATTTTTATGAACTACTGATTACTTAATAAAGAGTCTAATGTACAACCATAAAACTATAAATAATTTGTACTTGATGAAAACAATCACACATACAGGTAATAGAGATTTCTTTGATAGTCTGTTGACAAGCTGCAACAATAGTGATGCCTCTGACCTCCTTGACCCCCAGTTATTTTGACCACTTGCACTTTGTTGATTCCCCCCACTCCCAAAATTTTGTGGACCAGAATGCTTATTCTGTTTGTTACGATTAGAAAATTCACGCTTTTGACCCTGAGCCCCCTCCCGCATTGCTGCAGATCCAATACCAACTGCACTTGTATTCTTTTTCTTGTGTGCATCCTTGGCAGCTTTCAAACCCTGAGGTATAAAAGTTTCATTCTCACATATTTTGTAAAGTTCTCCAGAAAAAAAGAGACAATGCTCCAAGGGGACGGGCCTTCTTGTAGTTCTGAAAATAGATGAAGCAAAAGGGAAATGAGCAACAATACAAGAAGATAAAAAAACATTATAAATTTCCTTTCTTCAGTACTTCTATTCTTGAAGTATGAAAGACTAAACAAGTAAAAAGTTAATAATTCTAATGTCCTTTAAAAAATTCAAGAATTTGAACATTTTTATTACAGTAGAGTGAAACTAACCCAGTAACTTGGATTTTCTTTTGTTTTGTCCGACCAATCCAGTCTGCAAATTCAACTGTGTTCGGTACCTGTAATGAGCAACTTAAAACTTATTCAATGGTTCAGTACAAAGAGAAGGGCAAAGCGGAAATGACTTATAACCAAAATGTGCTATCTAGCCATGCTACCTAGTTATGACCTTCCAGGGAAGGCATAGTTACAAAGTAAATAGTATGCAACTCATTCAGTGCGTAAGAAGAAATTCAATTGGCATCCATCGCTTCCTTTAAAAAACATAGCATTGCCATTAATAAATTTTGAAGATCAAACAACACCATCACACAAGTCAAACCCACAGGCAAGCTGTATAAAATAGTCACGATAGAATAAGCGCATATGATATTTCGGTGCCAAAGAATAAGTAACACACAAGAGATGCAGCAAATCTATTTTGAAGTTAGTGTTCGAATTATCAACACAACAAATTCAATGGTAATATTCATGCAAAAAATCTGGACAGTGAAGAATAATATACCGTGGCTGAGAGGAGGATAATATTTATATGCCTTGGAAGCATGATAATAACTTCTTCCCAAACAACACCTCTTTCAGCATCATTGACATAATGAACTTCATCAAATATGACCTATATCATAGACGGAAAAAGATAATAATAATGATAATTCAGCAGTTTACCACTGAAAGGGCAAAAAATAGATGAATGAAAGAATTTGAAACATTAAATGCAGAAGAAAGATTACTATTGGGAAAGAAAAATAATCAACACTAATGCATTATACCCATTCAATGTCTCTTATAATATCAGCACCTCGGTAAAGCATTGACCTCAATATTTCAGTGGTCATGATGAGACAAGAAGCCTCTGGCCTCAAGCTAACATCTCCAGTGAGAAGGCCAACATCGAATTTCCCACAAAAATCCCGATACTTCTGGTTGCTGATTGTTTTAATGGGAGCAGTATAGACAGCTCTAGTACAGTGCTGCATGACAAGAAAAGACAAGATTAAACCACTGTGGTATAGATTTTACAATGAGAAGTGAATTGTAAGATATCTGGAGTTCCAGGAAAAATAATTCTATATATCATCACATGTACTAGACTTAGAATATCATACTTTTGATGCTAAAGCAAAAGCATATTCTGCCACAACTGTCTTTCCAGCTGAGGTATGAGCTGCCACAAAAACAGAGTCTCCCTTTTCCAAATAATATATAGCCTACAATATCATTAAACCAAAATAATGAGGAAGAGGAAAGAAGCTGCTTAGGCAAGCAGCAATTAAAAGAATTTATACGAGTTACCTTTCAAGACAGAATATTGGCTGTATGTTGCTGCAATAGAAAGGGTAAACAATATTTTTCCCTCAGAGAGATTTGCCCATGCATTAAAATTCTATCATCAAGTAACCATAGTGATTAAAAACACAAGCACACAAAGGCGCAAAGGGCTCTTGTTTTGTTTCTTTTATTTTTATTTTTTTTTTATGTAAACAGATGCTAATGTGCTATCTGGAGACAGCTGGATCACATAAAAGTAAAGGCTGTTTATTCAGGATAAAAGAAAAATGCAAAGGCGCACCTTTCTGCCCCAGTGCAAAGAAGCACTCATATGCACCAGAGGCACGCACCTCAGTTGCCTGCCTCTGGGCAGTTATATGCAAGCCCTCCATAAGTAAGGTGCACCTGAGGTATGCCTTTAATAACTATGCAAGAAAGAATGCAATGCTTGTTAAGGCAAAATTTTCAAAGTTCGTTCTGAGGAAAGCAGCTGTATTGTGACAAAATGAAATTGCAATGAAAAGCAAAATCAATTATTTATTCTAAAGATTTCACTTCTTATATGCATTGGTTTAGGTTGCACAGTAAATTTGTCTACAAAAGATGTCATGGTGCTCTTTGGTTTGATTTCTCAAAGGCTTTTAATGATCCTAGGCATTCACACTTGCAAGCTATTTGCGGGAAGTGAGAATAATTATTGTCAAAACAAATAGAAAGTGGAAGTTATAAAAAACATTTTCAAAAGAATTGAGAAATAAAGTCCCAATAGAACACCTTGGTTAGAATGAACATCATACACCAACCAATTTAGAATGTTCAACATGGCATAATTCTCATAGGACATTTTACAGGCAGCTTTTTCTTAGTAAGCCTACTTTGTAAATGAAAGGGATTGTGCTGATCAGTACCTCTTTTTGGAATGAATCCAGTTCAAAAGAAAAATTAAGTGCCATATCAGGGACTAGTTCATGGAAGCGCTCTGCAATCCATTCATTATTGCCACTAAGAGCCCAGGCCTGTCAAGATATGGAGTCATTAAATTAAATTATTACAGCAAGGAACATTGGACTCTTGAGTGAAAGGCATAACATCATTTGAATGTGATGTAGTTACCTCTTTCGGCTTGTGGCCACCACCTTCACTAGTTCCATTAGATTTTGATGTCAATGCACCTGATTCAGCAGACAAAATCTCATCCAACACAGACGATTCAGTCTCGGACACATTTCCAGGCACATTAACCTTGCTGACATCAGCATCGAATTCTGGAGACTCCTCTTCTGATAAATGACCTTCAAAAGCAGTATTAACGTTAGTCTCATGGGAGGAAATAGGAGTAGGAGTAAAAGAGAATAAGCAATTATCTAAAGTTAACAATCTAACCCCCAAGGGAGGAAAAAACACACACACACACACACACACACACACACACATTAAACATAGAATTAACAAAAACAGAGTGCAAAGAGAGATATCTTTCTCAGTATTATTATTCATGAAAAAAAAAAAAGCAGTAAAAGGAAAGGGAGAGAGAAACAAAAAAAGACTCCAAACAAGGTAGACAAAGAGAGATTCAAGGTGTGTGAATGCCAGAAATGAAGGATTATTGGCTAGAGACTCCAAGGATAGTTGTCTAGCAGATTTCAAGTGATAAAGATAGCATTAACCAATAACTTTAAGGCATGCCAATTCCGGATTCCTTATAGATCCAGAGAAGCCAAGTCTAGTGGTGCCACGGAGGCGTCTTTTACCAATGAAAGAGCTTGTTAAAGGAAAAGGCTTGTGAGAAACACCTTTCTTGGGCCTCGTGCCTAGAAACAAGGCGTGCACCTGTTAGATGTCACCCGACCTTGTGCAGGCACTTGGGCCAGTGCCCTATGCACTTTGCACTTAAGGCTCTCCTTTAACGCCTACGGCCTCCTCACACAAACTCCCATTCTACTTGAGACATTAATAAGCAAAAGTTCATCTTGTGCTGAAATCTGATTAATGATATGGGGGTGGTGCTGAGGATTTGAGCTGTCGACCATTTGATCAAAGAGGCACTTAAATCATATAAAGGAGAACTCAACCTAAAAGCTCAAGTTTGTAGGAAAGGGCCAAGAACAGGTTTTATGTTCTAACAAATACAAGCATTATTTACTCCTAAAGAAAATGCAAGCATGAGGAATAATTATGAATTATATTCTTTTCTAAAATTGAACACAATTGCACGTCCAAGTTTGATGATTTATGGCCCATATTGTTATTATTCATTCAGTTATGGCTATGCCACAAGGCCACATTGGATTGTGGTTTATTTTTGTTTAACCCATCAAAAGGAAGTCAGAGGTGCAGATACAACACCCTTGTATAATTGTCATTTTCATTATTGGGAGGGTTTTATGTAATTGCTATTTGTAGTAGGCTTTGAACCTAGTGTCTATAAATAGGACTGTTAAATATTCTTTTTGGTGATTGAAAAAAAAAAAACATACACACACAACTGTCTTGTCGAACCACGTGAAATATTGTGTTTGTTTTTCTTTATCTTTTTCTTATCTGTGTGCTTGTGACTATTGTGTGATTTCAGCTAACAGTTACCAACAAATACCAAATAGAAATTCCACAAGAAAAGGGGAAAAAGTAATCTAATACTATTCTTGCTTTAAACATGCAATTAGAGCTTCAAGCAGCACACAAGAAGAAAAATAATTTATTAATCTGATAAGAAAATGGAGAAAATAAACGAGGCAACTTGAGAATTCATGCTTGATTTCAATCTCCTAACTATTGTGCGACCCGATATTTGTGCATCACTTTACATGATATGACAATCATCAACATTTATTCTTAACCATATAAACAATAACCAAATCATGTGCTAGCATAAAAATCATTGTATATCAAAATAATTCTTTTTCAATGCTGCTTACTTTTGAGATGTCTCAGTAAGATTAAAATATTGAACTTTTGGTTTCTTTAGTGTTAAACAAATTCCAGTACAGTGTGCTTCAATGCTTCAATACTAGAAGCTGAAATCTAGTGAAAATCACAAATCTCAAAATGTTCCCACATTTTTGCAGAACTCTGAATGTATACATCCATTTGGATATTGTCAATTTGAACTTGGCCTCTAAAAGGACAGTGACTCCATATCATTCTAAAATAAAAATTGATCAATCGCAGGGTATATTCAGGATATCAAACTGCCATTATAATTCAATATTATCCCCTACTTAGCCACATTGGATATTATCTTCATCATCCAACTCAAAGGGCCTCAAATGTTATTGAGCACCTTCATAGATTTATGCTCATAAGAATATAACTTTTTTGAAATATGCACATAAGAAAAAGGCACTCTAAATAATTACATACCATCTCCCACATATTCTGGAACAATATCCTCCTCCCAGGCCTTCTTGAACAAGTCATCAAACTGTATCGACAACTCATTCTGCAAAAATTTACCATCCAAACGTAATATTCTCAGACATGTAAATACAAAGAGTAGTATCTCATATGATTGAAGTAGTTAAATTGGCAAAACAATCCAGCGACAGACCAACTTTTCCTCTGGTGTGGTACTAATTGGACTTTGATCCTTGTAAACATTCCATGCGCTAGGGTACACCTTCAGAAGAAATAACAAAGAAAAGTTAGCATAAAAAATTTGTCAAATCAATTGTAAAGATTAGGAATTTTGTAAATTTATTTTCTTTGGAGTTTTACAATTTAAATTTACATCAAGTTGGTTACCTTAAGATCTCCAAGATCTAATCCTCTCTTAAGGCTTGGAGGAATGGATTGAGCTGGGCCACCATTCAGCAGTTCATGCACCCATTCACCATTAGTAGCACCAGCAGGTAGAACTCTCTCCAGAGATTGAGAATTATCTAAACCTCCTGGATGAAAAGGGCGGTTGTTAATGCTCCCTCTCACAAAGTCCTTTGCAGGTCCAACAATCCGTGGCAAAGGACTAGAATCTTGAGCTCCAACAGTTAATTCTGAGACATCCACCTAAACAACATAACAAGCAGCTTTCTAGCAGAAGTTAAAACCAGCAAGATAGAAAAATAATGAGTCAGACATCCTGCCAAAGCACCTCAAGCCTCCCTTGGCATGAACATTCTGATGGAATTTGCAAACAATAAAACAAATGGATGTGATACCTAAACTCATATGCTAAGTTGATAGGAATTCCAAAGAAGAAAAGTGTACATATTTGGAGAACACCTTGTACCTGTACTGAATTTGGTTCCCATATTCCTTGTTCTGATCCTGATTTTTTTCTTCTAAAAGGTAACTCCCATGTTGGAACCACAATGGATCGTGGCAATGAAGGCTCCTGTAGAACTTTTGCCCTCTCAAACCAGTCAAAATCCCACTGCCTTCCAGCTTTTTCTGCTGAAAATTCATCAGTATCTAACCTTGGAAATAGATATTCCTCTTCTATGTGCTCCTTTATTGATTCATATGTCTCCCTAGGGAAGGCAGGGGGCTGGAATATATTAAGGTGAAAAGTAATTGACCATATGTCTAGCAGTATTTTGTTTTAACTGAATTATGATTCAAATAATCAAAGAAAAATATAAATGAAACAAGAATTGCATCGTTCAACAAGGTATCTTTTGAAAGTCTCCATTTATTTCATGGAGAATAATTTTCTAGTGGAGAAAAAAATATTTTCTTAGAGCATGCACCTTATTTGTTCCCTAATGAGTTCCTTCCATTTTCTGAGTATGTGAAAACCATAGAGTAACTTCCCATTTTGGAAATAGCTTAGCATTCCCTTTGACAGTTACATATTAGTTGACCAATTTTACTAAGTACCCTAAAACACCAAAAGTACAGAAGCAGAAAATGATATTTAGGACAGTATTTTCTGTGAAACATTTTCACCAACAGAGCAACCATGGTTGTACCACTAACAAAACAATATTATTGATATCTTTGAAATCTATATTGCAAATACATGTTCTAATTATACCATTAGAAATTTTGTATTAGCTCTATTTATATGACTTTTTTTTCCCAGAAACTCCAAATACAAAGTGGCCAAGAGACCAGAAAAACATCAACAATTGCTTCCAATATCACTAGCAGTTAACTTAATATCATTTGCAACGCAAAGTAGTAGCTAAACAGCACACAATTCAAGCAAAAAATCAATCACAAACCGAGACAATTGTAGAATAAAGTCCTGGACTGGACAACAAAAAATGAGAGTTCAAATTATTACTATGCACACAAGGCGCATGATGCAATTAACAAATTATTGAGATACTTACAAGGATAAAATCAGGAAGCGACTTGACGGGATTGGGGCGCTCTACGGTGGACAGAGGCTCGACTCTGAGATGGCCACTGTAGCCGGAGAAGCCGACCCGGAAAGCGAGTTCGTTTGTTGCTTGGATTCGATCCATATGGTATTGGCGAATTGTTGGAATCTCGAAAATTTGTTACTGCTTTTGCCTCTGGTTTTGATTCGAAGAGTAACATGGGTTTTTCGCGGGTTTTGAGTGAGTGAAAGAACTACGAAGTGAGGAAGAGGACAGCGTTTTATCGTTTTAACCTTTAAACCCAGTGTCCACCAACGTTTTGTTTATTATTCTCTATGGAAAAGCTGCAGATTTCTAAACCAAAAATAGAAAAATAAAATACACAAAAATAGATTCTTCAAAAAAAAAAAAAAAACAAAAAAAAAAAACAAAAAAACTACACCAAAATAGTACTTATCAACAAAAATAATTATAAATTTTTTTAAGTTTATAATTCGGTCAGGATTAAAAATCACTTTATTTCTGGAAAAAATAGCCAAAATAAAATAATTCAACAATACTATTATTTCTGCTTCAAAGAAAAAAAACAATATTATCTACTTTCCTGAATGATATTGGAACAAAAACATAACAAAATCTATTTTAATTGGAGCAATCAACCCATTTTTCAAACCGTAAGAATTTAATTAAATCAATATCATAGTCTTATAGTAACAAGTGCACATACGATTTAATAAAAGAAAAAACAAACAAAAACCTCTGTTATTAGATTTGAGTCAAATTTCTCTTTGATAAAATAATAACTTTTTCTTTTTTCATAACATTTCGAGATTCTTTTTTTTGATAAAATTCAAAATTTTTAACACTTACAAAAATTCGGAGTAAACGATGACAGCGTAGTAGTAGACACAGTAGTAGTAATATTGAGTTTTTTCATGTTGGACGGAACGTTTTATACACAATTTGAGCCAAAATTCTATCTAGGGCAAATTACATAATTGTGAACACATATATATATTTTTTTTGTCCTTTGAAGTTGTCATATCTCTAAAAAAAAAAAAAAAAAAACTACACAAAAATAGTACTATCAATCAAAAATAATTATAAATTTTTAAGTTTATAATTCGGCAGATTAAAATCACTTTATTTTGGAAAAATACAAAATAAAATAATTAACAATACTATTATTTCTGCTTCAAAGAAAAAACAATATTATTATTTCTGAATGATTTGGAAAAACAATAACAAAATCTATTTTAATTGGAGCAATCAACCCATTTTTCAAACGTAAATTTATGTAATCAATACATAGTCTAGTAGTAAGTGCACATACGATTTATAATAAAAGAAAAAAAAAACCTTTGTATAGATTGAGTCAAATTTCTCTTGATAAATAATAATTTTTTTTCATAACATTCGAGTATTTTTGATAAAATTCAAATTTAAACTTAAAAATTCGGAGTAATATGAGTTATTTTCATGTTGACGAACGTTTTATACAAATTGATCCAAAAATTCTATCTAGGGCAAATTACATATTGTGAACAATATATATATTTTTTTTTCTTTGAAGTGTCATATCTCTATGGTTGGATTATATTTGGTACGAACCAACCAAATTTCTTTTTATCCATGGGAGCTCAGCCAGCAGGCCAAAAGAATATTGTACATTTGCTATCTAATGAGTATTCCTTCAAATTATCGAATATTTGCTATTAAAAAATTAAATAAATTATTTATTTTAAAAATAAAGTCACTACATAATATTATAAAGACAATCAACAATTGGCTTTATTTTTAATTAGTCATTGCTCTAGCTTCTTTTGGAGTTATTACATCCTTAGTAGCTCTATATGTACTTATACACAGCCCAATACTTCATTACTCAGCCGCGTTAGTGATCCTTTACCGGCGGTGAACAAGCTTTGAAAAAACAAAAAATTGAACCGAACCAAATTATTGTTGGTTTCTGGTTTATTATTCAATTTTTGGTTTCAGTTTTGACTTAAAATTTTCTACAATTTTGATTTTGGGGCTTTGAATCGATTATTCTAAAATATTTGTTTTGTAAATAAAACCAAACCGATATATAGCGAATCAAACCGATCATTTTGTTTTAATTTCTAAATTTATTTTGTTTTAATTCGATTTAAAAAAAATATATTTTTAATTTTCAATTTTTACAGTGATTCCATTCAGAACCGAACCGCACATTTGCACACCCGATTCACTTACTCCTCTAAATAAAAGATTGAGTCCGCGGAAGGCCCAATTTTGTCTTAGATGTTTTATATTTCAATATTAACTTTTAATTATCTAAGTTTATTATACACTTATCCGCGACGTTATTTATGTTATTATGAAATTCTCATTTTACAAGACATGAATTAATTTTACATTTTTAATAGTTTTTTTTGTTTGAGATATCAAATTTTATTAGTATATTATTAATTAGTTTATATAGTTGTTAATTATTGTAAATTCATTAGATAAAAACCATTTTGCTTGAATTAAAAAATTATTATTCCTAAATAATTAGATTTGAGGGTAATTTAGGAAATCAAGGACAAATGAAATTTAATTCTGAAATTATATCAAACAACCATAATATGGAATTCAATTGAATTATGCATTTTAAGTTGTATCAAACCAAACATTGGAATTCATTTTTAAATAAATTATAAATCAAATGAAATTGAACCAAACACTGTAAAAATAGTAATAAGAAAAAAAAAAAAGAAGCAATTATTGAGCTTCAACTAGAGCTTTTAAAAAGCTTTTAATAAGCCTTAACTTTTGGATAATAATAATAATAATAATAATAATAATAATAATAATAATAAATATTTTCTGCAAGCTCAATTGTGCTGTTTTGTACTTGTACATGCTTTTAATTGATTTCTTTATATAATAATTAACTAGTAATGGGATTTAGTATCCATCACACATTATTTCTAAGTCTTGTGATTTACAAGAAGTTCCTTACAATTAGATCAACATTAAGTTGCCATTAATCATTCTGAATCTTATCTATGGACATAAGAAATTAAATATATTAAATTTCTATGCATGTTTTCATTTTCTTTTTTTCCAGATGAACATGTTTCCTTGTTGTAACAGATCATTGACAAGGTGCATTACTTTCAAATCCATAACTAATTACAGTAAAATAAATTTCTATGTTATTCAAGATGTGTCAGTACTAACAGTCTGCATCTGTTTTGATCCAGTGTTCCCTGTTTCCAGTTGAGTTACATCCACCCAGCCCATATTCAGAAAGTTTCAAGTTGTTCTTCTACCATTTTATCCCTTCCATTGACTTGAATCTTGGAAGAAATTTTCCATTGTCTTCATCCTGCTGGACCAGGTCTGCATTATGATGCAGATTCATCTTAATATTCTGCATGCCAAAGATGGAAAAAAAAAAAATCAGAAATCTGGCGGGAAATATGATTTAATTTATTTTGGGCAACAAGGTTCCTACTAATAGAAAGTTCCACATAATTGTTCGTGAACCATCATGTTTTTTCTTTGATAGTAAAATTGTTGTCCCGTGGAGACATTTATATTGAAAAGTATACTCTTTGGTCATGAATAAAGACCACTCAGATGGTCTAAATTGGTGATTTGAAAGACACTAGTGAAATGAATAGTTTTTAGTTTTAATATCTAGACAAGATTATGTCTCCCCACAGCCTATTTTGCGTTCAGACATTTATGGTTTTCTCTTGTAAACATCCCTCTGGTTGAGAGGCAATAGACTTAAAATCTGCTCCTTCTCATTATTTAACTTGAGAATCTATTGTCCAGAAATTCCGATAGCATGATTTAAGAAACAAATTAGCATTCACCATACTTAACCATAGATTATCAGGGTGTAGCAATAATATCGGATGTTTATGGATAGAATCATAGGATTCCTTATCTTAGGAAATCTAGAGCTGGAAGACGCACCTTAATAAGCTTTTTCTTTGTTGGAACAGAATTGGCAGCATCATCACTAGAAGGATAGGCAGGATTTCTTGAAGCATGAAACTTTCTTAGCATCTCTTGCTTTCTTTAATTCAACTCTTGTTTCAGGCAATTCTATTGATGACCCCAAGAGATATCCTTGAAGTAGACATATTGCAGTCTTCATCATAGGTATCTGTTCCTTCCATTTGCATGCCACTGAGATTAATGGTGCTAACATAACTGCTCCTTGCCAATGATTCATTGCAACCTTCTTCTTCTGCTTCAGCATCAAGAAAGTTTTCTAGTCCATTGTTTACGAGCTTCAAGTCATTCTCCAGTCACCACTGTTTTATCTGCAATGTTATCCAAAGACATGGGAAATGTAGGTGTTGCCAGCTTACTGTTGACTGCTTTTGATCCAAGAGTTTCAATAGCCAGAAAACCATGAAAAAGCTCAGACATGATAATTCTCATCTGCTCTATAATATAGCCAAAGAGCTCCCCAAAAAACTCCATCACAAAATTTGCCTCAACAACTTATGCACCCGAGCCTAACTTCCAACTTCTATAGATCTACCTGTTGTACACAACCAACTTGCTTCATGTCCTGACCCAATTTGTAAATCATTTGATAAATCTTATGTGATTTAGGGTGTGATTCGTCAAATACAGTGAATTCATGGACCTCATTATCCAGCTCAATTGAACTTGCTCCGGCTGGTTTTTGGACTCCAGTGCTCTTCATTTGCAACCTCATACCGGCAACACTATTCCAATCACCAGCAGCAGCAAAAATATTTGACAACATAGAGTAATTACCTGGATCTGATGGTTCAAGTGTAACAAGTCGTTCTAGTATCTCCTTTGCTAGTGCCTTTGAGTTATGCACTCTGCACGCCCCCAAAAGGGTACCCCAAATAACAGCATTTGGTTCCATTGGCATGCTCTGCACGAGCCTAAAAGCTTCCTTAAGACAACCTCTTCGACCTAAAAGATCAACCATGCAACCATAATGCTCAATGTGGGGAACAATCCCATAAACCCTTTCCATAGTATTAAAATAATGAAGACCCTCATCAACAAAGCCTGCATGCGTACAAGCACATAGAACACCAACCAAAGTAATTTTGTCAGGCTTAAACCCTTCCTGCTGCATTCTAGAAAAGAGCTGAAGCGCTTTATCGCCATGTCCATGGATAGCAAGCCCCTGGATCATGCAATTCCAAGAGACTAAATCTCTCCTTGGCATCCCATTAAACACATCTAATGCTTTGCCCACTTTACCACACTTCGCATACATATCAACCAATGCATTAGACACATTAACACTGCACTTGGACCTAGTTCTCTCAATAGAGGCATGAACTCTTTTCCCTAACCCAAGAAAACCAGACTCGGCACAAGCTGCCAGTACGCTAATAAAAGTTCCATCGTCAGGCTTTAATCCAGTTGCTTCCATCTGATCAAATAATCTCGCTGCCTCCTGCACAGTCCCTTTTTCAGCATATCCAGATATAATTATGGTCCAAGAAACCAAATTCTTGACTGGCATTTTATCAAACAACATCCTAGCCATTTCCAAATCTCCTGCTTTACAATATCCTGAAAGCATAGTTGACCACGAGACCACGTTCCTCCCTGGCATTTTCTCAAACAACTCAAACGCGTCATTCATTGCTCCTGCCTTTACATAAGCATCTAACATGGTGTTCCAACTAACTGTATCTCTCACAGGCATTTCCTCAAACAACTTACGAGCCCCACTCATATCCCCAGTTTTAACCAACCCACCAATCATAGAATTCCAAGAAACAACATCTTTCTCATCCATTGCCATAAACAACTTCAATGCAGAATTAACACCCGATAAACCACATTTAGAATAACTATCAATCAGTGAATTGGGCACAAACATATCTCCAAAATATCCATATTTCTCCACATGGCTATGTATCATTTGCACCATGGGCAACCAAGCCTGTCCATTACAGGCCTTTAAAAGAAAAGGGTATGTGAAATTATCTGCAAAAATACCATTCTTTTGCATGTCAAAGAAAGCAGCAAAAGCCAATGATGACTGAGAGTTCTGCACGTGAGCTCTTATCAAAGTATTATACAACTGAACATTAGGGTCTTGAATTTGGTTAAAAACGTTGATAGCCAAAGTCATTTGTTGACAATGAGAGAAGGCCAATACTAGCTTGGGAGTTACATAGAGATCTTCGTGGAGATTCCTTTTGATTATTTGGGCATGAACTTCCTTTACTTGGTTTAGATTTTTGCATTTATGGAGGTCTTCCAGCTTTTGCTCAAAGAGCCTTCTCGTTGAAACCCATGCTGGGGCTCTAATTGCCGCCGACATTTGTGGGGTTTTTTAGACAGGGAAGAAGACAGGGCTCAACGATATCTATATTTTGTTCAATTCACCGGCCACCGTATAGCTACAGGTATTAGGTATTCTATTCCCGGTATTGGTTCGATTTTTCAATTTTAAGTCGAACCGAACCGAACCGAACCGCAAAAGTGTGTGTGGTAATTTGACAAAAATGCCACGGACTCGAACACAGAATTTAATGGGATTTGAATATGCTTTCGCATCCGCCTCTCCAGAAGCTTCTCCACTTACCTCTTACTAAATAAGGCTTTTCAGTTACCGATTGTTGCCATTTCGTAATTGTTCACTGCATTTGTGAGATCGAGATCGAGCCTCCTATTGCTAAACAAATCAAAACTACCCAGCGAGAAGGTTATACCAATTTTTTTATGGTGATCTTTCGTTCTTGTTCTTCTTAATTTTAATTTGAATTCGTCCCTGCTTCCATTTGATTTCTCGATTTTGTGATTATAGTCGGGTTTGTAATATTGTGGTTAGCGTTTTTGATTGATGGTTAAATTTTCTGCGTAGTTTCTAGCATTTTTGGATATATATTTGTTTTTTGAACTCCAAATAACTTGATTTGGTTCTTAGATATCTGTAGATTAGATGATTTCCTTGAAATTATCATTTTAGTTTACAAATTGGTTGCAAATATATCCTGATTTCTTAGGTTTTCAGATTGCTAGGACATGATGAATGTGTTAAATTTCCATTTTAATGTCCTCAGCCTGTGTTGATTATTCATGTGGACTCCTAAATTATTGTTGGAGTTAAAAGAATGTGAAATTCCTTTCATTTTCTAATGAAATTCATACAGAATTCGTATGTAAATATATTCTCCCTCATGAGTTGCATTATAAATATAAAAAATTTTCTAACTTTTTTATACCCTTTTTAAATTTTATCATCACAAACTCGGTCAATTTATCGACTAATCCATGTGGAATTTAAAAGATAATATGCTTTGAGATTCCAAATATATATATATACACACACATACACAAACACACCGTGAAAGACTCTTTGAGGAATCAAAGGCATATTTTTGTTTTTCTAAGTTGTCTTTTGTTTTTGATGTATTTTGTTTTCCCCTCTATGGTGTGTCCCCAGATGTCGTACTCCAGAAGGTCAAGATATTCCCGATCTCCTTCCCCATACAAGCGATACAGCAGGTCTGTCTCGAGATCATTGTCCAGGTCAAGGTCGAGGTCGACGGATAGGTTAAGATCAAGGTGTGCGTGGTTGCTGAGCTGATTTCTTTGTGCTATTATCTCTATAGCTGAGTTATCTACTCGTGTCATGATTTTGTTGGCAGGAGTCCTTCAAGTGATGTGGACAATCCTGGTAACAATTTGTATGTGACAGGGCTGTCACCTCGAATCACCAAGAGAGACCTTGAGAAGCATTTTGCTAGTGAAGGAACGGTATGCCTAACATAAATAATCTATTTTTACTTCCTAACTATGAATGCTAGAATTTTCTGAATCGATGTTGTTTGGAAATGATTTTCATTTTATTTGTTGTGTTCTTACAATTGGAAGCTTGATTTTTTTTAATCCTTTTAGGTGGTTGATGTTCATCTTGTTGTTGATCCATGGACTAGAGAATCTCGTGGTTTTGGCTTTGTTACTATGTCCAGTGTTGGGGAAGCTGATCGCTGCATTAAGTATTTGAACCGCTCTGTTCTTGAAGGTCGTGTCATTACGGTGGAGAAGGTATAACATTCAATCATTTTTCTACAGGGAGCCTACAAAAATTTATTGTTTCTTGGTTACTTTGCTACAATTAAATTGTGTTAAGAATTCTGGATGGTTTGCTATTAGTTCTTATGAGTTTGTAAGTTGTTTGCTTCTTTCCACTTGAAGTTTCTGTTGCAGCAGGTTAGCTGTGTGTAGCAGCTCTTCGTCAAACTCTCAAGTTCTTACCACAACTAAACAAACAAATCAAACATCAACAAGTATCAGACTGTTAGGGTTGTATGCCCTGCATTTCTCTCCTTCTTTAGCAATTAAATCTTCTGCTGTTTAAATTTATATGCCTAAGATTTATGGAAATTTGATTTTAGCATTGTAAATATATAGTGTATATATATATATATATATATGTATACTTGGAAAAAAAAAAAGGTTATGTTCCTTATTGATATCTCTGTTACTTTTAAAATTGGTTTTGCAATGCAGTGGACTGAATCTTTTAATTTATTTAGGCTAAGAGGCGGCGAGGACGAACTCCTACTCCTGGAAGGTATCTGGGGCTTAGAACCATTCGTGGTGAGTATGACGATTTCCACAACATGTGTTAATTATTCTCCTTGTTTTCTAGTTCATAGACATTCATCTCTTCTACTATTTCTTATTTTTTGTTTGTTGCAGTGCGCCGCTGGACACCTAGTTATTCTCCCCGTCGATCGCCAAGCTACTCTCCTTATGAGAGGAGTCGGAGTCGGTCACCTCGTTATTCATCAGAACACAGCAGGAGTAGGTCATATTCTCCTTACCATAGGCGGGGCCGACCCTACTCTCCCTATCACCGTCGGCGCAGATCATATTCACCTTATTATTATAGCCGGAGCAGGTCTTACTCAAGATCTCCTTACAGTAGGTCCCCTGTGAGTAGGCGTGACCGGTCATACTCACCATATGACTCCAGGTATCATTCACCAGATGACCGATACTACAGAAGGCATTCCTATCGCTCTGTTTCTCGAAGTCCTACGCCACGAAGAACAAGAAGCTCAAGGAGGAGCTACTCACGCAGCATTTCCAGGAGTCCAAGAAGGAGCTACTCGCGAAGCATTTCCCCTAGAAAAAGTTCAAGGCGGAGTTACTCGAGAAGCCCCTCCCCAGTGTTGAGGAAGAGCTTGAGGAGAAGTTACTCTAGAAGCCTTTCTCCTAGGGATAGGAAGAGCTCCAGAACTATATACCGCAATGGGTCGGCAAGGCGTGAACGTTCTCAAGATAGTTACTCAAGGAGCCCAAGTGCGAGTCCGAGTTTCCGATCTGTTTCTAGGTCTGCTACACCTAGTTCTACTTCTCCATCTTCTTGAGTGGAAGAGTGTATGCTATTGTAGCTCACAGGATATGTGGCCGTGGTGTTTGAGTCTTGGCATGACTTACTGTTGATTGGAGTTTCTGTCTCCTTTCCTGTAATGACTGATCTGTTATTGTTAATAATCTTGCTACTTGAAACCGATAAATAGAATGGTTGCTGTTTGGTATCAGGAAGAAAGTGACCTGGAAAAAAAGCCTAGGAATTTGAATCCATTTTTATCGTTTTCTTAGTTGAAGGCTTTTTACATGTTCACTTTGGCAGGCAATAAAATATTATGAGTACTGAAGCTGAGGTTCTTGTCCCTAGCTGGGATATTTGCTTCCAATTTTGTAGGACTACTGAAGTGGTCTCGTCAATAGTTGCATTAGGTGTTTAATTACTCTGTTGATATTTAGAGACTAAATCACGCACATGTTCCTAGGATGGTGATGTGTTGCGATATTAAGATTGTATCAAAAACAAAGTCAAATCATTAAATGGTTAATTGTTAAATAGTCTTTAATGAAGAATCATTCATTTGAGAAATTAGATCGATTCAAAATACTTCTAGTTGTTAGGACATAAGTAGATGTCATGGATGAATTAGAAGTCTATATTTTTAATTATTGCAATTTCTATTTTTCTGATTTGTGTAAAATTCTATTAAAGTTTTGCTTATGTAATATATATGTAGCTTCTCATTAATAATAATGTATTTTCGTATTTTCTTTTATATTATTTTATAATACGTTATTAGCATGGATCGTTCTATTACTATGAATTCGTTCTGCCGTTTTTGATTTTTATTTTATCGCTCCCTTGATCAAGTCGGTCGAAGAAAGGATAATTTATGGTTTGCGAGAATCAAAGTTAAGGCTTGAGTCTTTTAAATATTTATTTAATTATGATATTATATTATTGGTACTCTTCAATTATATGTTTGATTTAATTTTTTAATTGATTTTGTTTAATTATGGTCTTAATAGATAATTGGATTTCTTTAATTTTTGTATGGTCTTGCGACATTAATTTGATATTATTGCAATTAAATGTAGATTTTTAGTTATTTTTGCCAATTGTTTTACTCATGAAGCCATAGTGGTTTGCCGATATGATCTCTTGTGTTGGATTGTATGGTTTGGTGAAATACTTTAATTTATTTGATTGACAAAATGTCTATGGAGTGCCAATTTAAATTTATATTTAACCTTAATTATTATTTGGGCACAATGCCCTAATTTATTTATTTTTTAAAAAATCGAAGAATTACCAATCACAATCAGTTTATATTCATCTATAAATATTTGTTTATATCGGCTTATTTACTTCCACATTACAAAGCTTATTAACAACAAGTAAACTGATGAAAATATGTAATCGTTTGATGGATAATAAAACAAAAGATTTGTTTATATAAAAAATATTATAAGGGCTAAATATTTTTTTTTATATAGCTAATAAAAAAAATCTTTTTATAAAGATTTGCTTATAAAGTATGCACTGCACATATTTATTTTGTTTATTATTTTTATTTTTCAGTAAAATATGTGGTTTATTTTGCCCATATCTGATTTTGAATTAATTGGTAAATAATGACGGTTTTAGCATCTTTATAAGCTGATGTTTTATTTGTTAATCGCTTTATATTATTCGATACATATATTTATGTGGAAATAAATATTGATAATTTATTTGTCAACTATATTACTTTAAGTTGTATTCACTTTTGAATTTATTTAATTTAGTTGATTATTTTTAAATTTTTTGTTATGATCTTATTGTCTATTTTGTTTTATTATAATCACTTTCATGATATTAAATATATAGATTTTGAATTTATGGCCTTCTATATTTCCATCAAGAATTATTATATTTAGATACAATGGATCTTAAATATAAAATTAAAAAAGGAGATTAAGGATCTAGTCAAAATAGCATAAAGATTTGTTTTTTTGGAATGATTTGAAAGAAATGTATAATTGCAAAAAGTTCACCGCAAATAGATGCAATTATCGATGCAAAGTTCGTAAAATTGTAAGTGATTATAATTTTGTAATATTAAGATTATTGTTTTATTATTGTATATTGACATGTATTATTCATGTGTTACCAATTTTGAGAAGTGATTTATTTATTTTTAAATATAATTAAGATATTATTATTATTATTATGTTTGGGATCTATATATTAGCTTTTGATATAGAATTGTTAATGACATCTATACCTCGAATATGCTCCTGAAGTAGCAATATCGAGAGAAAAAGTTTTAAGAGAAATTTTAGATTTATTTCATATCTTTTTTATCATTAAGCAAAATAAAAAGATCTTAATAAAGATCATGAGGCTGTTAACTGGATTTTGCTTCATTCCCTAAAGTGAATGGAAGAATATATGTATATATATGAATGTAGCCATGTCTATCTAACTACATCTTATTCATTATTTGAAGTGAATGCAATAATATATAGCATGAATAATGACAAAAATATATTTGTCATTCATAATATCAATAAGATCACAGTTGAAGTAATGAATTTAGAAATTATGATGGTCACATAATTAAGAATAAATTTTAACACCAGAAGTAGTACAAATAATATGGCATATATGGATACATTTGATTATGCACGTATTAAACACAAAAATATAAAAAGGTAAATTTGGCTTTGGTAGTAAAATAATAGTTAAAGGCTCTAGAAGAGCAAATATTACTACCTAGAGGAATGAATTTTATGCATAATGTATTATTCCAAAGACATTCATTAAAATGGATACATAGTTTGTTCTCAAAGTAAATTAATTATTGAATTGAATGTAGCCATGTCTATCCTAAACTTACATCTTAATTCATTATTTGAATGAATGCAATAAGTTATATAGCTCAGATGATAATGACAAAAAAATATTTGTCATTCATAATATCAATAAGATTCACAGTTCGACAAGGTATATGTAATTGAGCAAAATTTATGTATTGTCACCTATTTAAAATCTAGAATTTTAACACCAGAAAATGTAGTACAAAATAATATGGCCATATATGGGTATAATGATTACTGGCACCGGATATCTTAAAAACCAAAAATGATAAACCAACATGGTTTTAAATATCTCGGCATTAGGTTAAGGGTAAATAATAGTTGAGAAGGCTCTAGAAGGAGCAAAAATATTATACCTAGAGGAAATAGAATGAATTTACTGCCATAATCTAGAGGAATGAATTTTATGCATAATGTATTATTCCAAAGACATTCATTAAAATGGATACATAGTTTGTTCTCAAAGTAAATTAATTATTGAGCAACCACATAGTTCAAAAGAACTACTTATGTTTTCTGGAATATATATAAGGTGAAATTATTGATCAATTGATTTGGATAGATTATGGACGCATCCAAAAGATAGTTGCATGATTATTAATTTGCAATATGGAGTTTGCAAATATTATTAACTTGCAACCTGAAGTTTGCAAGATTATTTGCGCAAATAATTTGATTAAACATACAATTTTCAGATTATGTTATTAAGTTAATTTATCTTGAGAATAATGGTGAATTTACAAATCAGCCCTTTAATGACTATGACATGTGTTGATTGAAATAATTATAAGGTATTTAGTTGTTGCTTTTATTTATGCTCAAAAATGATTTAGTAGAATCATTTATAAATGATTGCAATTAATTGCAAGACAATTATTATGAGAATGAATCTCCTTTTAGAGGGACATGCTATTAAATTTAATAATACTTACTTGCATCAAGCCAATAAATCATTATAACTTCTCCCCTTTATAATTGATTTTGGATCAGTTTTCCGATTAGAGGACTAAGTTGCCCTATTCTAAATTTAATATACTACTTGCATCAAAGCCAATAATCATTAATAACGTTCTCACCCCTTCACTTTAATTAATGCCACAAATTGGATCAGAAACTCAAATAATTACCTATTAAAGAAGATTTTTGAACAAATATCGTGACGGGTAGGAGTCTTAATTTTTAAGATCGTATACTATTTAAGATTTGACTCTCAAACCACAACGCACTAAGGATGGGGTCATCATAAAGACATCTTAGAATGGGCACAATGAGTTGGATATTCGGTATCGATATCTATGATTTAAACTTTGTAGAACGTTTCTATAATATAAGAAATTTTAGCACATATCTCAAGATCTATAGTTTGACACTTGTTTATTTGATCTCATCGACATAAAGCGGGGGATAATATATTAGATAAACTAGAATATTTAAATGTGTTGAAACACGGATAATAAATAGGTGTATAACTTATATTTTTCGATGCCTCGATTAACATTGGCTGGAGGTTTTAAAGTTTTTGGGGAGGAGAGGAAGATTCATTGTCACAAAAAATTAAAATGCAGAGAACTTATATTTGCTAGATAATATTTAATATTAGATCAAGAAAAAGTAGAAATTATAGAAATTCTCAAACATACAGTAGCTGCAAATGCTTGTTATGACGAATTATAAGTTGCTTGAAGGATAAACTGCCTGATGCTAATGAGTTCTATGAGGCACATCTTGAACGCGTGGTATGACTAAATCAGTTTTAAGGAATAAAAAAATCCTAGAAAAGGAAAGGAGCAAATATCCAGATGAATTCAAGCTCTAGAAGAGCAAATTTTATAAATAGAAGAAGAGTTCTAGACATGAATGATCAAGCTCTAGAAGAGCAAATTATGAAAGAAGTTCTTAGACATGACTAATAAGTTTTCCAAATAAATTTAGGTATCTGAAATCAATAAAGATTATGAGATCTCTATAAATTATGTCATGTCAGGACAAGTATAGAATTGATATAAAATAAACTTCGATGATATTTTTATATATAATATAGTGCTTGAAATTATGAAATGAGGATCTTTAACATAGTCTATTGGATTGATTGACCAAGATACAACAACGCATGTGGCATTTAAATTTACTTCAAAAGTAAATTTTGAAATCTTAATATGGACATCAAAGATGTCAAGCTATTAGAATACAAATATGTATTTGTGCGAAATTAAAATGGGATCATGAGATATAAAGCAAACTTATTGCACAAGTTTTTCGCAAAGAACTTACATTGATTATGAAGATAAATATCATCATGTGGTGGATGTAATAATAATTTGATATTTAATTAGTCTGGCAATTTATGAAAATTCGAAATGCGCCTAATGAATTGATAACTGTCTATTTATATGTTAACTTAATATATTATTGGAGTATTTAAGTTGAGTCCTTTGGCGAGATTCTGATGAGACTAAAAATAAGTACTATATAAAATAGCGCCATAAGTAGCAATCTGATAACTTGTCTTTATTTATATGTTAACTTAATATATATAATATATAGATCTTATATATATATATATAATAATATATATATGAATAATCTCCCCCGGAGGATTCTTGATCTGCTTGAGCCCATAAAGTTAAATTCTTTGAAAATTTTTATTCAATCCAACATTCGTACCCATACAGTTCTATGGATTAGCAGATAATAAATCCATGAAAAAATATTGATAAAATGTTTGAAAGCAAGCAAATCGAGATCAAGGGCGCGGGTATTAATAAGTATTCAGATTTCCATATATATGGATTTATTCACAAGAACATCACAATCATACGGTACAATCACCTTAAGTGATCAGTATGGCTGAAAAAATATTATATTTATTTTAATAATTATACTTAATATTCTATTATTTATCACAATTATATTAGTTTGGAAAGTCACGATACTATCAAATAAACGATTTATATCTCTATGGATATAAATTTCACCCTCTGGGATATTATTTACGATACAAGTAAAATAAAGTTAAATTCTTGAAAATTTTATTCAATCAAATTGTATACAGTTCTATGGATTAGCAGATAATAATATCCATGAAATATTGAAAAATGTTTGAAGCAAGCAAATCGAGATCAGCGAAATATATTCAAGATTTCTATATGGATTAAAGAAATCACAATCAATACGGTACAATCACCTTAATGATATGTATGGCTGAAAAAATATTATATTATTTTATAATTATATTATATTTATAATATTGTTTTGTTGAAAGTCACATACTATCATACTTTGATATTTACTTTATATATTACGACAAGTAAAGTGATCTCTTGATTAATGAATATTTGTTGAAAGAATGATATAGTGATATTATAATATGTTCATGAATTTTTATAAAGATATTTGAACAAGAATTTATCATTATTTGATCATGAACATTATTGGAACTCCTGAAGAGCTTCCAAAGATTATAGATTCTTTAAGAGAAGAGTTTGATATAAAAGACATTGGATATATAAAGTTCTACCTCGGCTAGAAGATCGAGCATTTTATAAATGAAATTTTATCTATGAATTTACATATATGGCTAAGTTATCAAAATAAAATTATGTGGATGTCAATGGCTGGTGAGGTCATTTGATGAGAAGATGATCATTGTTCACTTTGAGAAAATTATAAAGAACTTATTGGTCTTAAAGTATCATTTCTTAGTGCAATAAAGGCGCTAATATATCTTGTTAGTCATATGACTTGATATAAGCATATTCATAAATTTTATTTGCAGGATATAGTTTTTCTAAAATATGAAGAAATTATTCTTAGAGGAATGATATATTAAAGAAAACAAGAAGATCATATTTTACAAAAAATTTCTTTTCGCTCATGATCTATAAAGAAATGACAATTTGAAGTTCAACCACTCAAGCGATAATATTATAAATTTGCTCATTAAAATACTTTCTACTACAAATTTTCTATTTATAAACTTTCTACCACAAGTTTTTGAAGGATTAATGTACCAAATTAAAATTATAAACTCGAAGATCTCAAGATTTATCTTCATGAGAGAGTAAATACGCATTATACTCTTTTTCCCTTTAACCAAGATTTTTTCCCATTAGGTTTTCCTGATAAAGGCTTTTAATGAGAGAGTATTTCAATGCATATTTTAGAAAAGAAGAATATACTACTTTTTTTTCATTAAGATTTTTTTCCCTATAAGGTTTTTTGTTAGTAAGGTTTTGACGATATATATTCTTTGAAGAATGAACATCCAAGGAGGAGTGTTATGAAATAAATGGATGTCCTATATGGGCTAAGAAGTCTGTATTCTTAATTATTGCAAACTCTATCTTCCTGATTTGTGTAAAACTTTATTAAGGTTCTCCTTATGTAACTCTATGTATATATATATGTGATTTCTCATTAATAATAATAACACTCTCATATTCTCTGCCATATTTTGCTTTCTATTACTTCACTTTCTTCTCATGAGTTTTATATCATTTTATAACAGTGGTTTCAAGAAATCTTTATGTTTTTTGTCAAATGCACTAAACAGGATATGGTTTTGAAAATTACACTATTTAGTCATTGCATTGTAATTCTATTATATTATAAGATCCAATTGCTAATTTTTCTATTAGGCGATTATGAAATTTAAAAATACTATAGAGGATAATCATTATATAAGACTAGGTAGTATAAAATTATGAAAATTAATATCTTTATTAGTCCATTTCTCCAAACTATAGCACAATATAGTAATTATTTTTAGGAGTACTTTAATTTTAGTCATCTAACAAAAAAACTAAAATCTCATAGTGTAACGAAATTATACTGTTAGGGGTAAATAGTATGATTTTACAAACCAAAATCCTTACTAGTGTATTTAAACGATATCTAGGAGATATTACATAGCTTCGTGAAACTATATTATATTCAATCAACAATCTAATAAAATATCAACTGTCAAAAACAAACAATATATTCTTCCATCAGGCTGCCAAAGATAATTGCATATATAAATACGTGAATAGTTGTAAACCATTATGTGGCGGTACTTTCTGATATAACATGTGTGCAGTACAACAGAGAAGCATAGGATTTGGTTTTATTTCTTTTACATATGCTTATCCTGATACAAGTGTAGTTCCTTACACCTGATATTTCTCCACATTCTTCCTACCTTGACATTATTTGGCTGAAATCACATACTGCACAGGTTGAAGACTGGTGCATCATACTATTTATGGTACTCGGCACTCTTCTATGTTCCAGATCTCCTTCGCATATTGAGCAATTGTGCGATCGCTGCTGAATTTACCACTTCCTGCAGTACTCAATATGGACATTTTCAACCATCTCTTCCGATCCCTGCAAGCGACAAGCGACATTTGATGTTTTCTAATAGTTAATCATCAGTTCACTTGATCATACGGGAACAATGTGTACTGTAAATTGTCTCAGGGTGAAAAGTCAAAGCAAGTATGTAAAGGAGAGATTAGAAAGCAGTGGTGTGGGCAATTATAGACTTGATTTGATAAACAGCTTTAAGTAGGCCTGGTCAACCTTACAAACTGGATCAAACTACCTGTTCTAGTTCTTCAAATTGGAGAACAGGAATTGGTGCCTCTATCTGGCTGGTTTTTCAAGGTGAAAAATTATTTCTATTTGACCAGTTTCAAAGTGCAACAAGACCCTCAGTTGCAACCAAGAGTTTGGTCCTGGTTCCATTATCATGGGAAGTGGAACCATTCCGTTTCCAGTTTTTCTTTTCTTTGGTTCGGTTCCAACCAATTCCCAACCTTGGCCAGGCAAGCCTAAAGTTTCAATCAAGCAGTAATTAGAGAGACTATCACGACAAGTCGTTGTCAAAGATTGTCTTCTTGTGTGGGGTACAGCTCCATATGTTTTTAAGACAATCTTGTGGAAATAACAACCTCAAACATAAAAAAATGTTGAATTCAAGAATATGGTAATCAATATCTTACTTGTAAGCTTCATCTACTCTTTCCTGAGCATCCAAATAACTTGGGAAGTCATACCCAACAAGAAAATAATCACCACGGCCATAACCAGAGTTACCCTCAAGAGATTCAAGAAGAGGGTTGTAATCATAGCTTCCAAATGCCCCACTTCTAATGAACTGCTTGGCCTCTTCAAACCGAGGATCCGGTTTGAACTGTCATCAGCAAGTGTGATGTTAGATAGAGAAACAGGATACTAGTTTATTTTTATGAAATAACAGAATTAACCACAAAATAGGAAAGCTGAGAATATTTTTAAGCAACAGAAGAAAATTTAATCCTGAAGTAACTAAAACGTCCTATTCCTTTTCCTTTTCGGTGGGAAGTGACTGTGATTATTATTTCATAGAACACTTCATTGGTAAATTAACTTCGTTCCACCACAACTTGTAGTAGGTGCAGGGGCCACTGCCAAGTCAATACTCTTTTAGAAGGTCTCTTGCAAGATTTAGGTGTAATTAACTAAATGCATCAACTTAATTGGAAAGCTTCCACTGGCCCCGTTTTCCAGTAAGGTTTAATCACAAGGGGACCTGGAAGAGCAGCAGTTACATAGTGATCTGGTTATCAAAAAATTGCAAATTCTTCTTGTTCTTACCAATCCATTCTCTCTTTCCTTTCGGAGCCTAGGGACTTCATCTGCTGTTGCACCAAAGAGAAAGAAATTATCCTGTCCTATTTCCTCCCTGATCTCCACATTAGCCCCATCCAGTGTTCCTATTATAAGGCAACCATTGAGTGAAAATTTCATGTTGCTAGTGCCACTTGCCTCCATGCCTGCAGTACTGATATGCTGTGATAGTTCACTTCCTGGAATAAGCATCTCTGCCACAGACACATTGTAATTTGGAACAAATACTACCTGAAAATACAGCAATCTGTGAGTGGAAGGCCTGCATATACCATAAACATGGAATACATGGATGTATTTAAGGAGCATGTGCAGTATTTCTTTCGCAGAATCTCATTTCCCATGCCAGAAGATGCAAAGGCTTGTTGTTTGATATCAAATGCAAAATAAATGAGTTAATTAAAAGGTTGAACAAATTGGCTCTTGCAAGTTCTATAATTTTAGGTTCCTTTTTTGAGTAAACAGTTAAGCAAAAGAAAGTACAAACACTGAGCAGAAAAAGATCAACCATCATATAAAAAAAAGGAAGATGAAGATGTTTATGAATATGGTATCGCAGAAGGCAGAATAATAATGCAACTGCAAGATTGGAAGGGCATGCCTCAGAAAAGTACCAATCAAATTGGCAGTTTGACAAGAGATTGTCACCAACCATATACGGCAGTATAAATATATATATATAGCTATATTATTTCCAGTTGAACAATAATCTTTCCCTGTAAACACAATTACTCATTTGATGTATTGGTCCCTAGAGCTTAGGGCCCGAGGTCTTGAGTTTTATTTTTAAGTTCTAATATCACATATGTTTAACAATGGGAAAAACCAAGTTATCCTGAAATATTTGATGGCTCGACTCATATAAGGGCTATTTCAGACTCATTTATCTGCACTAATGACTGATTTACAAACCTAAGTTGAAGCACACTTAAACAAATGAGCCAAGTTTGAACAATAATGGGCTCCAACTCCTTTTTCGACATCTGCTTATGGTTTGATTATGAACTCCTAATAGGTTGAGTTCCACTTATAGCTTGCTTAAGGCACATGAATAACAATTCTTCAAAAGCTTAGGCTTTGGTTGCTAAAATATATGACCTCTGCTAGAGTTATAATTTTCAGACAAACAAATAAAAAAAATTCATGAACTCCAAGGCTCATGTCAACAAAATCTGTTGAATTTAATCTACTAGTTCTTATTTGAAAAATGAGCCAACTATGAGCTAATCTAGGCTCTGTTCTGCTGACTTGTGTGGTGAAACTTCATGTATCTTCCGAAAACCAAATTTATTACCTTCAAGTAACTATTGACTTCAGGATCAGTGTTGACAACAGCACCAACATCATTTACCAGCTTCACTATTCTTTTTGCGTTTGTGTATGTAGCAAATGCTTTTCCTCCTATCATGACAGTCCGTGGAGTACTTTTCTTCCGCTTTTCAATGCTCATCTCCTGTCAGAGTCCAGTAAAAGTAAGTCTGAAGTAGAATAAGTCATGCCACATAAAATTATACAGTATTAAGCACATAGTGCTATATAACGAGTGAGCAACAAAAGAAATAGCGGCCTTAACAGGTGCACTGTTATGACAACGTGCTAAAGTAGGAAGTGGCTGATGTGCTAGTTGATTTGAATGAAAACTATCATTCATTAGGAAATAAATAAAAAGTGAGAAAGAAATGTCTTGGTACCTTCAGTTTCTTGTATCTGAAAACTACACCCAAAATGTTCAGCAGCTGTCTTTTATATTCATGGATTCGCTTGACTTGTATGTCAAAAAGACTATTTGGATCAATGCTTACACCTGTCACTCGCATTATGTACTCTGCCAAACGCCGTTTATTAGCCATCTTGGCAGAATCCCATTCAGCTTGGAAGTCCGCATTGTCCACAAACTATTCAAGAAAATCTCAGTAGTGAATACATGAAACCACTTTTGTGCAGATGAGTTCACACAAATACAGCATGTAGATACTTACCTGTCGAAGACCTGCAAGTAGGTCAAGCTTGGTAATCCACTGGTCAGTTTTTAATTGTTTTGTAATTATGTCACTAAGCTCAGGACTGCAAAATCTGAGCCAACGGCGAGGCGTAATGCCATTGGTTTTGTTTTGGAACTTTTTTGGCCATATTGAGACATAGTCTGCAAATAACTCGGACTTTAAGATATCACTGTGTAACTGGGCAACACCGTTTACCTGCAAAGCAAATTCAAAAAACAATCTTATTAAGTCACCTCACGATTCTGAGCTTAAGGGCTCAGCTAATTGAGATAATGCATCTCATTGTCTTTTTAGATCTCTAGAAAGATGATCCGCTTACCGTATGTGAAGAAACCACACATAAATTTGCCATCCGAACAACTGGCTTTTGGGGATTATTATCCAAGACACACATGCTAGAAATCTTACTCTCAAGATCAGTTCGACTGCTGCGTATCATTGCAATGAACTGCAGTATTTTCAAAGTTGACATACAGATTACAGCATCACATATATAGATGTGGAGGAGTGCAAATGGTTAGTTCATATACCCTCTTGTCTATTTCTTCTATGATTTCCATATGGCGTGGAAGAAGTTTCCGAATCACAGTTTGTGACCACTTCTCCAGTGCTTCAGGAAGGACTGTGTGATTGGTATAAGCAATGGTCCTGGTTAAAAAATCAAAATTTTATTTTGCAGACCTCAATAATAATATATATATATGGTTAAGAAGGATTATGAGAAACAGCAGAAGTCCTCAAGAACATGAGTTTACACACTTTATTGTCACATCCCAAGCTTCATCCCATCCGAGTCCTTCTTCATCCATTAATAACCGCATCAGCTCCGGAATAGCAAGAGTGGGATGAGTATCATTCAATTGCACAGCCACCTTGCTGGGAAACTCAGACCATTTCCATGAGCTCTTTCCAGTTCTCCTCTCCTTAAATCTGAGAATTATATCCTGCAATTAGTCTCAAGATTAGGCTGAGTAGTAGTGGAAAAATAGCAAAATGCAACATTTAGAACCTGAAGAAACACGAGTTGGGAATTACTGTATCTCTACAAGAGAGCACCCTTTTACAAAAAAATGTGGAAAATTGGATCAAGTCACCTATTATACACTGTAGATTCTCTTTGGAATTCTCAGCTGCCCACCCCTTGCCTAGCAGGCAGTAGTGGAGCCAAGATGTGGAAGGAGGAAGGGGGAGAGGGGGATGCACAGGTGCTTCTGGAGGAATCCCTCGGATCATCAGATGGTGAGATTTTGGGGGGGAATAGAATAATTTATATAGCAAGGTTTTTTTAAGAATTGAATAATTTACTCAGTTAAAATGATTTATAAACTTCTTTCACTGTGGTGCCAAAAACAGGTCCATTTTCACATTAGTACTTGAGTTCTTAGTGCCACTTGACCTGATATGTCCTCCAATTGACTCCATTCTACATTTTCAGGACCAATGGTGAAGCTAGAATTTTACATCAGGAGTGTCAAAAGTGTATGTATTTGAAATCAGAATGTAAAGGTTGTGCAATTTTTGAAAAGCAGGGCAGTTTTTAATTATTTCTTAAATTCCAGTTGATGAAATTCTCTTTTTCAAAAATATAATAAATTTAAATTAAATTTTAATTGTTGAATAAGTCCTAAATGTTCCTAAATTAGAAAGTTTGTAGGTTAATAGCAATTGAAAAGTATGGACTCAAGAGACAGCTTGAAAAATTCAGAGGTTTAAAAATAAATTATTCCTCATATTATATATTCATATCAAAGGCGACAACAATGTTCAATACAGTACTAAGTGTGTCATGAGTGATAACTTTATAATTGAAGTTACACTTTAAGATAGGTATCCAAAGTCAGGAATTTAGTGGGGCAAGATTATTTTTTAGTGGGCAATAATATAAATTCACCACAATAATAATGCAAAAAGAACAAAAGAAAATGTTAATGTTCCCTGCCTGAAGTGATGCACTACATAGAAAGAATTGTTGCTTCAGCCGTAAAAGCTTTCCATCCTCTGTTGCATCGCCGGGATAAAGAACAGCACAAATCTACAAACAATTTTACAGGCAGACTTCAGGAAAAGATACAGAACTTTGCATATTGTGCATGCTTTATCAAATATCGATTGTAGCTTCATGGAATATTAAATTTTTACAGTATCATTCTACAATAAGCAAGAGATGACACGGAAAAAGTTTGATTAGTGCATCGTTTTTCTCACATGGATAGCTCCTGTTGGAAGGATCATTGCTACTATGATAATTAAAACCAACCTGCTGAGCTCGAGAATGAAGCTGTGCAGCAGATTCATACTGTCCATCATTAAAGTGAAACAGGTTGAAGTCCTCAGCAGAAGCTCTTGCTTCCCAGAGACGAAGACTAATGGTATTCTTGGTTTTGTATCCTGGAATTGGCACATCATAAGCTAAAGCTTGCATGACCTCTCCACCAATCCACTTTCGGCTGCAGATACAAGATGCAAGCATCTCATGTCAAATTGCTTGTTGCGGAATAAACAAGAGAAACATGAAGACAGGAACATAAAGCATTCTAAAAGTGCTAAAGGTAAGAGGGGAAGTATTCTAAAAGTAAGTATGGTCAGTTTTGTACAGGCTTTGAAACCAGTCATACTGTATGGTAAATTGGCCAATTAAAAAGATTTACCATTAGTTTAGAACTTACAATCCATCAGGATTAACCTGAACATGGCCAAAGAATCTGACAGGGAAAACAACATCATGCCTGGCGACTTCCCAAGGACTGAATTTCTGCATAATTTGTCAAAATAAAATGTCAATGAGTTTACAGCATTAAATAATGTTAAGCAATATTTTGAAGCGAGAATCTACCTCAAGCCAGTCGTCAGCAATTTCTTCTTGGCCCTCCTTGGTTATTCGTTGCTTGAACAAACCATATCTGTACCTTAGACCATATCCCCAAGCAGGCAAATTTAGTGTTGCCATAGAGTCTAGAAAGCATGAAGCGAGTCGTCCTAGACCACCATTTCCAAGTGCCGCATCTTTCTCCTAAAAAGAGTTATTTCTAATGATCATTATTCAAGTTGGGAGTAAATTCAGATCAATGTTCAACTTAAACTGGATTATGATAAAGAAAAATAAGCTAATAAAGTCTTTTCCGAAAATTCTGTTTATCTTCTCTCTCAAAAGAGGTCAGTCCATTACTATGACATGGACTTGAATACTGGATTCATTTTATTTGAAACTCTGAAATCTGAACGAGGCTTTGTTCGTTGACTGGTGGTCCATGCCCATATGTCAAGAATGACATGGGAAGCAGAAGCATCAACAAGGTTCTACGATATTCACAGATCATGAAAAAGTGAAACTCACTTTGACCAGATGCGAAAAGTTGCCAATCAAGTTTTCACCAGGGCAAGATTTCACAAATGGAATCAGATTTCGAAGTTTCTCTTTTGGTCTTTTCTTTTGATAAGCAGTTTCCGACCAAATATCAACACTAATATCATCAACAATTTGATGAAAACAGTTTTTTGTAGTTTTCGTAAAGGCTTTCGAAAGAAAGTCTAAAGAATATCACAATTGGATTACCTGCTCAACTATTTCCTCAAGTTTGTGTCCTAATTTGTTTAAAGCATCAGCATATGCACCGTGAACACCCAGGTTCCCAATAGCATTAGTCAGAGCTCTTCCTTGAAGATATTCCATTGATAAGTAGTATGTTTGCTTTGGATCAACTTTGTGATAATGAAGATAGGTTTCATTCCATTGCTGCATATAGAAAGAGAAAAAAATATAAACATCTTCACCAGAAAAGCTTTCTGATAAAGCATAACAGTTGAAGTTTGCACTGTAACAACAAGCTTTCACTACCATTTTTACACTGGTTGGAAAAGGTAATTCGTAAATGTTCAACAAGAAACTAATAGCAGAATGCAGTAGCTACAAACTGAATTGTGGAGAACTTCATTCTTCTAACATGTCAATATGTAGTATGAATTGTAACCCTTTACAGAAATAACAATCTTGAATTATTTATGAATTGAAAATAAAAAAGAAAAAAAGAAAAAAAATGCTCAGTAAAAGACATCTACAATATGGTAGGTAAGAAATATATTCTTCAGAAATAGAAGATGTCTAGAAACTAAATGATCTAGTATAACAAGACCACAGGAAAAACAAATAAAAAAAAAAACTATAATAACAATAAGCCTTCGATTATTTAAGGCTGGAAAACATCAGTACTTGTATAAGACGATCACGAACACTGTCTGCGGTGGCGCAGTAGGCTTGCTCCGGCTGAAACTTGTAAGGGGAAAAATGAGGAGTATAGTGTGCATGGTAATTGATATTAGAAGCGATCTCTGACGGGTCCTCAGACAACGGATGTGCAACTGCTGGAATCTTAGAACAAGAAACAGCAGATACAGCAATACTAGAACCGTTGGCTTCTGCACTAGATGCCATAGGTGACCTCCAATATTTCCTTTCAAAAGCAAAATTTAAAATTAATGAAAACCCAAAATCCGAATGGGAATCCAAAACAATGTAATGATACCACAAAGCGGAAAACAGAGTGAAAAAATGTTACTTGGAGAGAAAGTGCGGGTATAAATATCGAAAATAGTGACTTTCTGAAAGATACTAAATTAATGAGCTTTCACAAAGGAAAATCAATCAGTAATGACAAGGATATAAAGCGAATGAGAGAGAGAGAGATGCGGAATTTAAAGAAGCAAGTGGGAGAAAAATCGAAAGGAGTGAGATGTAAGGAAGATATTTGCAGAAATGTCCAAAAGAAAGAGAAGAGAAAGAGACAAAGTAGAAAAAGAAAAGAAGAGAAAAGGGGGAGAAGAAGAAAATATCAGAGATGGGAAATGATGGGAGATGAGTGAAAATGTGATAGAGTATCACATGAGTAGAGTGATCGAATGAGTGAGATTGGGGATGGGCACGTTGAAGTTGGTGATTTTCGTCTTCTTCTGCTGTATAGTACACAGAAGATTGGAAATGGCGGGGTGCACGTGTAGCCATTCAATGAAAGCGCGCACAACGAAGAGGGCTTAACTACCGGATCTTGAACTCTAAAAACGGAAACTTCACAATCACATAATAAAAATAAATAAAAGTTGGGCCTTTTCATTTTCAGAAACATTTTTCAAGTTTATATTTGGACTTTCATTGGTAGTTAAATAGATAGAAACGCCTTTTCTCAAAGAAAAAAAAGGAAAATATCAAAACACCAATTGAAAATTTTAACTCTCTTGTTTGGATGGATGGAAAATGGGAAAAAAAAGGGTTTTTTTTCCCTTTTTTTTCCCAAAAAAAATAAAGAGGAAAAGAAATATAGTTGAAAAATATATTATACATGCCATAAATAATTTTCTTCCCAAATTAGAAGAGAAGTGAAGAGATTTTGAAAAATTATGAATATATTTCTTTAAACATAATTCTCAATAAAAAAATAAATAATTTAAGCTACTGTTTTTTTATAAAATAATTCCATTTCCCTCACTTGAGAAATTATCCAAAAAAGAAAATAGACTTTCCTTCAATAATATTTTTTCTTTTTCCCCTAAAAATCTTCCCAAATAGACTATTACTCAGTATCTAAATAGTTGATAAAAGGTAATTTAATTAATTACAAATTCTTTTAATTTTTTTGTAATTTGCACTTTTAACACTTAAAATTGTAGTAGGGAATAGTTGAATTCCATGAAATTAGACAGAAATATTAAAGACTAAATAAATAAACATATTTTAACAAGATTGGTGGTGCCAAAAAAATATATCAATCATTATTGACTGGGGTGATAAACAATCTTAATTTCTATCAGGTGAGAACACGGGTTCAAGCATCGGGAAACGCATTTTGCTGGGAGAGCAAAAAACCTTTAGGTTTTATGGCCTAAAGGGAGGACCTCCTGCTTATACCCAAAACGAAAAAAAGAATACAAACACTAACAAACTATTATCTGCCCAAATCTAGATTTCTTCAGCTCAAGTGAACATTACATCTAAAAGAACACCATAATGCTTCCCATTCCACAAGGCTTTTCTACATTATATATGCACTCTCTCCCCCCTTGTAAATACTAAGAGATTGATTCCTTAATTCAAATCTGAGATCTCCATCTCCTTATTCCATTTCTCTTTTCTAGCAGGAATTCTTGGAAACTGCAACTTCTGCAGGAAATTTTATAACAAAAGAACAATGGGAAAAAAAATGTACATAAGGATCACATGCAGTCACAGTTTCATGCAGAGATGAATTTATAGCTCTCCCCCTCTTCAATCCCAAATGTTTTTTCTCTGCTCTTCTTTGCATCTCTCCATGGATAATTTGCAGACTGGTGAGAAGTAGAGGCAGAAGCAGAAGATAGAGATTTTTCTCTTAAATCCTTTCGAATTTTCCATAGCACCTCCCCACATTCTTTCATGGAAGGCCTTGATGGTCTAATATCAGCAACACATCGTTTAGCTAATTCAAGTACCTTCTCCATTGCAATGTTTGATAGAGGAGTCCTCCTTAGCATTGGATCCATAACTAGTATTGCTTCCTTCTCCTTTAACTTCTGCATTGCCTGCAAATGCACATGGCATTAGCAAATTATACATCACAATTACATCCCACTAGGTGGATACTATTTTGGACTAGATTTTTCTGTGTTCTCATTCTTTTTTTTTTCCCCTAATTTCAAAGGCAAGGTAGTATCATTGGTCAATTTTAGTATAATGTATCTGTATGTTTAACATTGTTGTTTCAGCTTTTGTTGAGAAAAACACCGTTCAAAATGTTACTTAGTGGTTATCAAAACTTGGTTTTTGACGTGAATTTCACATGCTCCATTCATAGAAGTTGTAAAATAGCTAAAAAACACTTGAAAGCTTTTTTTTTTTTTTTTTTTTTTTTTTTTCTCATATCAGCATTTATGTGATTATATTAATTTTTTTCAACATATTCCTTTGAGGGTCCACTGCTCTTACTTTTTTGTATTTTTTCTTTTATTTGTTTTTTTTTTTTATTTTTTAGTTTTTTTTTTTTTTTTTTTTTTTTTTTTTTTTTTTTTTTTTTTTTTTCTTTTTTTTTTTTTTGCTAGGAAAAAAAACAAGAAAAAAAGGCTTGTGAAATATATAAAATCCTGATATGAGATTTATTTCCCTTTCTTACCCAATGCCTTTCGAATATTTCCCATAGCACCTCCCCAACATTTTCTTAATGTGAAGGCCCTTGTTTTATGGTTTCCATCATCCAAACAAGAGTAGGTTCTTAAAATATTATCTCAATTGGTGGATTTCTAGAAAACATCGCTTTAGTTTAATTTTTCCTTTTTCAAAGTTACTTTTTTCTCTTTCGCGGTCACCGATAAAGTGTTGCCTACATGTATTATGCTTTGATTATGAGGAGTTTCTTAACTTACCAATGATCAAGTCCATTAATAGCATATTGTAGAATCCTTAAACTAAAGAATAAATTGTATCTTTTTCCTTCTCCTTTAACTTTGGCAAATGAATGAAAAAGTTGCCTAGCACCAACTTTTATTTAGTCTAATTTATGGTTCATACATGGTGCATTGTTGAAGTTTCGCGTTTAGACGGTTTCTAATCCATTAGCAGAATGTAGTTAAAATGCATCACCAATTACATTCCACTCCTATTCGTTTCGTGTTGCGCGCTTGCGAATTACTTTGGAAATAGTGTTTGGACTAGCTAACTTTATTTTCCACCCCTGGCCGTCGTTTCTTTCACAATTTTTTTGGTTGTTTACTATCCCCTTACTCAGTGCAGAGGAAGAAAAAAGACGAAATCACCAAACCTTCAACGTGCCCACCCCCAATCTCACTCCATATCGATCACTCTACTCATGATACTCTATCACATTGTTCAACTCATCTGTAGCCATATCATTGATCGATACTTACCCCATCTCTTGTTTATTATTTTCTTCTCGCCCCCTTTTTCTCTCTTTATATGTTCTTATCCTGTTTATGTGCTCTTCTTTTAACTCACTGCTTCTTTGTTTCTTAGTCTGGTGTATGATTTTCGATAGAACAAAAATCATCGTCCTTAACCATGTTTACACTCTCTCATTTGTCTAATATACATCTTCCGCTTATATCTGATCGGCTTCGCTTGTTAAATTTTTCAGCCATCGTCTCTCCTTCTCATTTAGATGCTGCTCAATAAAATAGTCCTATATTAAAAAATCTATTGATAAGACTTTTTTTTTTTTTTTTTGTATATTTAATGTTTCTCAAATTTAGTTCATTCAGAATAATCTGCAGGAATTGCCTATCTCTCTCATGTTTTCGAGTAAATTTTTATAACACCTAACTGTTTCTACAACACGATGTTAATATCAAGATATTCTCATCTTGTTCTTCCTCGTTTCGTTTAATAAGTTGGAAATCAGATCAGACTTTAAGGTTGTTGGTATGTTTCACAATGAAAGGTAATAATACCATCTCCGCGATTTGTTGATGGATCGAATCTCATAGTAAAGATTTTGACGCTTTATGCAAAAAGCGAAAATATGATACGGCTCTACCACTTCTATGCGTGGCACATACTATGAGTCGACTTTAGAGATTGGTCCCATATGCTGTGGTTCGGGATGAGTTTGACCTTAGTATTTCATTCTGCTCAGTTATCGTGAGGCTGGGTTCCTCTATCTTTATGATGGATTCGCAGCCACATATTTACACCTGTATTCTCTGTCTCCACAAATCTTCTGTAGTATAACTCTCTCGTCCACAAGAGATTCTACGGCTACCTAACTGATTTATATGATACTAACGCAATGTTTGGCACTACAACTTTACATATGATGATACTGTGCATATTTTATCGCCGTCTTAGAAAGTTTCGCCACAGACGATTCCTCCATATCTGCGTCTAATCGCACTTACAATAGTGTCGTATCTCGTGTAACTCGGCTCTATACAAGACTGATATAATGAGCTTTCGCAGCCCTGTAGAGATTCCATACTATGGGTTCATGGATGTGGATGTTATCTCAGTATATATTACTCTCATAATGTAAATTCTCCGCTGTATGGAATTATGTGTATCAAACCTAATTTACATTATTGATTTTAGGTTTCACCTAAGGTTATATCTTACTAGATGATTTGATCAATTTGTTTGTTAGACTATCTTCTTAGAATTCTGATGAAATAACGAAAAAGATTTTAATATCTTCACTTACTAACATAAGACAGATGATCTTGTCTAAGGACTGAGTACTTTTAACAAATGGATGTCTAGAGTTTTCCTCTACTGCTATTGTAAGTGTTTTGCCCATCAATGAGTACATTTATCTGATTCGTATCAAAATCAGTAGATGGTGGCGCTGTAGAGAGGGTTAAGCATAATTTCCTATGCACATTACATAGGTATATACGTAGTAAAGGAAAGTATTGTAGCACTCCACAACAACGCACTTTTCTTTTATGTGGATAAATTCTAACTGCACAAGTGTTACTATATAGGGTGTTGCTTTATGAAACTATTTCGGTGTACATTACGAAGTCATTACTGCATAAAACTCCTAGGTTATACTAGAATATGTGGGACGTGTCGATAAAAATCTAAGGTGAATTGTTGTGACGAGAGTAGTTGTATAATCACTACCCCAATCCTTCTAGTATTGTTGTACTCTCATGTCCTTTTTTAATTAGGATATATAATGTCTGTGTTTCCTCAAGTGAATGTGAATATTAGTGTCACTATTATTTTTTTTTTTTTTTTTTTTTTTTTTTCAATAGCATCTAAATGGTGCTTCTCCAGTAGAAATTTCAAAATTAATGTCAAACAGTTTCTAAGATCACTTTCCTGGTTTGATAAAAAGGAAACGTCAGACTAAGGTTGGAGATTCACAATGAAGGTAAAACCTCCCCGTTAATATGATCCCAACGGGATTTTGAGTTATAGCCAACAACATGATACGCTAATTCACTGATCACTGAGTCGACCTTTAGAATTTCCCTTGTGTGTGTTCATGAGTTTGACCTTTCATCTATAGAGTTTTCCATTGATGGGCCAATTACCTGATTTTTCTCCAAAACTTTTATATTTTTTCAATGATTCAGAACACTGTTATGATACAAGAATGTTGCCTACAATACATAGGAACTGGCCACATGAAGTTTGACGAGTTCCTAAAATTATAATAGCTACATGTGACCATGTAATTACGGGAGAAGAGCGGGACCAATTTTCAGGGAGCTCAATTATTTACTTCAATTAAATTTCCCGAGGAATTATGTGCTAAAACCTAATTTACAGTTATGATAGGGTTCACCTAGGTTATTTTACTTGATTTGATATAGTTTTCCTTAGACATTCATGAAATACAAAGAATTTGCATCTCCATTAAAAGAGAGATCTTCAGGACTGAGGAATACAAAGAATTTAGTCTCACTAGATGTTTAAGTTAGCCTCAAGATATTTCTGATGATTCAAACAAAAGTGGGAGAGAGAGAGGGAGATCCTAGCAAGGTAAGAGAAAATTTCTAGCCAGACAAGCTTTTAGTGGAAATTATGCACAGTACTACATGTGTGCAGATTCTTGTGACAAGAAGTCAGAATGATAAATCATGCTTCTGAATATGTGGACTGACATAAATAAGAATTTGGATAGTTGAAACACTTACCCATCTTGTTGTTACTCTCTCTTTTATTGGTCTTTTTGGTTCAATTGGATATCTTCCAGTCATCAATTCAACAAGCAATACACCAAAAGAATAGACATCACTCTTTTCAGTGAGTTGATATGTCCTCAGGTATTCAGGATCCAAATAACCAGTTGTTCCTTTGATTTGAGTTGAAATATGAGTGACACCAGGATCTTCTGTGGTCAATTTTGCAAACCCAAAATCTGCTACTTTGGCCCGGAGTTTTTCTGTTATAAGAATGTTTGATGCTTTTATGTCTCTATGGATTATTGGAGGATCTGTCGAATAAATTAGTGATGTTTTCAGGTCTGTGAAAGATTCTATATTCCAGTCAATCTGAGTATATATAATGATTCTATCAATATGAGTATATATAATGATTCTATCATCAGCTTGCCTTATTTTGAATGTTTGATCCATCAAGTTATACCTGTGTACATGTGAAGATAGGTAATTGCATGAGCTACATCAATTGCAATGTCAAGACGTTCAGCAATCTCTAGTCCATTTCCTCGAATTCCTGCACCATCAAATGATCAAATTTCAAGTGAATATTATGCAAAAACAATCATTGATTAGTAGTCTCAAAGCATTAAAGGGCTTAGCCTGCCTTGTAATAGAAGAGTTCAGGAGCTTCAAAGCCTTGCAAACACCTCTTTAAAAGTTTCCGAAAGCACTTTTGTGTGTGAGTTTGCAGTTACCTTTCAAAGCTGAGCTTTGATTCCATTTTTTAATTTTAGTATTTTTTTTTTTTTTAAATTGCTTTTGGAAAATAATGGTCTAAGAAAAGCTAAAACATCTAGCTTTCCTCAAACCAAGGTGTGTTAGGCCTTAAATATTTGAAACTGTAGTCTGTAAAAAGCAACCTAACCATAATGCCAAATGGTAACTTAATCAGTTAATCCTGTTAATGTTTTTACAAGTCATATCAAAGGACTTGTTGACTCAGTTTACTACATTATTCAAGGGCTAGCCAATGATAACATTCTGTGAAAATTCTGGGATCTATGGAAGGACAAATCAAGAAAACTTTAATAAGCAAGAGATTTTGTCCTTCCATCACTTTGCAGGTGGAACATTATCAGTGACTAGTTCATGGCTGATGTGGTAGACTGAGTTAAGAATTTCACGTCATACAAGTGATACCAATTTTTCAAAAAAGTTTGATAAAAGTTGATAGCTGTTTTACTTACCATCCAAATGCTCTCGAAGAGTTCCATTTCCAACATATTCAACCACAATAATCCTCTCATCTCCATATTCTACACATCCATATAACCTCACCAAATTCAAGTGTCCAATCTTAGACAGTGTGAGTACCTCATTCTTGAATTCCAGTGACAAACGCTTGTCGTTATCGTTCTGCACAGAGTTTCAAATCATTACTATTAATTAGATCACACATTCTTTTCCTGTCATAGTTCTATTCATACCTTTTTAGCACGCTTAAAAGCAACAAGAGATCCATCCTTGAGTTTCCCTTTGTATACAGTTCCAAAACCACCTTCACCAATCGTATTGGCTGGGGAGAAATTTTCAGTTGCTTTATAAATTTCTTCAATGGAAAAACTGATTGTTCCAACTATTCCACTTGATTTGCTGGAAGAGCCATAGGAACTAGAAAACTTGAATCTTGATGAACTCTTGCTGTTGCTTCCTGTTGAAAGATCAGTTGAATTTGAAACTGCAGTTTATAAGAAAAATTAGTTTTTGAAACAAGAAACTATCAGATCATATTTAAAATGAAAATTGAAAGTCTAAATCCAAAGAATCATGTTTCAAGTACATTTCTGAAATGACCCAATGAAATTTATTGATTTTATCAAGAATTATAACTAAAAATCGATAACATTTCAATAATAATAATAATAATAATAAAAGAGATTCCATGTGGACCAAATAAAATCTTATTCTCAATTCACATAAAAGTTAACTTTCTATCTGAAGCTTCATTAAAACTGTAAAACTACAAAACACTCTTAGATTAGGTTTATTGCATGAAGAGTAATAACAACTTACAGGGAACCCCTTCAACTAGAGTGTTATTTCTTGTGGTTCCTGTAGTTACAGCTCCGGCCACCTTTCTTCGCCGGAAAAAGATAATTGTAAAAACTCCAGCTACCTTTTTGAAATAGTTGAAAACAGGATTAGTTTGAGTTTTGGCATGGTGTTTAGTAGTGGCGCTAGGAATCTGTTTTCTTTGGCTCGACTGAAGGATGTGGGGACTTTTTGATGTTTTCTTCATTTGCAGAGATGCGGTACCTTTTTGGCTAACTATTTGTTCCTGCTTAAAACTTGACAATTCAAATGTGGGGTTATGTTGTCTCCATGTCTCTTTTCTTATTTTCAAGACTAATTCAAGCAGAAGCGCGTTTAGTCTTGAAGAAAAGATGATCAAACACACAGAATTCTTTTTACATTAAAATGACCAAGTCAACAGTGCACCAAGTAATTAGTGAATATAAATATTAATCTTATATATTATAATCATTCCGATCAGGCAATCAATTTTTCTTTTCGAAAGAACATTTCAGCTCCTCGTTTCCGTTTGACCAAATCTGGATACAATAAACTACTCAAGGACAGCAATGTTTAAACTTTAAATTAATTTCAGGCATAGTTTTATTTTTTATTTTATCTTCAAATAATATATAAAATTAATATATTTATCTTCAAATAATATATTTTATCTTCAAATTATTTTTAGTTTTTAATTCTTGTGAATGGAAAAGAATTCTACTGGGAGCTTTACCCCCTTGTAGGCCTATCTTTGAAACATCTCTGATATAAATAAAAAAGAAATTTAGTAGTTTAGGTTTATTTTATTTTAATTAATTATTTTCCTTTTTTGTTTGAATTTTATGGGCTCAATATATATTGCCACTTCGAACTTTACACTTGAGGGACGACAAGAATACACACTGTACATTTCTTCAATTTCATACATAATAGTATCCCATCTAGAGCAGGGGAATTATTGCAGTCAGACTTCTCTACTGCCTTGAAGAACACAGCTTCACTTAGCTGCAATTGTAAACTCTACACAGTCCATTCTTGAATGATACTTTCAGAGGTACAACTTCTTCGGGTTACTGCAGAGGAAAAATTCGTAAGACAGCCCACTTAGGTAAAAAATACATATATATATATATATATAATCAAACTGTTAATAATTGATTGAACATTCTCTCAGTATCACTGTATATTCTGCCAAGTGTTTGTGAGACACTAGCATAACAACATTATGCGATAGCTGAATGTTAAGTTCATAAATTAAAGAAATCCAGACATCAACAAGAAGAGAAGATAAAGAATGAAGACTTCTTATACTGACCAGTTCAGTCAAAATTCACCCTTTCTCCAGTAGAAAAAACGATGTAGAACAATGCAGAGAGAAAATATAAGCATGATGTAAGCAATAGAAATCCTTGGAATGATCCCACCAATTCAACAAAAAAACCAGCTCCAACTGTCCCAACAATGGCTGCTAAAGTTCCAGCAGTGTTTGAGATTCCTAAAACAAAGCGAAGCATAGCAGTTAAGACATCATAAAAAACTAATTCTTTGAGGTATTGAAGTTGTTATTTGAAATTTAGATTTAGTAGTACCATGTAAAACACCAGTATATTGGGGAGCAATCTCCTGGAAATAGAAGTGCAATGTGAAAGGTTAGAGAAATATTTAAAATGAAAAATTTGCACAGTTTATAATTTCAATTTACATCCTTCAGTTTACCAACCTGAAAGTTCACAAGAAAACCCGAGTGACTAAAAGCTTTCAGTGCAACAGCTAAAGAAAGCCAAGCAGATGCAATAGATGGACTTTTTGCAGTAGTCAAACCAATAAAAGCAATCCCAGGACCCATAAAACCAATTGACTGCACAGAAGAAAATTCAATGGTTACTCGGATAACCCAAAATGGCATATGTACATACAGACAATCAAGACAAAGAATATTAGGCACAAAATAGAAAGATGAGATATAATCTCAAGGGTTACAATTGATTCAGAAGAGATAATTACAGAAATAATGTGGTTGGTCACCAGAAAATTGGTGAATCACTGGATAAATATAAGCTGTGACCTTTTAAGAGCACTTGCAAGAATCAATTTACCAATTCCTTCCAATTTCTTCATGTTTGGATTAAGAATCATATAGGGGATGCACCATATATACCAGCAAGTTTATATAAACCACAGACCCGTTAATTATCAGTCTATAACTAGAACAGATAGTGCACATATTGATGGGATGGAAGAAAAACAGCACCTGCATGATCTTGCGAGTCAAAGTGATACTTATACCGCCCTGTATCAACGTGTCTGACCACAGCCCACCAAAGAATCCCATGACTGCCATCAAACTCCAAGGAACCGCACTAAACCATGCAGCTTGTTTCAGGTCAACATGAAATACCTGCAGTTAAATATCATCATTTTAACTCATTAAAAGTATATCATCTAATAATCCTGACCAATGGTTAATGGAGAACCACAGCATGTAACTGAGCATTTGGTCTTACTGTATTAAAGTATATAGGCATCCACGAAAGAATAACAAAAAATCCCTGCAAACAGTTTTCAATTAAAATTAGTAAAAGAAAAACTAAGCTGACATATAAGGCAATCATACTCAAACTTTAGAATTGATCTAGCCAGAGGGTATGATACACCACCACAAAGTAAGAAAATATTAAAATCCAAATTAAAGAGTACAGCACAAAGCGATATGAAAAGTACCCAGCTATGCATGGAGTTTGCAACTATAAGAGACCATGTCGGCATTTTAGACAGCAAGCGTCTGAATGGAGGGATTACCCCGGCCATCCTGGGTTTATTTTCCACAAGGAAAGATTTCTGCTTCTTGCTCATAATGTACTCCAATTCATATTTTGATATCTGGGGACTACGGTCGGGAGTACTTGATATTGCAGATAACCAAACCAAAACCCAAAGGAATCCAGATAGTCCAAAAATTACAAACGGCCCAAATATACCACCTCGTGACATGAGGATTGGGGATAGAGTGAGTCCTATTGCACATCCAAGCTGAAATCCGGCCATTGCAATTCCAACTGCTCTGGCACGTTCTGTCGATGGAAACCATCTAAAAGAAAAAGTTCATATAGTTTCTTCAACATTTTAGCTTCACCACTTCTAACTACAAACCACAAGTTGTTGAGAGGCACACTATGTAGGAGTTTAAGTTTTCCATCTATACCTTGCTATCATGTTGTTCATGCAAGGAAGAGCAACACCTTCGGCCACCCCAAGCAAAGCTCGCATGGCCATTAGAGCCCATAACGAAGTTTCTGCAGCAAAGGGAGTAAGAAAGGTAGCTAATGACCACAGCGCGACACCCCATCCCATGACTACTTTACCACCATAATAATCCACCAAAGTCCCTCCTACTATTGGAGAAACTAAGTATCCCCACAGGAAAGATGACTGCCACAGCCAAAAGCATCGACCAATCAGTTATGAGTAACAAATGAAGGTAAATCGTTACAGTACAAGCAAACTAAAATCTCAGTACTTGTTTAAAACTTGGTAAAATTACTTCACCAGTATTGCAATTGGCATGGTTAATTAAAAAAATTCCTAATAAAGAGGAAGTAATTGCTCCAAAACCAATATATTTTTTAACTAATTTCTCCTTGTTGACTAATAGCAAGAAAATTCAAGTTAAAGAAGACCACCTGAACAATACCGGAGAAGGATCGGCTCCATCCGTGAGCAAACGACAATGGAACAATTGCCACCGACATCACAACACGATCGGCATTACAAAGCGCCAGTGCCAAAGCAAGCATAGCTACCACTTTGATTCTCTCCGAAGTTATAAACTCTCTAAAACTCCGCTTCTCCGGCTCGCTATCTTCGCCTAACGAACCTAACCCAGTGTCGTCCGACGAAACCCTAACTCGTGAAAGTGAAACTTTACGGAATGCAACTGAGTCATGCCGGAGTTGAGCTTGAAAAGAACCCGGCGGAAAAAAAACGTTTCGATTATAGTCATGGCTTGTCGAAACAGCGAAACAAGAAGGAAATGGAAGCTTGAAACGTTTGGATTTGAGGCTTTTGATTCTGTAGTTTTGGAACAGAGACAGCGAGTGAGTGCTATTTGGTCGATTGAGAGAGAACGCAGAGTTCATTTTTTGGAGTTGCTAATTAGCTATTGCTGTTGCTGACTTGAGATTGGAAGGAAACTCCAGTTCTTCGTACACTCCATCAAGATGAAATGACAGGAAGGCCCCTATAATCTGAGGTAAATGTGTGAGGAAGATTTGTAGTTTGTGCTGACTCGGAAGGTCTGAATAATGAGTTCCTCTATAATTTGAAAATTGAGGGAAAGTATCTTGCTGCTTTTATACGTATCATACGTATCATCGGTGAGCACTCCTTTAACCGAAACCAATCAAATTGAATTCCCTGTGATTATCGATTTAATTGAATTTATTTGGGTTAATTTAAAATTGATTATTTCAAACTAAATCAGATAAAATAACTATCCAAATCTGATGAAAATGAATCGGTTATATTTGATTTTCGGTTTCTAACCGAGTATTGCACCCCTGCATCAATCTTGTCATGAACGGAGACCAGAGACAGAGACATTGTTAAACGACAACGTTGGACATATGCATATATAATATTGCCTGTTATTGTTTATTTTTATTTTTGAAAGAAAAAAAAAACTTTAATGAAAAAGAAAAGGGATTCTTTCTTTCCTAGTAAACCTGTCTGGCCCAAAACAATTGCTTAGCACAAGGGTTTCATGAACAAAAAAATCCAGAATATCAGTGAATCAGCAGAGTGGAAACAAGACGTATAAGCTAGGCAGGTAAACTTGAGCAATCATCAGAGATTTCTGCTTCCCCTGAAAGTACTTATCAGAATCACTGGATTCATGGAGCCTCTGTTTCTCAAATTATAAGTCTATGACTCTCCTGTTTAACTAAAAAGTTAACACACTTCATATCAAGCTTGAACTTGACAATAGCATAACAATGGAAACAAACTGCAACAGTTATCAAATCAAGGCCATATTGACCCAAATGAGAAGGAAAACATAAAAAAAATAATAATACGATTATATTTTATTGTGAACATACTGAATCTTTTCTTTTTTTTCATTATATATTGTCTGATTACTAGTTACAAGAAAGATATTTTTCAGATAGACACAGACGTGCTGAGGGGTATTATCTAGATACGAGTTGCACAGAGTTCCAAAGGGAAATTACAATCAGATTTTGCTATTATGTTTGCTGAACAGCCAATGCCGACCTTCAGCAATCAACTCCGCCGTTGCTTTGCTTTTCACAAGAACAAGTGTTCCTGCATAGCCTCATTTTCGTCTCAAAACCTTTGAAGTACTCTCTAACTCAACCTGCAATTTAGGATGAAAAGACCAAAATTTAATACAAAACCGAGGCTTAGGCTACCAACACCAAACAACCAACAAATTATATAGCAAAACTGAAGAACTCCATATACAATCCCAAAAGAATATCAATTGTCATTATCCTAGATAATGACAATAAGTCCAAGCAAAGTCTTAACATCCTCATCGTGAATGTCTGCCTTGTAATGCAAGTGATTATCGGTTCTAATCCCAAAAGTCCCTACCTTTTATGAATTTCCAATGCACCAAAAAAATCATAAGCATCATCAAATGAAATATACAAATCTTATAATGAAATTCACTTCCATGAATTCTATGTTCATTGTTTATAGTAAAATATTCCTATGTTTGGTAAACCGTAATGCAATGTAATTATCGAACATAGAACAACGTAATGCACCATGATTAAATAACATAGAACAGTGTAATTTTATCGTGCGTAGAACAACATAGTGCAGTGTAATTACCAAACATAGAACAATGTAATTCAATGTATGCCTGCATTAAGGCTTACCAAACATGGTCGAAAAATTCATTGCATCAATCCCAATTGCAATCCACCAATCAAGTTTTTTAGTGAGTGGTGAAACAATCTTGAAGCGGTGAAGCCAATTTAAGGAACAGTCTGTTCACAATCCAACAACAATTACAATGATTAATTTCTTGGTGGAAATTAACCAATATTACAATAAAAAATAGCGTTAATTAAAGAGAAAGAGCTTGATTACATTGACATTTGCAGTCGAAAGAAAAGAGATAGACATATCCACTGGCAAAGTCATGAGCAGACCTTCAACATACACAATCGTACCACCTACACCTACTACATCTACCAGATCCGCAACTGCACCAGCAGTTAACTTACCGCTTCTGTCCTGACACAGTAAATTAAGCAATTTTTTACTATAATTAGATCACAATCTTGGCAAATGAATAATAAATTGTAATTAAATGATAATAATAGAAAAATTGGGAGAGAAAGGGTTTAGAATTCGGATTATCGTACAGTGAGGCGAGTAGGACCTTAAAAGTGCACGAGATGAAACCGGGCTCGACTCGGTCGACTCGCATTCCTCTTAAGGCGAAGTCTTCGTAGAAACTGCAATCGAGCCCGAATCGGTGAGGATGAATAGTGAGTTGTGAGACGCTCCCCGATTCTTCTTCGCTTAGTTTGAAAAATTCTTTCGTCTTCTCCATCGAAGCGTTTTCTCTGGCTTGCATTTTTCTGGAGACCCTTGTACGACCCCATTACGCAAATAAATACCAATTAAACGTGTTCAGTATTTCCATTTGGTCCGGGCTTTTCTAATGGGCTGATGACATTATTAAGCCCCTTCGGCCACAAGGGTAAACTGGCAAACTGGCTTCTAAATTTAACAGCCAAAATTACCCTCGCTACTTTACATGCCTTCTACTATTTATCAGGGAAAGATTTCTGCTACTTGCTCAAAATGTACTTCATTCACATTTTGATATTAGGGAACTTTCAATAAGAACTTTTCAATAGAAAGAAAAGGACATTCTCTATTTCCTAGTAAACCTCTCTGCCTCAACAATTTCTTAACATTAGCGTCCCAAGAAAAGGAAAAAGGAAGCAGAATATAAGTGAATTTTCTGAGGAATATACTACAGAATAGCTGAGGAAAATACTTTTGGTTGCTTGCTAAGCAGTATGAGCAGAGCAGAAACAAGAAATGCAAGCAAGTCAAGGTATACTTTTCTGCTTCCACTGAACATACTAAGCAAGTCAAGTAATATGAGCTTGTGTGACCATAACACTTGGGTATGGTGAAAACCGCTTTGCTTGTGATACTTTTCTGCTTCCACTGAACATACTTATCAGTACAATTTGCAAATATATCAGTCTATGACTCTCCTGTTCAGCTAACTAAAAAGCTCATTTCAAGCTTGACCCTTGACATTAGCAAAACAATGGAAACATTCCACAAGGACCACAAAAGTTATCACATCAAGGCCATGTTAATCCAAAATAAGAAGGAAACATGAAAAACAATCAGAATATGTTTTATTGCAAACACAACAAATATTTTCTTTCTCCATTATATAGTGTATTGATTATTAGTTACAAGAAAGATATTTTTCAGATAGACACTAGCGTATACACTGTCAAAATACAAGTTCCATAAGTTATATAATCACATTTTGCTATTATGTTTACCAAACAGTGAATGTCGACCTTCAGCAATTAACTCCCCTGTTAGTTTGTTCTTTACAAGAACAAGTGTTCCTGCATAGCCTCCTCTACGCCCCAAAACCTTTGAAGTAATCTCTAACTCATCCTGCAATTTAGCATCGAAAGACCAAAATCAGATAAAAAACCGAAGCTTAGGAAACAACCAACAAACTATATAGCAAAACTAAAGAACTCCAAATGCAATCCCAATAGAATTTCAATTGCCATTGTGCTAGATGATTACAATAAGCCTAAGCAAGGTCCAAACATCCTCATCATGAATGTCTGCCTCGTAATGGAAGTGATTAACAGTTCTAATCCCAAAAGTCCCTACCTTTTAGGAATTTCTAATGCACCAAAACGAAATCATAATCACCCAGAGAAAATTAGGAACACTTGTCAATCTTAAAATTGCAATTAGTGCATAGTTATTAGAACTTCAGAGCTTAATTGGTAAAATGAATTTGAAGCACAAACTAGCAAAGAATGAATATAAAAACTTTTATAATGAAATCCACTTGCATGGATTCTATGTTCATTATTTTAGAATAATGAACTAAAAATTCATCATTCCACTCCATTAAAATCCACCAACAATGCTTTTCAGTGAGAGGTGAAATAATCCTGAAGCCAATTTAAGAAACAATTTGTTCACAATCCAACTACAGTTACAGTGATTAGTTTCTTAGTGGAAATTAATCAATATTGGAATAAAAGAATAGCCTTAATTAAACAGGAGAAGCTTGATTACATTGACATTTGCAGTCGAAAGAAAGGAGATACACATATCCACTGACACATTCATAGGAAGACCTTCAACGAACACCACCGCACCACCCACTTCATCTACCAGATTCGCTATTGCACCCGTAGCCAACTTCCCGCTTCTGTCCTGACATCATAAAGTAAGCCATTTCTAAGGAATTTATACTCTAATTAGTTGGAAAACTGAATGATGTGTTGTAATTAGATGATGATGTAGAAGAAGTTGAGAGAGAAAAGGATTTGGAATTTGGATTATCTTACCGTGAGGCGAGGAGGGACCTTGAAAGTGCAAGAGACGAAACCGGGCTCGACTCGGTCGACTCGGATGCCTCTTAAAGCAAAGTCTTCGTAGAAGCTGCAATCGAGCCCGACTCGGTGAGGATGAATAGTGAGTTGCGAGACGCTCGCCGATTCTTCTTCGATTAGTTTGAAAAACTCTGTTGCCTTCTCCATGGAAGCTTTTTCTCAGACCTCGACTAGGATTGGCAGTTTCTGGAGACTTCTTTATTCAGTTTCAGATCGGACGATTCAGTTGAGGATCGCTTTGTGCGACGTCGTTCATTCCCGTTCCCAGACTAGTACTTCTCTTTGGTCCGGGCCTTTTCTAATGGGCTTATCACATTATAAGACCCAAAGGGCAAACTCATTCGTGGATCACATTGTGAAGTATTATAACATATTCGAACTCGATTCAATTTATTAAAATTATTACAGTTGATAATTTTAGCTTTTTTTTTATTTTTCATGGTGTTTTTTAGTTTAAAATTTTTTTTGCATGCAGTGGATAATTTCTTTAATCGAGTTCATATGGTATCAATATGTATCAATATGTATAATTTTTTTACCAAAATAGAAATGAAGAAACATGAAAAGATACAGGAAAATGAATATTTTATATGGGTAAACACACGTGCACGTTACCATAACATGAAAGCGCCAATGGTTAGAAGTTTCCGTGCGTCCATAGTTGCCCTAAGTGGCTTGTTTAATAATCGTCTTAAGTGGCTTGTTTAATAATCGGTGAGTTGATGTGATCCTTCATCCTTCTCCCCACCGCCATTTCCCCTATCAACTTCACTTTCATCAACACCACATTTCTCCTCATTTCTTTGCTAAACCATGATCACCTTCAATTCCTAAAAATCCAAAACGATAAGACTGTTATTATTTTCTTTTCCATTGGGTGCAAACGATTGATCAAGTTGGGTTTTTATTAGTTTCTGTTAAAGAGAAGAGTTTGTACACATTCTGCAGGTATCCAATGTCATTTTTGGAACTACATTAGTGAAATATTATTAGCTAATTAATAATTACTGGAAAATAATTTGCTTAATTGGAATTAGAGAGTTAGAATAATACATTATCAATAATACTTCCATTGCGCACGGAAAGAGAAGTTGGATTAATGGTGAACCAACAGTATGTCAGTATGCACTTGAAGCAAATCCATTTTCACTTCCAAGTTCCAACCCATCTGACATTTGGACCAGCAGCTGAGAATATATTGATTGAACTAGCAATATTCTTCAAAATCTTAGCTTCACCACTTCCACTTCAAACTACAAACCAGAAGTTGTTAATGTAGGAATTGAGTCCAAAAATAACCCCTAATATCCTTAAATGACAAACATATAACACGAAAAGCAAATTAAGTGTAACATTTCTGGAAAAAGACAAGGGCACTCTTTTTTTGGGTCTTTCCTGATAAACCTCTATGCCTCAGCAATTTCTTAATATAAGCATCCCAAGTAAAAAAATATACATATCAGTGAACTTTCTAAGGAATATACATACTTGTGGTTGCTAAGCAATATGAGAGAGAAGAAACGAGGATGAAATATGAAAAGCAATCAGAATGTGTTATTGCAAACATACGGAGTCCTTTCCATTTCCATCACATAATGTATGATATGATCAGACAGACACTAATGTAAGGAGGAACATTATGAAAATACAAGTTCCTAAGTGAAGTTATAATCACATTTTGCTATTATGTTTACCAAACAATGAATGCCGACCTTCAGCAATTAACTCCCCTGTTGCTTTGTTCTTAACAAGAACAAGAGTTCCTGTGTAGCCTCCTTTTCGTCCCAAAGCTTTTGAAGTAATCTCTAACTCATCCTGCAATTTAGCATCAAAAGACCAAAATCAGATACAAAACCAAAGCTTAAGCTACTAGCATCTGACACCAATAAATGATATAGCAAAACAAAAGAACCTATTCAATCACAATAAGCCCAAGAAAAGTTCAAGCATCCTTATTATAAATGTCTGTGTTGTATTGCAAATGGTCATCAATTCTAATCCAGAAAGTTTTAAGAATTTCTAATGCACCAAGACCAAATCATCATCAGCCATGGGAAATTGGGATTTGGGAACACTAATCAATCTTAAAATCGCAATTACTGCGAATTTATTAGAACTTAGACTTCCTCGGTATAATGAAGTTTTGCAGACAACCCATTAAGGAATGAATTATAAAAATTTTTGTAGTGAAATTCACTTACATGAATTCTATGTTCATTATTGTAAAATAATGAACTAAAATTCATTCCATTACACTCAATTGGAATCCACCAATTGCGTTTTTTAGTGAGAGGTGAAACAATCATGAAACCAATTTAAGAAACAGATTGTTCACAGTCCAATTCCAACAGTTATAGTGATTAGTTTCCTAGTGAGAGATGAAGCTTGGATACACATTGGTGACACTGGTTTACTCGATTTTGTGCTGAAAAATCGGTGAACCATCTAATTTCAGAGTTCCGCCCCTTCCGGCAAGAGTTATAGTGACTGGAGCCGAAATATACAGAGATGTGTCTTATTTGTATACAAATGTATGGTTGAATTAGCCAGAAGCAGAACTGGTGGAATTGGTAACTCAGGCAAGACGAGACAGCAAGCAGTTTGAGAATTAAGGATGAAAACGACCAATTTATTGAGATTACATTGACATTTGCAGTGGAAAGGAAGGAGATAGACATATCCACCGTCACATTTCTGGGCAGACCTTCAACGTACACTACCGCACCACCTACTTCATCTACCAGAGTCGCAATTGCACCCGTCGCTAACTTCCCGCTTCTGTCCTGACACCATAAATTCAGCCATTTCTAAAGAATTTATACTCTAATTATATAATAATCGTGGAAAACTGTATAATAATGTCGAAAAATTGACAGAGAAAAGGATTTGGAACTTGGTTACTTTACAGTGAGGCGAGGAGGGACCTTGAAAGTGCAAGAGACGAAACCGGGCTCCACTCGGTCGACTCGGATGCCTCCTAAGGCGAACTTTTCATAGAAGCTGGGACCAAGCCCGACTCGGTGAGGATGAACAGTGAGTTGCGACACACTCGCCGATTCTTCTTGGCATAGTTTGAAAACCTCTGTTGCCTTATCCATGGAAGCCTTTCCTCTGATTTTCAGTTTCTGGATATTTTTCTATCCGGTTAAGTAGTACTGGTGTCATATGTTTAAATCAGTTAGAAAACATAATATTCTCTGGTTACCATATTTGTCATATTAGGAATTTTATGATTGTTGAAGAAAATCATTTAATTTATATAAATTATAATAAATTATTAAACGAATCGATTATATTATTTTATTAATTATATATAAAGGATAAAAATAAAAAAAATAATTTATAATTTATAAAATTCATAAATATGACAAGTATTGGAAAAGGAAAAAAGATGAAACATTTGATAGCAGCAAAATAATATTGGCAGCAATAATTAAATAATTGACTGTAGAGGATGAATTTTTATTTATGAAAAATGTGTATATATTTATTCAAAATAGAACTTGAACTCTTCATTAAAAATCAATAGTTGAGTATTTCTAGTTTTTAAATAGAATTCTAGGTTACATGAGAAAATTAAATAGAATTCTAGGCTACATAAGAAAATTACACCTCAAAAGTTAGTATTGAGATTAGAAATCTTAAGGTTATGTAAATTTACTTGTCAAGTGTGGTTAGCTTTCCATCCACTGATCGATGGAGTCTAGTAATATGGTATGTTCTTCAATTGATGTTATTGACGTATAGCGGCGACGAAAATTTATCTGTATTCGTCGTATGTTGTAAATTATTAGAAAAATAATTCAGTTATAGAAGATCTAGAGAGTTATTATTTTGACTTTCAAATTAATTAACGGACTAATTGTTATTATTAAGATTTATATCTTTTATCAAGATCAACTTTAAAAGGAAAGATATAATATTATATATTTTTTTAGTTTTAATCTCATTATTCAAAAAGATATGAATTTCATTGTTTCGTTAAAAGATCAACTAACTCTGTTAGCTAGTAAAATTCTATGTCTGGTCTATATATTTATTTATAATTCTTGATATTATTATTAATGAATTACAATTAAAAAAAATTATTTAGAATTTATTTTTTCATAGAAAAATTATTTTTTAAACAAAGTAGATTTTCAAGAAAGCAATTTTAGAAATGTCCAATTATCACATAATGACGATGAAAATAGCTTTTAAAAATAAAGTAATTAAAAACAAAAATATCATTTTATTTTTTAAATTATCTTGATTTTTATAAGAATTTAACTTTCTCACCTTTTTAAAACGAGGATATACTTTTCCACATTAAGAAAATGAATTTTCCTAAAAATATATAGTAGTATATTTTTTTATACCAATCAAAATTAAATTTCTTTTTTGAGAAAATACATTTGAATACTTAACATTCTTATATTTTCAATAAATTATTATAATATTCTTAATTTTTATTTCAAATTAAATATCAGATTCTTCTAATTAAAAAGTTACTTGCTTTCGAACGAAATATGCTAACTTTTTTTTGACAATAAATTCACTTTTTAAATGAAACAATTTAACAGTAAATTCGTAATAAAAGTTAAGAATTTCATAATAATTTTTTAAAAATAAAATGATAAAAATATTAATTATAATATAATTTAGGGACCTAAATATATTTTACATTTATTTTTTTTATAATGAAACGGGATTTTTATTTCATAATAATTCACATTATTATTATTAGCCTATTTTGAAATGCAAAAGGAGGCTAATGGCTATAGCGTCTCTATGGCTTATAGGGACCAAAAGGATAGCCCAAATTCTGATGGAGTGTAAAGTGCAGCGCACGTGCAATTTGGTAAAGCGTTCCAAGAATCAGAAGATCAAGGTCTGGCTTCTAGTTCTACCATTATTAAATTTAATTTTAATATTATTAAGTATAGAATAAACAAAAGCTAAAATCAAAGAATCCTAAGGCTTCTCAGTCTCAATTTCCAAGATTGGCATTGTAATATTATAAATTTTTTACAGCATTACCGTATGGGTAAAACCAAATGGGGTTAATTTCGATGCTTGCTGCAATGTTCTTTGGTGGGGTTGACTATTTAATCTCTGGACTGGACACACATGATGACAAGTAACTTGTTTGGTAGACACTATTCATATTGACAGATAATGCGCAAAATGGCTGAATACGTAAATTCACCGATTAACTAACCTCTAACCTCTAATCTTGTGTTTCGAGAATTGTAAATATTTTATATTACACTTGAATTTATAAATTTTAATAGTTTACACACATTTAGATATTAATATTAGTAATTTTTAACATATCGATTTCATACGTAGTTAGTATGATTTTTGGAATATTAATTTTCAGAAATTTCTAACTTTTTAATCGGTGTTTAATTGATTTAATTTTGTAAGTTGAAGTATTTAATAAAATAATTTTAAAAATCAAAGTGTTTAATAAATGTAATTTTGTAAGTTGAAATATTTGATTGTCATAGTAAAAATTAAGAGTGCCACAAAGTTAAAATGACAAATTTCAGGGGTGAATTTATATATTCAGCCCATACAAAATCAAGCATTGGAGTTTTCATACCTTTGTCTCATTATAAGTGTAATTTAAGGTAATTATATAAAAGTTAAAAGTCAACTACATAAATTCACTCTTAAACTTTATAACTTTAATTCTGTGATACTCTGAACTAGATGAACGATCCATCATGCATTTGAACATACAAATTTTGATAACATTTCCATATTAATATCAATAGTTTTTAAAATTTTTGACTTTTACATGTAAAATATTAATATGATTTTTTGAGTAATAATTTTTCATATTTTTCAATTATTTAATATATTTCTATTGATCTAGTTTTGAAGTGTTAAATAAAATAATTATGCAAATTGAAGTGTTTAACAGGTGTAATTTTATAAGTTAAAGTGTTTAATGTATTAAAATAAAAAATTTAGGATATTGTTTAGGATTAAAGTAAATAAAATAATTCAATAATAGTACTACTTAACCTTCAAAACTTAGAAATCTCAAATTTTAAATTTGAATCAAAGTCAAATTAATTATACTCACTTATTGCAAAATAATTATTGTTTATCAATAAAAAATTAGGATAGGGCACAAATTCATCAAAATTGAATGAACCAAATTTTGGTTGAATTTGATTTAACTTTTAATATATTTGGTTCAATTTTTATTAAGTTCAAAAAAAAGTCTAAATTTGCTCGAAAATAGTTAAAGAATAAATCAATTGAACTGAACTGAATTAACTCAATCGGTTCAATTCAATTTTCATTTTAAAAATTTTAATTTATTTAATTTAGCAATTTACACTAATTCCATTTGATCTAACTACTTATTAACAATAAAATGTTTGTATGGAAAATCCTAATTCTAAGTATGGGAAAACATTTTATAAAGTTTGGTATTGAACTTTATTTTCATTTACTTGTACTTGAAGTGATACTCATTACTTTCACAAGTTGAACAATGAAAAGTTAGGATAGGAGAGTGAAAGCAGTCCATCTATTCCTTTTGCTTTTTCACTCATGAAATCTCCACATCATCAATTGCTCCATCTCAAGTTCTATTCATCTTAATCTTGTTGTTACTTTTTAAAGATATGAAATGTGATTAAATCACTATCTTGATAATTGTAAAAAATGTAAATAATTATTTAATGTATTAGGTTTTAATTATAATTATAATTATAATTATAATTTTCTCCTCTTTTATTTGGTAAATAAATTGATTACTTCTTAAAATTAGCTCTATTAAACTATTTAATTTTTTTGTTAAAAAATATTATTTTTGTCAGTAAGCAAGGGAGTAAATAATAAGTGAAAAATCAAACAATACTATATAGCATTAAGTACCCTCTAAAATGACACTTTTTGAATGGCAACACTAAATAATTTAACAAGACCAATATTAGAGACTAATAAATATATTTACCAAAATAAAAGGAATGAAGTTGTAATTATAATGGATTTTAAGAGATTAACTAGTTATTTACTATTTCATCAGACAGCTTTCGAAAAATAACTTATTTGGATAATATTTTTTGAATTTGCTGATGTTTGTTATATTCAAGAAAATTAGTCAATGGAAAAAAAAAAATTAGGCAATTTTAAAGAAAAATGACTTCTCATTTTTTAAAAAGAAAAACATTTTTTAGACATTATGTTAAATTTATTATAACCTTATGATTACATATTCGTTCACTAAATTAGTAATAGCTACCATCATTAGTCACTGTTCACTATTTACTAGCATCGATCACAAACGACTATCATAATCCATCATTTTTATATATTTTTTCTCATATATAAAAATGAATTTTTAAAATATAAAATTGTTATAAATTTGATATTGTTATATCCTTATAAACTATAAAAGTAAATTCCTTTCAAAAAAAAAAAAAAAATTCTAAGAGTAAATATTTTTAGCTAATTTTTAATAAACAACTAAACAATAGAAAGGAAATTATTTAAAAATTATTTTTTAAAGATAAATTATTTTTTAAAAAAATAAATAAAATCTTAAAAAATATCAAACACAATAATTTCTTGATGAATAGTGTAATGAATTCAAATTTAAATGCTAATCAATACAATGAAGGAGACTAATGACAATATCATGATGATAAGCAATTCTTTGAAGAATAATATAATCATGAAATATCTAACTCTAATCCCTCTTTAACTCTTTCATGCATATCCTTCAATAATAACTTTTGTAGGTTGTAAGCAAACAAAGCAAAAGTAAAGTTTCATAAAGTTACATGAGAATGAGATGAAACATTGCTTTTAGGATCATCAATCAATCTCTTAACTATTAAACCTTCTATTGTCTTTTATTTAAGAAACCATTTTCAAATTTGAATTTTTGCTTTCTAGATTTGGCCTTTATTTAATTTTTCTTTTCAAAAGAAAGCCCCACAATTCCAATTTATACATTGCAAACTAATTTAAAAAAATTAACAAAAATTTTCCAATGATTTAATTATTATTTTGCTAAATTAATTAATTTAGTTATTTAAATTGACTTCATCTTTTGTGTTTGTGTTTTTCTAGAGAAAAAGTAGTATTTTCATGAAAAATTATTAATTTATAATGGCATTCAAATATATTTGCATTGTTTTTTTCTTTTAGTAATATTTTTTAAAGTAATTTTCCTCCTACAATCATTAAAAAGAAAAATTACGGTAAGGGAGGAGTAAAAAAGAGAGACAAATAATCTAGTTAGAGATGTGCAAATGGGTTGTTCAATTCTGAATCGAGCAGCAGAAATCAAAAATGATTTTTTTATAAGTCAAATCAAACAGTTCAGTTTGACACACATTAATTTGATTTAATTATCGATATAAAGATTGAAAATCGAAATTATAGAAAAAAGATTAAAACCAAAATCGAATTAAAAAATCAAATAAACAAACTAAAAATCGAAAGTAGTTCGGTTAAGTTTGATTCGATTTTCGATTTTCTTTAAAGTTGCTCACCCAACAAAAAAAAAAAAAAAAAAAAAAAAAACACCCAACAAAAAAAAAAAAAAAAAAAAAAAAAAAAATTTCAAAAATATTGTATTCAAATTACAATGCCCCAAATTTAATGGTTTATCCAGGGTTTCTCTTGCATTTCCTCACGATACCTAATTTAACTAACCTAAAACTACTCCTATAGGCCTATAGTTATGATTTAGTACCCACCTCTCTCTTTCCCATTCTTCAATCAGTCCAAAAAAAAAAAAAAAAAAAAAAAAAAAATCAAAATTTTGTATTAATACAATGCCAAATTTAGATGGGGGTTTATCCAGGGTTTTCTCTTGCATTTCTCCACGATACTAATTACTACTAAACTACTCTATAGCCTATAGTTAGTGCTTAGTACCCACTCTCTCTTCCCATTCTTCAATCTCCCTCTTTCTCTGTTTGTGTCAGAGATGAGCTTAGTATAGCAGCAATGACTCTACCACCTCAATCTCAACCCCACCACCACCGCCACTCCACCTGCAACCGCCACCCCTCAAAACCCATCACTGGTTTCTGCGCATCTTGCCTCCGGGAACGTCTCGCCGGCATTGACCCCGACACACACCAAGAAACCCCTATTACCTATCTTGCCAACGAGCTCCGCCGTAGTAAATCCTATTCCAGTAGCTCAAATCCAAATGCATCCTCCAGCTCCACCAGCACCACCACCATCTCCGAGCCTCGCCGCAAGTCTTGCGATGTTAGGTCAAGGAACACTCTCTCTGATCTGTTCCATATTGATGATAAGAGAAAATATAGCTTGAATAGGAAGCCAAAGGGTTTGGGTTTGGATTTGGGACGTGAATTGAAAGAAGAGGAGGAAAATGGCGCTGAAGTTAGGGTTGCAGATGATGTTAATGTAACAAATGTGAATGCTAGTGAAATAAATTTAGATGATGAGTTTGAAGAGGATGGAGAGTTTAAAACAATGAAGGAGTTTATAGATCTTGAATTGGAGAGAAAGAAAAATGGAGGTAGAGATTTAAGAAACATTGCAGGGAGCTTTTGGGATGCTGCTTCAATATTTAGAAAGAAATTAGTTAAATGGCAGATAAAACAGAAGAAAGAAAAGAAGGAAAAGAAACATGGTGTTGTTATCGGTGGTGGTGGTAGAGATGGTAATTTTGCAATGGAATTTGAGAAGCCAAGTATTAGAAGATTAAGAGAAACCCAATCAGAGATTGGAGAGTATGGATTTGGAAGGAGATCTTGCGATACTGATCCAAGACTATCAGTTGATGTAGCTAGGCTGTCCGTTGATGATGCAAGGTATTCTTTTGATGAGCCTAGAGCTTCTTGGGATGGTTACTTGATTGGTAAATCTTATCCGCGTCTTGCACCATTGGTATCTGTTGTGGAGGATGTGAAGTTACCTGCGAATGGAATTGGAAATGTGAAAGATAATGTGGACTTGAAGAATGAAGGAGAGAGTAGCCCTGGAGGCAACGCACAGACTAGGGATTATTATTCTGATAGGAGGAGAAGGAGGAGCTTTGATCGTCTTGGTTCAAATAGGAGATTGACATTAGGTGATGATGAGTTCAAATCAATATCAAATGCTAAGGTATCTCCTGAAACAGTTGGGTTATTCCATGGAGCTAAGTTGTTGGTTACAGAGAAAGAATTAAGGGATTCGAATTGGTATTCACTTAAAGATTATCAGGCAGAGAGTACTGATGCTAAGGATGTGGAATCTGTTGTTGGTGGAGTTAGCAAAAAAGGTTTGAAATTCAAGAAGTTGCAGACATGGCGTAGCATGTGGAATATTTGGGGTTTGATGCAGAGGAGAAGTGAGAGCAAATGCGGCGATGAGGAAAGGAGTATTGGTGGAAATGTGGCTGATGGGTCAGCGACAGAGTCTTGGCAGAAATTGAGTGGTGTGGCCGATGTCGAAGCAAAGGGCACTGTTAGCCAAAAGCTTATAAGGAGTTACACTATTAGTGCTAAGGATTCCAGCAAAATGGCCTGTGGTGCAGGTGAGACCAAAGAGAATGGTATGAAGAGAAGAGAAGACCTTGTGCTGCAGCGTAATAGGAGTGCCAGGTATTCTCCAAACAACCTGGATAATGGCCTGTTAAGGTTCTACTTGACTCCATTGAGAAGTTATGGAAGAAGCAAATCTGGAAAGAGTCGGCTACAAAACTCACATTGTTTGGCAAGGAATGTTCTGTAAAGGTGCATACCTGCGTTAATTGTTCCTCAGTGAAATGTGATGTTGTAAAGACATAACTTAATGTGTTTCTCCTTGTTCTATAGATAAAAACTCGTCATATTTATCACTTCTTCTCTCTGCTTAATACATGTTTCTAATAAGTCAGCAATGATAATTAGAAAATTTTTGTTTTTGCTCAATTTGAATTTAGTAATGGTGCTTACAGAGGCAATATAGATGGCATATTCTTTTGGCAATCCATGCAATATTGAATTGAAGCATTTGCTAATTTTGTTGTCAATTAACTTATTGTTGTACATATTCCTGGAAATTCCAATAGTCAGTAATCTCAGTGATGTAGTTATGGCATCTGAATTTGCTTCTAGAACCATTGCTAGCTTCTGGTTGAATGAAATTAATCTTCGTAGTCCATTGTAGTGCAGGATCATTGGTGAGTTGATGAATACTAACTTGATGCCCACTTGTTCAAAAAAATTAGAACCATACAGTTCTTTATTTTATCTTAACGAGACCGGCCATTGAAAGGGGAGCCCGCCGAACTAACATATCTAGTTTCTTCCGAGCCAATAGCTCCCGCCCCAAAAGAAAAAGGCAGGACCCAAAAGTGCAATGCTTCACCCTCAGAATTGAAAAAGACTAAGCTTTTTGTTTTGCCTTGACTTGGCCTTTCCCAGATACCCAGAATGTCTCATTGATTTTTACATTTAGTGGAAATAGTTTCTAGTGATGGCCTGGCTTTTTCCTATGAATAAATGGTATTGTTGCATCTCTGCTGGATTCTGATCTCTCATGGTTGCAATAGCTGTCCATATATTTGAAAATGCTTCTTTCAATAATGCTTTTGTGAGTCTCTTTACCACTCCACTGGAAAAAAAAAAAAAAAAAAAAAAAACTGGAAAAAGAAAAAAAAAAAAAAAAAATCATTTGTTGAGTTTTTAGTGATGGGGTAATGTTCAGTAGATGCACTCTTGCTCTGCTAAATGCAACATACCTGCCTGGAAAAAAAAAAAAAAAAAAAAAATCATTTTTTGATCTTTTAGGTGATGGGTAATGTTCAGTAGATGCACTCTTGCTCTGCTAAAATGCAACATACCTGCTTGTCTTTGAGAATTGTTTATGGTACTTAATAGTACAAGCAAGTTGCTCTTGATTCACTCGGATTGCCATTGACTTCTACGTGTCTAGGTTGATTGCTACAGGTCTTAGTCTTACTTTTAGTCACAGATGTTGAATCTTCACTTCCCTCTAGGCAAAGAAGAAGAGAAGGAAACTTCAATCTGACCATATCAGTTCTTAGGTAGTTAGCACAGAGGAGCTGATTTAGGATAAATCCATAATTTTCTTTAGTTTATTATACAGTTTCAAACTCAAAGCCTCATGAGCTTGAAGATGACTTTAGTAACTTTAAATGAATGAAAGACTGGATGGTAAAGTCACCCTATTTTGTTTTCAAGGAAATTTACTTGTGGTAAAAATCAACGAAACAAAGGTTTTAGTCCTTTAGATCCTGTTGTATTTCTGTGAGACTGTGACATTGCCGAAGAGTACTGTTATCTTTTGTAATGTGGGAGTGGGGACCCAAAGATCCTAGCCAAGCACTTGTTACAGGTTACCAATAATTGCTTCTGATGAATTATTTTTTTCACTGGACAAACTTGATTGGTGTGATCCTGTTGGAGTTTTTGGCTTAGGATTCCCCAATTCTGCGATCTTCTTCTGTTTGGGCCCTAAAATGGGTAGTATTGCATTAAAGGCTTATTTGCCATACCCTCCAGCAAGTACTGCAAGGTCTTTTCTCTACTTTTATCTACATGGTTGAAAAGCTTGGCAACAATTGTAACTTGGAAAAAAGCAATAGTGAAATTGTAACTTGTAATTGGTGAACATGCAGATTGTGGAGAGACAATGTTTTGTCCTTTGCAGATATGTAAAAAAGTTTAGTCTTGATCTTGTGTGATAGTACTCTCATTGTTTAGCCAAATATAGATAGTTTTCTAAATGTTCTTGCTGCCAGAATTAAATCAAGAATGCAGCAAATCAACAGTAGTGAAATTTTTGTTTGGAAATGGCATGCCATTCAAGCATAGTATAATAAATAAAATTACTGCTCCCGGTTGACATATTACACTAGTTGGCTTATAGAAGGGGAAGATGGTCCCACATAAAAATAGGAGAAAAAGGTAGGATATACTACATTAAATAAATATAATTTATTGATAATTTAAATAAGTAAACAATCATTTATAATAAGTGATAGACGTAAAATAAAAAAATATTTAATTTTTTATTTCAACATAATTAGTAAAATTCTCAAAATTAACATAATCATTGAAAATCTTTAAAAAAGATCAAATTAATTCCCAACGATATTCCGCATTTTAGTTTATTAATATAATATAATATTATCATTCTATTTTTATAAAAGCTTTGTAAATTACTGATTTCAATTCAACATTGTGAATTAGTTCTTAGATTTAATAATAATAGGTATAAATTACCAATTGTAAATTATAAGATAAAGTTTTTCATTCTTTTATGTATCTTTTAACTTTGTATTTTAAGTATTAACAATTAACAAATATATATTTAAGACAACAATTTTAATATATTTGTTAATGAATTTATCTAAAATTCTAATAAAATTTTCAAATATATCTTTAAAGTGTCCAGAAACTATCTCAGATGTTTTGCATGTTGTTAAGGTGTCCAATACCAACATGGGTATGTTGTTAAGGTGTCCGTGTAATTTAGGTCTTTCTCATACAGTAATTGGCTTACGTGAAATTAATCCTGCCTAAAAATACAAGGAGAAAGTGTGTTTGGTCCAATACAAGGAGAAAGCGGGCTTGGTCCAATACCAAAAGAAATACAGTAATGGAGGAAAAACATACTCCAACTTCGAGTCTATTGTCAAGTAGTGAGAGTGTGTGTGCCATTAAGCTAAACTTGGGACATTGCAAGCTCGAAACTTGAAACTTTTTTGCTGCAAAATTCTTAACCCCCATAGAAAAGAAAAAGAAAATTCTAATGGCTACTCATTATCCATGCATGACAAACGAAATCTTCTATTATAAAGTTAATTATAAAAATAATAATGATCAAACCATGCATGCCATAAAACATTATTGTCTTCCTTTTCCATTTGAAGCATGATACTAAGAAATCATGCCAAACAATATGACACAATTATATCACAATCTCATCATCAAACAAACATACAAACAAACATCATTAGACATTCAGATATTGTCACTCAACATCATACCCTTTTTCTTGAAGCTCTTGTATCACCTCATTTCTCATCCTTATCCACAGCTTTTGTGCTTCTTGTTCAAACTTCTTGCTTTGCAATTCTTTCTGATAGTTATACGTATCTTTATCCGTTTCTACAACCCCTTTAGGCCCAATTGTTGTTCCAATCATTCCTCCTTTTGCAACAAACTCTTCCATTGCTTCTGTGTCGCCTGGGTATGGAAACTCTCGCCTTTCATACAAGTGAGCTAGTTCTCTCTCCTCCTTTGGCTTTGGCTTCAATGTCCACCAACCAAGCGGGGAAGTTTCGTTGTAGAGCCAAGCAGCGCCAAATAGTGTGTAGGTGCAGAGCAGTGCCTTTCCTACTTGCTTCCAGAAATACCAATCTTCTTTTCCTAATCCTACTTTCCTTAGATACTTGTCGTAATTCACTGATTTTAGATATTCGAAGCCTGAAACATCGATTTATCATAATTTCTATTATCATTCTTCTTTCAAGCTCTTTATCAAACAGTTGGAGTGCAGCTAAGTTATTAAAACAAAGAAAAACAAAATTTACATCACCTGTTTTGGCTTCTTGAAAACGTTTACGAACCATTTCTTTGGCTGCGCTGCTGAATTCTTTGAGGAAAATTCTATATTCGATTAATGGCTTCAGCTTTCAACTTTGAAAAGAAACAGATTCCGCGGACTCTGTTCCAGATTTTTTGGAACCCTTGGATTGTTGTATGGAAAAACTTAAGTGCAGCCTTCCATATTAACCTTCTCCAAGTCCACACACAACACATTTTAATGGTCGAAACGACATCACTTTGATATTTTCCACGTTTTTTAAAATTTTAACAATACTCTTTTAAATAAAACTTCTTACCTAATTAATAAAAAAATTTATATTATTTTTATTATAGTTTTACATTCAATCAAAAAATCTGATTCCTGAATGCCTAATTTTCCTTAAAAATAAAATTGAATCGCTATTTTCTATTCTCCATTTTTTTTTTCATTTCAAATTCAGTATCAACAACGAATTGAGTATCCACTTAAAATGGGTAAAATCTAAATTTAAATCTATTTAATAAATAAAATATTTAAATGTATGTAAAATTTTTTTTTATCCCATATATTCGTCATAAATCCAATTATAATTATACTTTAATATTTGAACCAATTTAATGCTAAAAATAATACTTTAATTTTTAGAAAAAAATAAAAATAAGTAAAATTTATAAAATCCTATTTTGACTTAAAAAGACTAGGGATAAGGATAAATTTACCACTTGAATTTGAAAACAATTTAAAAATAATGTACAATTTGCTCAAAAATCAACTTTTTGTATAATTTATCCTTTAATTGCATAAAAAAATTAAAAAAAAATCCATTTTTTAAAGAAAAAATATGACATCTATATTAAAAACAATGATAATGCTTGTTATGATTAAAAATGTATAATTATAATATCATTAAGGTCCTAATTAAATGAGGATGGTTGGGACCCTAGAACCCGACCCCGACTCGGATAGGAAAACTACTATTTCAACTCGTCCCCAATCATCTGAATCTGTTTAATCCAATCCTCAAAAGTGAAAATTAGTCCAAAAAGCCCAATAAAAGAAAAGCCCATATGCAAGTCCAGGGCACTCCAGAGGCTTCCCCGTAAAATCTCCAAGCTCCAAGAAATCACCAGAAAGCTCGTCATAAGATTGCTCCAGAAAGGACCACATATCTCCCCTGCTTCCTATAAATACCCAATCTATTCCCCTCCATCACATCATCGAAAAACTAGAAACACGACGAAGCTACTCTCGCTACGATCGACCAAATCTAAGGCTTTCAGATCGAAAAATGGCATTGATTCCAAGCTTTTTCGGTAACTCACGAAGCAACATCTTCGATCCTTTCTCTGCTCTCGACGTTTGGGATCCATTCAGAGACTTTTCTTTCCCTTCATCTTCTTCCCTCGTCTCTCGTGAAAATTCTGCTTTTATTAACACTCGCATTGACTGGAGAGAGACACCAGAGGCTCATATATTCAAGGCTGATCTCCCTGGGCTCAAAAAAGAGGAAGTGAAAGTAGAAATTGAAGATGACAGAGTGCTTCAAATCAGCGGGGAGAGAAATGTGGAGAAGGAAGACAAGAACGACACGTGGCATCGCGTGGAGCGTAGCAGTGGCAAGTTCATGAGGAGGTTCAGGCTGCCGGAGAATGCAAAGATGGATCAAGTAAAGGCTTCAATGGAAAACGGAGTACTTACTGTCACTGTTCCTAAAGAGGAAGTCAAGAAACCTGATGTTAAGGCTATTGAGATCTCTGGTTAAGTTTCAGCTTATAATGATGTTATCTCAATATATATATATAATGATATGCGTGTGAGAAAGTATGTACCGAAAGAATGTTTAGTATTCATGTTTCATTTTAATAATATAATATATAATAATTCCTGATTATCTTTTCTCCTCTCTTCTATTCTCAACTCATCAGATCATAACGGAATAGATATCCAGAACACAACGTTATACGAAAGCATACTTGTCTAGCCACACACGCTAAGCGCTCCACTGGACCGCACTACCTTCGCTCGCTCGATCCTCCCCTCCGCTTCTCCTCTGACACTGTCACTCACCCCTCGGGGCTTAACGAGGAACAATCGGTTAAGCTCTTACACGGCTATATCTAGTCTTTCGTACAAATGGGAACTCTTTGGTAATTCAAGCTTTTGCGGTACACCACACGAAGCGAATGCTTGGCGTAAACTCGTGTATTTGCACACTGTTGCGGATATGTTGTGGTGCGATTGCTCTCCATCTTCAGAGACTTTTTGTTACGCCTCTTCAACTATACGTTGTGTGTCCCTTCGTGCTACATAAGTTGAAAATTAGTGGGATTTCGTTAATCTAAAACTGCATCGGCCCTGAGGAGAGGAACTGGAGAGATGGTTATCGTCAGACAACTAAATATGACATCAATGGGCTGTTCAACCACTGGAGAATCAATAAAAGAACGTGGAAATAATTTATAGAAAAGGTATGAATAGTCTAGAGACAAGCAAGAGTTGACTTCAATACAGACCGGGGAGAGAAATTGGTGGAGAAGGATGGATCAAGTAAAGGCTTCAATGGAAAACGGAGTACTTACTGTCACTGTTCCTAAAGAGGAAGTCAAGAAACCTGATGTTAAGGCTATTGAGATCTCTGGTTAAGTTTCAGCTTATAATGATGTTATCTCAATATATATATATAATGATATGCGTGTGAGAAAGTATGTACCGAAAGAATGTTTAGTATTCATGTTTCATTTTAATAATATAATATATAATAATTCCTGATTATCTTTTCTCCTTTGTTGCTTGATGAAGTAAATTTTAGCTGTATAATTTTGATATTACTGATCTAATATATAATGATATGTGTGTGAGAAAGTATGTACTGAAAGAATGTTTATTATTACTGTTTCATTTTAATAATGTAAAATATAATAATTCCTGATTATCTTTTCTCCTTTGTTGCTTGATGAAGTAAATTTTAGCTGTATAATTTTGATATTACTGATCTAAGGTCTTAAGTGCATAATCCGCTGATTCCATCAAATCATTAAATTCAAAACAAAAGCACCAGAAGGAAGAAAAGAAAAGGGAAAGATTTGTTGGTTGGGGAAAACACACACAATAGACCGTTGTCTTTGTTGTAAAATTTTTAATTATATTTTACCCATTTCTGGTAAAAGAAATACAATCTTCATCACTAACATGATATATTTTCTATGATATGTTTTTTCACAGTTTTTTCAACGACACAACAGCAAATCCAAGAGATGATGATCAACGAAGAGTTCCCACAGGAATCTTGTATGTATACCACTTTGATATCAAAAGAAAAGCCACTAAATTTAGCACACTTAGTATTGCCCATACCCAGAAGAAGTAATCAACGTGACCATAATTTAAATTGTCTGGTATCCACCCTGGTTTTCCATTCTTTGCAGTAATGCTCATGGTAATAGTTACGAGAAGAGAGCTTAGTTACGAGAAGAGAGCTCAAGTAATTACCAAGTGCGACTGTGGTAAGAGACAAAGCAGAACATAAGCTCCTCATTGCATCTGGCGCTTCTTGGTAGAAGAATTCTAATTGTCCGATGAATGTGAATACTTCTGCACATCCTATAAGGAAATATTGTGGAACTTGCCAGAATACTGATATGGGTACTTCTTTAACTTCATAAATATTGTGTCTTTCAACCATTGCGAGTCTTATCATTTCTAGTACTGCAGCAGATACCATTGCAAATACTGATATCACAAGGCCAATTCCCATTCTTTGTAGTTGAGTCAAGCCAGTTTTATGGCCTGTGAATTTTCTTGCTACTGGAACAATGATTCTGTCATAGATTGGAACCCAGAAAATGACGCTAAGGGTGTCGAAAACAGAAAGAGACGCAGATGGGATCTTGAAACTGGAATTGCCAACATATTTATTCATCTGATCTCCTTGCAATACAAATAAGTTGCTCATTTGGCTGTACACTGCAGCGAAGATTATACCAGTAGCCCATATAGGAAGCAACCGAATGATTGATTTTAACTCCTCAACTTGAGTTACTGTGGAAAGTCTCCATGGGTCTACTGATTCTTTTACATTATCTTTTTCGGTTTCCACTGCTGCCTTGTCAAAGAAACTGAAACAGCAAGATTACCACCGCAAGTAAGAAACTAAATTTTTGAGTTTGATCACTGAAGCTCAAATAAAAGGACATGTACAGTGCATGAGGTTAGTCATTGATTTAACTATTTAATCCTTTCAATAGATTAGTCATTGATACTTGACCATTGAATTTTGCCTTACCTCAAGATTATATAGGAATTCACTCTAATTAAAATCTTTCAGTTGCCTTTTGTCCCTGAGTTTGACCAACAGGAAATTTAAGTGGAGAACCAAGTAGTTGATGAATGAAATTATTGGGATAAGTTAATTTGACTTTGAAAATGGAGATCCTAACTAGTGATTAGGTCGAAACTCAAGCACTGAGTGTTAATCCACAAAAAAAGGCATTCTAGGTTTCCTTTGAATTCTTGCAGATTGTAATTGTTCAAACACTAACCTGAAATCTTTGGTGTGCTCAACCTTGCGGCTCCCTTTGATGTTGGATTCAGCATCTGCTGTCTCATGTAACAGAGACTTATCAGCAGGCACTTTTACTTTGTATTTCCTAATGGATGCCACTATCACCTGGAAGAGACGTGTAAGAGGGCTGCCTCCTGGTTTTTGGTTTCTATACAATCTAGTACCTAAATAGAAGCTTGTAAGAGCAATTAACATGGCTATTGCAGGAATGCCAAAACCCCATCCCCAACTCCAGTTGTCTTGTACATAAACAAGCACGGAAGAAGCAATAAGAGCTCCGACATTAATTGAGAAGTAGAACCAGTTGAAGAAAGAGCCTTTGTGCTTCTTCTCAACCTCATCTGTATCATCAAACTGATCTGCTCCATATGACTTCTCAACCTCATCTGTATCATCAAACTGATCTGCTCCATATGACGACACACAAGGCTTAATCCCTCCAGTGCCTAGTGCTATCAGGTAAAGTGCTACAAAGCATGCTGCACTTTGTCCATCAGTCGGATCACAGTCATTTTTTGAATAACATTTTGGCTTTAGACCTGGGACTGATGCTGACAGAGCTAAAAGCGTCATCCCCTGTGGATAGCAAAGGGTATTGTGTTATATGCCTTGAAGTGTTGAAAATAATGTGGAGAACACAGAAGCTATGATGTTTGACTATGATGTTTGAGGCATGCTTGAGCATTGTACTTTAAGAATAAATTTTGCTCCTCAGAGGTAAGCAACAGAAGTATGATTTCTTTCTTATGCAATATCTAACCTCTTATGCTTGATTTTAAGGCTTGTTTAATACATGAGCCAAGCTCGAGCTGACCAGAACTCAGCTTGGTTCATTCGCGGCCTAATTGTGATTTATATGATTATAACATTAAACAAAACAGCGTATCAAAAAGTAAATGCAATGCAAATCCCTTTTGGGTTTCAAATGCTTAATCTTCTATAAGTTGAAATCTACAAATACAAGGCAAAAAACATTAGTGAAACTTACAATGACATAAATACTCATGAAAATTGCAATAGTCCGATATCTTCCTAGAAAAGCATCAGCCAAAAATGCTCCGATCAGCGGTGTGGTATAGCATGTTCCACTCCAATCAGAGTTATTTTTAGTGGCAGTAGCACTGTCCTGATTTAATATGTTCTTGAAATAAAGAACCAAATTGGAGCTCATCCCATAATAGGCTAATCTTTCACAACATTCATTTCCTGTTAATAAAAATATAAAAAACTGATAAGCATTTCTCTTTTTATGAACATATTTCACTGCATGTGTCAGATGGAGTTCACCAGTACCTATTATGAAGGGGCAGGCTCTCCATGTTCCAGTTTCCTTTTTATTAGCAGGATTCCCACGGTAATCCACTGTCCCATCTTTTGTATATATATCCTCTTCTGCCATGACTTCTTACAAATGTTCTCTTCTTTGCCTATTCTTTGGAACTGGCTACTCTGCAGAATTTGTGAAGTTCTTATAGCTGCATTAAACAAGTAACAATAGCTTTATCAAATTAGATCTGCAGCAAATGCTAGACAAGAAATTTATAAACTTTGAACCCTAATTTTCTTTCTCCTCCTTTTAAGAAATTTAGGCAAGAACTGATCATTTCTTGCCAAAATTCGACATGAAAAGTCAGAAATTATCCTTTCCGCTATAAGTAATATATATGAAATATATTAGGACATGCAATAAATAAGTATTCAAACCTCATGCGTGATAAATTGAAGCAATGATCCAAGGAAGCAGTTTGGCTAATGAGAAAGAGAAGCAAAATTAAGACAAAAGTACTAAATTTCCTGATATTGATCACCACTCAAAACTCAAGAGGCTCACTGCCACGTATAAACTGTACCCATATAACCCACTTTTTGTTTGACTGATCTATAATGTGGAAAAAGAGGTATACAACAGATACCGAGGTTGGATTTTTGTGGGTTTGACTAGTATCTTATAGTGACATATGGGAGCCAGGAAATGACAGTTTGGCTTGCTGGAAATAGGGCTAGCCGTTGCTAATGAGCTTTAGTTCCATAATATTGAAGTCATTTCAAGATTCATATCTGAGATAGAGCCGTAAAAGGACTTCTTTTCTCAAGGAGTGCAACTATTCTTATTGTTTCAAAATTAGCAAGTTCTTGAAAGTTCAAACTTTTCCACTAGAAAAGCAGATTGGTGATGTACTCTGTTGGGCGAGTCAAGAAATGCAAATTAGTTCAAGATTTGCAGAAATATAATTAAAATGGGAACTCAATTAGAAAGGAAAGAAGATTCTTACCATTACTTACTCTATCTTGTGTGTAGTTCAAATGCCAAGAACTAAATAAAGGGTTTTCTTCATTGGTTTCCACAACAGTGACGTTGGGTTCAATGGGTTCTCCTTTGTTTCACCATAGCCAACCGTTGTTGCTATATATGTGGATGGTCTGGGCACAGCTAACAGTGAGTTGCTTGCTCCTGTTGTTTATTGTAAATTAAATAAATTATTGAGTGTCAAATCAACGAAATCAGTGAATTTAAACATCCATTGAAAACCACGTAAGCAGCGGTTTACTAGTTTTACAAGTTTATTACGTTGGAAGATTATATAAACATCCATTGAAAACCACGTAAGCAGCGGTTTACTAGTTTTACAAGTTTATTACGTTGGAAGATTATATTAGTACTCCTTCTGTTAGTTCCGTTAAGAATATTTTAAATTTAAAGGATCTGCAGTTCCTTTGTCGTCTTATACATATTTAAAGGATCTGCAGTTCCATTAAGATTATATTATGAAAATTTTATGTAAGGTACCCAATCCATTCCCCTCCATCACATCATCGAAAAACTAGAAACAAGACGAAGCTACTCTCGCTACGATAGACCAAAACCTAAGGCTCTCAGATCGAAAAATGGCATTGATTCCAAGCTTTTTCGGTAACTCACGAAGCAACATCTTCGATCCATTCTCTGCTCTGGACGTTTGGGATCCATTCATAGACTTTTCTTTCACTTCATCTTCTTCCCTCGTTTCTCGTGAAAATTCTGCTTTTATTAACACTCGCGTTGACTGGAGAGAGACACAGAGGCTCATGTATTCAAGGCTGATCTTCCTGGGCTCAAAAAAGAGGAAGTGAAAGTAGAAATTGAAGATGACAGAGTGCTTCAAATCAGCGGGGAGAGAAATGTGGAGAAGGAAGAGAAGAACGACACGTGGCATCGCGTGGAACGTAGCAGTGGCAAGTTCTTGAGGAGTTTCAGGCTGCCGGAGAATGCAAAGATGGATCAAGTAAAGGCTTCAATGGAAAACGGAGTACTTACTGTCACTGTTCCTAAAGAGGAAGTCAAGAAACCTGATGTTAAGGCTATTGAGATCTCTGGTTAAGTTTCAGCTTATAATGATGTTATCTCAATATATATATATAATGATATGCGTGTGAGAAAGTATGTACCGAAAGAATGTTTAGTATTCATGTTTCATTTTAATAATATAATATATAATAATTCCTGATTATCTTTTCTCCTAGTATTCATGTTTCATGATGGATCAAGTAAAGGCTTCAATGGAAAACGGAGTACTTACTGTCACTGTTCCTAAAGAGGAAGTCAAGAAACCTGATGTTAAGGCTATTGAGATCTCTGGTTAAGTTTCAGCTTATAATGATGTTATCTCAATATATATATATAATGATATGCGTGTGAGAAAGTATGTACCGAAAGAATGTTTAGTATTCATGTTTCATTTTAATAATATAATATATAATAATTCCTGATTATCTTTTCTCCTTTGTTGCTTGATGAAGTAAATTTTAGCTGTATAATTTTGATATTACTGATCTAAGGTCTAAGTGCATAATCTGCTGATTCCATCAAATCATTAAATTCAAAACAAAAGCACCAGAAGGAAGAAAAGAAAAGGTAAAGATTTGTTGGTTGGGGAAAACACACACAATAGACTGTTGTCTTTGTTGTAAATTTTTAATTATATTTTACCCATTTCTGGTAAAAGAAATACAATCTTCATCACTAACATGATATATTTTCTATGATATGTTTTTTTACAGTTTTTTCAACGACACAACAGCAAATCCAAGAAAAGGTAAAGATTTGTTGGTTGGGGAAAACACACACAATAGACTGTTGTCTTTGTTGTAAATTTTTAATTATATTTTACCCATTTCTGGTAAAAGAAATACATTCTTAATCACTAACATGATATATTTTCTATGATATGTTTTTTTACAGTATTTTCAACGACACAACAGCAAATCCAAGAGATGATGATCAACGAAGAGTTCCCACAGGAATCTTGTATGTATACCACTTTGATATCAAAAGAAAAGCCACTAAATTTAGCACACTTAGTATTGCCAATACCCAGAAGAAGTAATCAACGTGACCATAATTTAAATTGTCTGGTATCCACCCTGGTTTTCCATTCTTTGCAGTAATGCTCATGGTAATAGTTACGAGAAGAGAGCTCAAGTAATTACCAAGTGCGACTGTGGTAAGAGACAAAGCAGAACATAAGCTCCTCATTGCATCTGGCGCTTCTTGGTAGAAGAATTCTAATTGTCCGATGAATGTGAATACTTCTGCACATCCTATAAGGAAATATTGTGGAACTTGCCAGAATACTGATATGGGTACTTCTTTAACTTCATAAATATTGTGTCTTTCAACCATTGCGAGTCTTATCATTTCTAGTACTGCAGCAGATACCATTGCAAATACTGATATCACAAGGCCAATTCCCATTCTTTGTAGTTGAGTCAAGCCAGTTTTATGGCCTGTGAATTTTCTTGCTACTGGAACAATGATTCTGTCATAGATTGGAACCCAGAAAATGACGCTAAGGGTGTCGAAAACAGAAAGAGACGCAGATGGGATCTTGAAACTGGAATTGCCAACATATTTATTCATCTGATCTCCTTGCAATACAAATAAGTTGCTCATTTGGCTGTACACTGCAGCGAAGATTATACCAGTAGCCCATATAGGAAGCAACCGAATGATTGATTTTAACTCCTCAACTTGAGTTACTGTGGAAAGTCTCCATGGGTCTACTGATTCTTTTACATTATCTTTTTCGGTTTCCACTGCTGCCTTGTCAAAGAAACTGAAACAGCAAGATTACCACCGCAAGTAAGAAACTAAATTTTTGAGTTTGATCACTGAAGCTCAAATAAAAGGACATGTACAGTGCATGAGGTTAGTCATTGATTTAACTATTTAATCCTTTCAATAGATTAGTCATTGATACTTGACCATTGAATTTTGCCTTACCTCAAGATTATATAGGAATTCACTCTAATTAAAATCTTTCAGTTGCCTTTTGTCCCTGAGTTTGACCAACAGGAAATTTAAGTGGAGAACCAAGTAGTTGATGAATGAAATTATTGGGATAAGTTAATTTGACTTTGAAAATGGAGATCCTAACTAGTGATTAGGTCGAAACTCAAGCACTGAGTGTTAATCCACAAAAAAAGGCATTCTAGGTTTCCTTTGAATTCTTGCAGATTGTAATTGTTCAAACACTAACCTGAAATCTTTGGTGTGCTCAACCTTGCGGCTCCCTTTGATGTTGGATTCAGCATCTGCTGTCTCATGTAACAGAGACTTATCAGCAGGCACTTTTACTTTGTATTTCCTAATGGATGCCACTATCACCTGGAAGAGACGTGTAAGAGGGCTGCCTCCTGGTTTTTGGTTTCTATACAATCTAGTACCTAAATAGAAGCTTGTAAGAGCAATTAACATGGCTATTGCAGGAATGCCAAAACCCCATCCCCAACTCCAGTTGTCTTGTACATAAACAAGCACGGAAGAAGCAATAAGAGCTCCGACATTAATTGAGAAGTAGAACCAGTTGAAGAAAGAGCCTTTGTGCTTCTTCTCAACCTCATCTGTATCATCAAACTGATCTGCTCCATATGAACACGGAAGAAGCAATAAGAGCTCCGACATTTAATTTGAGAAGTAGAAACCAGTTGAAGAAAGAGCCTTGTTTCCTTTGAATTCTTGCAGATTGTAATTGTTCAAACACTAACCTGAAATCTTTGGTGTGCTCAACCTTGCGGCTCCCTTTGATGTTGGATTCAGCATCTGCTGTCTCATGTAACAGAGACTTATCAGCAGGCACTTTTACTTTGTATTTCCTAATGGATGCCACTATCACCTGGAAGAGACGTGTAAGAGGGCTGCCTCCTGGTTTTTGGTTTCTATAATATCTAGTACCTAAATAGAAGCTTGTAAGAGCAATTAACATGGCTATTGCAGGAATGCCAAAACCCCATCCCCAACTCCAGTTCTCTTGTACATAAACAAGCACGGAAGAAGCAATAAGAGCTCCAACGTTAATTGAGAAGTAGAACCAGTTGAAGAAAGAGCCTTTGTGCTTCTTCTCAACCTCATCTGTATCATCAAACTGATCTGCTCCATATGACGACACACAAGGCTTAATCCCTCCAGTGCCTAGTGCTATCAGGTAAAGTGCTACAAAGCATGCTGCACTTTGTCCATCAGTCGGATCACAGTCATTTTTTGAATAACATTTTGGCTTTAGACCTGGGACTGATGCTGACAGAGCTAAAAGCGTCATCCCCTGTGGATAGCAAAGGGTATTGTGTTATATGCCTTGAAGTGTTGAAAATAATGTGGAGAACACAGAAGCTATGATGTTTGAGGCATGCTTGAGCATTGTACTTTAAGAATAAATTTTGCTCCTCAGAGGTAAGCAACAGAAGTATGATTTCTTTCTTATGCAATATCTAACCTCTTATGCTTGATTTTAAGGCTTGTTTAATACATGAGCCAAGCTCGAGCTGACCAGAACTCAGCTTGGTTCATTCGCGGCCTAATTGTGATTTATATGATTATAACATTAAACAAAACAGCGTATCAAAAAGTAAATGCAATGCAAATCCCTTATTGGGTTTCAAATGCTTAAATCTTCTATAAGTTGAAATCTACAAATACAAGGCAAAAACATTAGTAGAACTTACAATGACATAAATGCTCATGAAAATTGCAATAGTCCGATATCTTCCTAGAAAAGCATCAGCCAAAAATGCTCCGATCAACGGTGTGGTATAGCATGTTCCACTCCAATCAGAGTTATTTTTAGTAGCAGTAGCACTGTCCTGATTTAATATGTTCTTGAAATAAAGAACCAAATTGGAGCTCATCCCATAATAGGCTAATCTTTCACAACATTCATTTCCTGTTAATAAAAATATATAAAACTGATAAGCATTTCTCTTTTTATGAACATATTTCACTGCATGTATCAGATGGAGTTCACCAGTACCTATTATGAAGGGGCAGGCTCTCCATGTTCCAGTTTCCTTTTTATTAGCAGGATTCCCACGGTAATCCACTGTCCCATCTTTTGTATATATATCCTCTTCTGCCATGACTTCTTACAAATGTTCTCTTCTTTGCTTATTCTTTGGAACTGGCTACTCCGCAGAATTTGTGAAGTTCTTATAGCTGCATTAAACAAGTACCAATAGCTTTATTAAATTAGATCTGCAGCAAATGCTAGACAAGGAATTTATAAACTTTGAACCCTAATTTTCTTTCTCCTCCTTTTAAAGAAATTTAGGCAAGAACTGACCATTTCTTGCCAAAATTCGACATGAAAAGTCAGAAATTATCCTTTCTGCTATAAGTAATATATATGAAATATATTAGGACATACAATAAATAAGCATTCAAACCTCATGCCTGATAAATTCAAGCAATGATCCAAGGAAGCAGTTTGACTAATGAGAAAGAGAAGCAAAATTAAGACAAAAGTACTAAATTTCCTGATATTGATCACCACTCAAAACTCAAGAGGCTCACTGCCACATATAAACTGTACCCATATAACCCACTTTTTGTTTGACTGATCTATAATGTGGAAAAAGAGGTATACAACAGATACCGAGGTTGGATTTTTGTGGGTTTGACTAGTATCTTATAGTGACATATGGGAGCCAGGAAATGACAGTTTGGCTTGCTGGAAATAGGGCTATTTAGTTCCATAACATTGAAGTCATTTCAAGATTCATAGCAGAGATAGAGCCGTAAAAGGACTTCTTTTCTCAAGGAGTGCAACTATTCTTATTGTTTCAAAATTAGCAAGTTCTTGAAAGTTCAAACTTTTCCACTAGAAAAGCAGATTGGTGATGTACTCTGTTGGCGAGTCAAGAAATGCAAATTAGTTCAAGATTTGCAGAAATATAATTAAAATGGGAACTCAATTAGAAAGGAAATAAGATTCTTACTTTTACTTACTCTATCCTGTGTGTAGTTCAAATGCCAAGAACTAAATAAAGGGTTTTCTTCATTGGTTTCCACAACAGTGACGTTGGGTTCAATGGGTTCTCCTTTGTTTCACCATAGCCAACTGTTGCTATATATGTGGATGGTCTGGGCACAGCTAACAGTGAGTTGCTTGCTCCTGTTGTTTATTGTAAATTAAATAAATTATTGAGGGTCAAATCAACGAAATCAGTGAATTTAAACATCCATTGAAAACCACGTAAGCAGCGGTTTACTAGTATTACAAGTTTATTACGTTGGAAGATTATATTAGTACTCCTTCTGTTAGTTCCATTAAGAATATTTTAAATTCAAAGGATCTGCAGTTCCTTTGTCGTCTTATACATATTTAGTTAGCTTGTTTTTATTTTTTAACCATCGGCTACCCGAAAATTTACTCCGGGCAGATTTGTAAGAGCAAAACACTCTCTCTTAAATTTTTAAAGAGACTTTTATAATTTAAATTCGAGATTTCTATTTAACAGAGAATGAACTTATGACATCCCATCTCATTGAACTTATTTTGTTAACATGCATGCATACATGTTTCTACCATTGCATTTGTTATTGTTACGATTATGGAAAGTTTCTTTCATGGTACAATTTGAAAAAAAAAAAAAAAAAAAAAAAAAAAAGTTTCTTTCAGGTACAATTTTGAAAAAAAAAAAAAAAAAAAAAAAAGGACTATTTTTTACCAACATTTCAATAAAAAAAAAAATCTAATTTTATGTTTGGCATTAATTATTTTCTCTTATTGAAAAAACTGTTTTCTATATAGGTACCCATTTGCTTTACAGTTGAATGACTTTTTATATATAATATAACACCATCCATTATCATTAAATGAAGAATTCCCATGTATTTATGAAAAAACAAGATGCAAACATTTGAAAAAAAAAAAAAAAAAAAAAAAGACTATTTTTACCAATTTCCAATAAAAAAATCTAATTTTTATGTTTGCATTAATTATTTCTCTTATGAAAATGTTATATAAGGTACCCATTTGCTTACAGTGAATTGACTTTTTTATTTATAAAAAAACACCATCCATTATCATTAAATGAAGAATTCCCATGTATTTATGAAAAACAAGATGCAAAATTTGTAAAGAAAATGACAGGCCAATGGAATTGGCTGACTGAATATACTTTGAAAGGTATGTCAACAATAATTATTGCATTGTCATCATTTCAATTCATAAATAAACTCGCTCCTAATGTGAATAATGTCTTGGACTGACCTAACAAACTTGGTGTGAACAAATGACTTCTTTTTTCTTTGCTTTTCTTATCTTTTTTTTTTTATTATTATTATGCAGCTCCTGCACGTTGAGTTCTTACCCTAAACGACAAAAATAAAATTACAAAAAAGGGGAATTATTTATTTATTTATTTATTTTTAGGGTTTGTAGTATTTGTTTGATGTCACTTAGATAAAGCATAGCAGAATTGTTTGAAAGTGGCTTGGAATGGTCCTTTCTCCAGGCCTCTCTCTTTCAATACAACTTGCATATCATACTCCAATGTTAAAGCTTTTGTAATTCCAAACTATTGGTCCTCTTGATAAAGAATTGACAACCCATAATTATCCTATCTAATTATAACTAAATGTGTTTAATATATATATAGTATAACTATCATATTTGATTTATTTGCAAAATAAAAATATAATTGAATTGTTTATTGTTGGACATAATTTTGTTTTCTTATTTAACATATATAATAAAGCTTTAAAATGCTTTTAATTATATAATGTAAAGAGTTGAAATATGCTTAATAAGTTTGTCCATTGGTTCGATCTAAAATTAGGTTTTTCAAGTATTTTTGTTTTTGAACTGGATAGAAACTGGAAATACTAGATTTGGTATCCTGAACCCCTGTGATCACCATTTCTACAAATTTTCCGTGAAAAAATAAAAAATAGGTAAAAATAGGTCATGGGATGGGAATCATGCCAAAAATAGAATTGGAAGGATTATTTTTTAGTTTTATAAATTTAACATAGTTGTTTACTAAAATTACCATCTTTAATATTTAAGCCAATTTAAGTATATATGAAACTAAATTTCCATCACTAATGATTCCAAGGATAATATTTAAATTTAAATTTATAATAATATATATTCAAGCAACTTAAATATTATTTTTAAATATAAATTTAAGATTCTACTAAATATTGTATTTAATTATTTGCAAAAATAACTTAAAAAATGAAACTAAGAAAGAGGAGGCCCCCAATTCCAAAGGTAGGCCCAAAATCTTTAAAAAAGTTGAAGCCCAAGATCAAGATTCTGCATGGTAACCTGCCAAAGCCCAATCAAACTGGGCTTCAGTTTCAACTTTGAAGACCAGCGATTCACGGGAATTTTATTAGCTAAACGAACAGGTAAATCTATCTGAAACGAAAGGTATATCTGTACAACACAGTTACACTGAACTCCGGTCTTTCATTTTTCAACGACATGTCGTTTTCCATAGATTAGAATAAAGAGAACTTGTCGACAAAGGAGGTCGCCAAAGATCGTACTTCACATTACATAACCTGTTGAAACTCTCTCAAATCTCTGCTGGACTGGTATAGCTATGGCGTCCATCTTCAGATCGAAACCGGTTATTCTCATACTTTTCATACAATTATGCCTTTCTCTCTTCGGTCCGGGCCTTGCGATTTCATCCAGGTACGTTTTCTTTTTAAAGGTGCGAAAATGCGATTGTTGAAATTAAAAGGAAAAGAAATTGCAAACTGAAGTTGGAAACTTCTTTAATGATAACTCAATGGGAAGATTTTTGTTACTAGCTAGTTCAGTTCGGTTTTACCTTCAACTTGCAGTAGGTTTGTCCTTGTCAACCATAATGGATCGAACTTTAGGGTTTTGAATTATTCAGTACTCGTTCATGTTCTAATTAAACGCTTATTTTACTTTTCCAGTTCTGTAGATGGTTACACCATTAATGGTAGAGTGAAGATTGCAGGTAAATTTTTTTTTTTTTTTTTTTTCTGTTTCTATGTATGGATGGATCTCTAAATATTGTAGAACGGAGTGTTAAAGCTTAAGAGAAACTTGAACAAAGAACTTTAAACAACTGGAATTCTTATTTGCTGAGGATTAAACGGTTCAGACTTGCTATATATAGCTTTACAATAAAGACAAAAACAAAACGTAAACAGCAAAACAAATAAATCCATAAGACTAGGACTCTCCTAAGGAATAGCACTTCCCTAAAGAATAGGTCTTTATTCAACAGAATCCAAAAACTAATCAACTCCTAACAACGTAAACAGCAAAACAAATAAATCCATAAGACTAGGACTCTCCTAAGGAATAGCACTTCCCTAAAGAATAGGTCTTTATTCAACAGAATCCAAAAACTAATCAACTCCTAACATACCCTCCCTTAAACTTATTCTTGGCTAAAAAGAATTAGTTTAAATCTGAAAAATCACAGACGCCAAGCTTCCTTCGTAATTTCTGGAAGGCTTCTAACTTGAGAGGCTTTGTAAACAGATCAGCAAGCTGATCGTGAGTGCCACAAAACAATAAGTTTACTGTTCCTTCTTTGGTAAGATCTCTGAGGAAATGAAACCTTACCGAGGAAATTGGAAACCTTTACCTTGATATGCTTTGAACGGCCCCATGTAATAAATCCATAAGACTAGGACTCTCCTAAGGAATAGCACTTCCCTAAAGAATAGGTCTTTATTCAACAGAATCCAAAAACTAATCAACTCCTAACATACCCTCCCTTAAACTTATGCTTGGCTAAAAAGAATTAGTTTAAATCTGAAAAATCACAGACGCCAAGCTTCCTTCGTAATTTCTGGAAGGCTTCCAACTTGAGAGGCTTTGTAAATAGATCAGCAAGCTGATCGTGAGTGCCACAAAACAATAAGTTTACTGTTCCTTCTTTGGTAAGATCTCTGAGGAAATGAAACCTTACCCTGATATGCTTTGAACACCTATGTAGAACCGGATTCTTTGACAGTTTTATGGTTGAAGTATTATCACACATAATTTTCGTTCCTTCCTTTTGTGAATGCCCAATCTCACTGAGTATTTGTCTCATCCAAATGGCTTGACATGCGCACGCAGCTGCAACTACGAACACTGCTTCTGTTGTCGACAAAGTGACTATGGGTTGTTTTTTAGATGACCAGGCTACTACTCTTCCATTCATCATAAACACGTAACCTGAAGTGCTTTTGCTGTCCTCCATGTCACCAACATAATCACTGTCAGTGAATCCAATTAATTTACCATCTCCGCCTCTTTTATAGAAAACCCCATAACCAGTTGTGCCTTTCAAGTACTGCAAAACCTTTTTTACTGCTGCAATGTGTAATTGCGTTTGACAAGCCATGAAACGGCTAATTAAACTCACCACAAACATTAAATCAGGTCGTGTGGCAGTAAGATACATCAGACTTCCCACAATCTGTTTGTACAAAGTCTCATCTGCTTTAGCATCTTCTTTAAGCACAACCGGAACTAAATGAACACAAAACTTCAGTTTTCTAGGAAGTCAATTCCCATTCCATATTCTAACACTTCTCTCACTACCAATCAGCCATCTAGATATTGGGTTTCAATATCAATAATACGCAGCGGAATAATATAATTATAACGAAATAATTATACTAACAGGAATCTGTTTATACGATTAAAGCAATAAAAATTATTCAGAAGAATACCTCTTTTGCAGATTCTTTGAAACTTTGATATACGCGGTTAGGTTGTTGCAAACCATAAGCTGTCTAAGTGTCCGGCCTCTGGTAGTATCAACACGAATGGACAATCTAAAAACTCTAAAACTATTTTAGAGGAGTTGAGATATTAGAGTGTATGATGATGCTAGCTATCCTATGCTCTATGTTTAGTTTTGTGGCTATTAGTAACAATTATCGTCTTTAAACTATCTCTTAAACCTTATATATGAAAATCTTAGGTCAATAAATAAATTATAATTATTTATTTAAACTTTTAAATAAATAAATTATAACTAAAATATATATGTGCCTATTTGTTTGCTCTACTTCCTTTCATTGTATAGCTCTTTCGGGTGCTCTAATTTCATATGACAGATCTTCTTTCAGATTCCCCATGCAATTGAGAGGCTGATTTAACATCCAATTGATGAAGCTCACACATTGTTGAAGCCGCAAGGTGCTATAGATTCGATTCACCTATACATGTGTCCATTCTCTAGCTACAGGACAAAGACCTCCGTGTAATCAACCCCATGTTTCTGAGTATAAGCCTTTACGACTAAAACCTTCGCTTTGTGTTTGTCTACCTCACCAAGCTCATTTAATTTTGTTTTGTAGATCCATTGTTACTCCTATTTCATCTTTGCACCAGCTGTAGGTTAGAACTACGTAATGGTCCAGTTGAATCTGGGTTCTTTTACGATAGACGTCTGATCTCCTCATCCATAGCCATTCATACATTATTGAGCATTCTATTTACACATCCTCATAGCTTACTGGAAATCTGAACACTATTAAAAAGGGTAGGTCAAAATTTATATCATCTCCATGTTGACTACTTATTTTCGGGAATAAATCCTTCACTTTCGTCAACATAGTCTGTGTTGACCATATGGGTGGTCGTCTTGTTCTGCCCTCGCCTATGAAACCAAATTCGGTATTCATCAATTTGTTCAGCATTGGATTAATTGATGTTGTGGAACAACAAGTTTCAGCAGAAGGTTCTGCAAGTTTCAGTGCTTGTTTCTGCAGTTTCAGTGCTTGTTTGTACTTCCTTTTTTTTTGAATCTCTATGCTCTCTTCACCAAATTAATTCTAGCTTCATCGTCACAAATTGTTCCCAATCCCATTTTCCTATCTTCCTCAAACACCAACATCAACGGCTCACGATGATTTTCTTTTCAACTGGATTGCAATAATGCTGTAACCTTTGGATTCAACTGCTGCTCGAATAATACACAACCATGCTTTGTCTTCCAGCTTTGTCCGTTTAGCATCTGGAATATGAACATGAACTGTTACATCCGAAAACTCGGAAATAATCTAGTGGGCTGGTTTAACTTCACTCCATGCTTCTTCAGGTGTCCATGCCATTTTACCGCTAGTGATGGAGAGGCGATTTAAGACATGATTGCCCACAATAACAGGCTTCAGGCAGAATTTTTTGGGCACGCCTTTTTTCAGTCCAACATAGCTCGAACCAGGTTCATTACAGTTCGACTCTTTTACGTTCTGCCAGACCCGTGTTTGTTTGCGGCGTGTAAGCAGTGGTCAGTTGTCTCTTAACTCCATGATTTTTGCAGAAGTCATTGAATTCAACAGAGTATAACTCTCCTCCTCGTATCGGCTTCTTAGGCAGAACTTTCCATTTTAATTGGCATCAGTTCGTCTGTCTCCACGAGAATTCTTGAAACACTGAAAGATTAAATGTTTTCTGACTCTTCTACCAGAAAATATATCCAGGGCTTTTCTAGAAAAATCAAATCTATGAAGCATAATAATACCTTTTTCCACTGCTCGGAAGATGGTGTAATCGGGACGCACATAAATCTGCATGAACAAAGACCCAATTTTTTCGGGATGCTCTCCAGGACCATCTTTGGGAATGACGTTCGTGTTGTTTCCCCTTTCATACAATGCCTCCAGGTGACACTTTGTTTCCTCAATTCGTGGCAATACCTTCGCCACCCATGTTTTTGTGCTTCAAAGGTAACGAAGGCCTTTATAACTGAGATGGCCCATAACGTTGAGCCAAAGTGTTGACTGATTCTGTATTTGAAACTTGGTAAACATTTACTCACACTTGTTTTTGCATGTTTTCTGCATAGAAGCATGAACTCCGATTACGCATACATAATGGATTCCTGCGATTTTTCACCTTTCATTGTGGAGGATAGACAGCACTACATAGACTCTATGTCTCGAAAGCAGCACCGGCGCACCTCTTCTAATTTTTAATTTGAAGCTGTCCTGGAATTCACTAAGCTTTAAAGCATTTGGTTCCTTAGAGTTACTGGCGCCAAAAAAATCTTTCCCAACAGTGTATACAGGTGTCTGGGAATTAAATCTTTCACAGTCCAATTCCCAGAAACTTTCAATTCTTGGGATTGGTGTGGTTAGTCCAAGTTCATGACACAATGTGTGAACGTTGTGTCTATTGGTAAAAATCTTATACTGTGGTTTTATCACCACCATGGCATTAGGAGCAACCAGAATCCCACGGAACCATCGTACACTTCTTTTATGCTTTATGTGTGGCCTCAACAAGGCCATTAGTAACATCTCATCTTCTTCATCGAGCTCTGTATAGTTAGCTTCATTTTTCTTAGGACATTCATACTGAAAATGCCCTAAATCATGACATCTGTAGCACTCAACAGTAGCCTTGTCAAAATTGGTTCTACCTCTTCCACGCCCCCTTCCTCTGTAACCTCCTCTTCCTCGATTGCTTGTGCTCGATCGACCTTCTATTTTCAACACCTGGTCTTCATTACTGTTACTGGGTCGACGAAATTTCTGTTCATGTACCACTAATGAGCTCTGCAACTCATCAATGGACATTGTGTCTGTATCCTTGGATTCTTCGATGGATACAACAACATAAGTGAACTTCTCTGTCAGGGTGCGTAGAATTTTCTCTACAATCTTCTTGTCTGGCATCTCTTCTCATTTTATTTGCAACTAACATCACCCGAGCAAAATATTCTGTAATCGTTTCATCATTTCGCATTTCCAGGATCTCAAATTCTCTTCTTAAGGCATTGAGAAGAGATTTCTTCACCTTCTGATTTCCTCCAAACTTCCGTTTCAGTGAGTCCCAAACAATCTTAGATGTACGACGGTCTAAGATTTGTTCGAAAACAGTTCGATCAATAGCCTGGAACAGGTAATGTTTTACCTGATAGTCCTTGGTCTTTGCATCATCCAGCTCTGCCTGTTGAGCCTCAGTTAATTTCGTCCCTTCTGTTGGTTCCGTGAAGCCTTGCTCCACCAAATTCCACAAACCTTTTGCTCTAAGCAAATTTTCCATCAACTCACTCCAATGATCATAGTGACCGTCAAAGTGAGGGAGCTTTGTTAAAGTTTTGTCATCTGCCATTCTCTCAGTGTTTGACAAACGTTGAAGATTGCAACTTCTCGTTTCAGAAACCCAGTGGGGGCTCTGATACCAAAACGGTTGAAGATTGCAACTCTCCTCGTTTCAAGATAACACACCACGGTGGGGAGAGCTCTGATACGCAATTGTTTAAAGCTTAAGAGAAACTTGAACAAAGAACTTTAACGAACTGGAATTCTTATTTGCTGAGGATTCAACGGTTCCAGACTTGCTATATATAGCTTAAGAACTTTAAACAACTGGAATTCTTATTTGCTGAGGATTAAACGGTTCAGACTTGCTATATATAGCTTTACAATAAAGACAAAAACAAAACGTAAACAGCAAAACAAATAAATCCATAAGACTAGGACTCTCCTAAGGAATAGCACTTCCCTAAAGAATAGGTCTTTATTCAACAGAATCCAAAAACTAATCAACTCCTAACACGGAGAGGATGAGCTTGATCCATATAGCCTGTCCCATTAGATTGGGATGAAGAGTTAGTTGAGATAAAGAATACTAATGCTTTATTTTTATGGCATTTTCATAGTGGCAAAAGTTGATTTTTAATAAAAGAAGAGTACACGAATAAAGAAAAAAATAATATTGTTTCTAGATATCTCAATTGCTCAAATTCGAAGCAATTCTCTCTTTTCGACGAATGCACTAAAGAGCCACCTCAAATTCAGAGGAGGTACCCCTTCTCCCGAAGTTTCGGGGCTATTTTTCTGAGTTCCTTTGAGAGAGCTGTCTCGCACCCCTTGGTATTTTGAGGCAGAAGACCTCGAAAAAGGAAAAAATCGTGGTTGGGATGCTTATAGTAGCAAAAGCAATTGGGATTATTATTTTATACACTGGAAGAATCTGATTTTCAATGTGACTAGATAATGCATCACTGATCGAGAAAAAGATTCTTTCTTTTCTATAATTATAAGTTCAATTAGAATTTGACAATGTTTTTCTTTTCTTTTTGATAAGCCATAATTTGGCTGAATCTTAGATTTATTACATTAAAATGGTATCTGCAAATGCTCAGAATTTGACCTCTCATTCATGCAAAAAGAATTGATTCTTAATAACATTGTTAGTCCATTCCTGTTGCCTTGCAATTTAATCAAAATGAAAAATTGGTGGAAGAGAGTATATTAGGCAGAAAAAGAAATTTGGTGCTGATAGATGAAAATGGTTACGCTTATTATACAAAGGAAAGCCCAGCCCTTGTCTGCTAGGTGTATATGGTAAAATAATCTATACACAGTCTCCGTGGTCAAATTAGCTTTTGTGACTAATGGTTCATTTGAAACTGTCCCATTATTTTTTCAACCAATGCTGCCTGAAATCTGATGCATGTATTGAAACCTTGATGGAGTGAATGATTAGGCAATCATTTTGAAGACTAATAAAAAAAAGTTTGATTTTTGGATTACTTTGCCACACATACATGAAAATTTTGGTTGCGCTCCATCTTGCTGTTTATTTCTCTGATTTGCACCTTCTTAGTTCAGCATTATTGATGTTATTCAGCAGGTCTGGGTGCAAAAGGATTTGGTCTTCCTGGAAAACTATCCAATGTCAAAGTTATTCTCAATGGTGGCCAAAGCATCACTTTTCTGAGGCCTGATGGATATTTTTCATTGTATCCTACTTTTTTTCTCCATGGTTCTTTTTATTCTAGCCATTCTGAGGAATTTCTCCCAGGCGTTCTTTTCACTTGTTGCTGAGTATAATCTATATTATTTTATTATTAAGGGAATGCTATTAAACACGTTTTGGGAGATATCATGATTCCTTGACTTGTGTACTAAAAGCTATAACGTGCCAGCAGGGACTCATTTAATTGAAGTTGCTGCAGTAGGCTATTTCTTTTCTCCAGTACGGTTTTCAATCTCAAAAATGATGTTAACATTGGATGACTGTGTTTTTAGATTTCTTTTTATTGAATTTCTTCAAAAATGTTTAGGTCCGAGTTGATGTTAGTGCCAGATTCCCTGGCAAGGTTCAGGCAGCATTGACAGAGAACAGAAGGGGTCTGAGCGAGTTGGTATTAGAACCAATCAGAGATGAACAATACTATGAGGTTGAGCATCCTTCTTATATTTATCATTGTAGTTGATTTGTTTATCAATTATTGTCTATTTTCTCATATCTCGTTTTGTTACAGATTAGGGAACCATTCTCTATAATGTCTGTTGTCAAGAGTCCAATGGGTCTTATGGTGGGATTTATGCTGGTGGTTGTGTTCTTGATGCCCAAATTAATGGAGAACATGGGTAAGTTTTCATATTTGATATGAAATTGCTGTGTTTCTGTCTTGATGTCTTGCAATTGCAATAGAGTTAAATGTGCAAACCAGCTGATTTGGCTAACGATGCATTATTTTTATGATCAAATGTTTTCACTCATGATAATGGTTTCCAGAATGTCATGAGTGATCATCTTGTTATTGTGTCAGGATTCCAGATTTTGATCAAAATATAAATGCTGTTCTCTTTCACATGCATTGACCTCTATCCTTGAATGTTGCATTGACTTGCTAGTTCTGCACTTGAGTGAATTAGCTTTTAGTAGAGTTCTAGCCATAATTAATATGTTGGTTATCTCTCCTCTATGTTTCTCTATTGTAATAGATCCTGAGGAAATGAGGAGAGCACAAGAAGAAATGAGGCAACAAGGGGTTCCCTCCCTCGCAAGCTTATTGCCGGGAGCACAAAGATGAACCTTGTCAATTGTTAGAGGCGAGCTGGAAAATTCTGCAGCATTGTGTTGAAAGGCTTTGTTAGAGTCGAGCAGAATGTTCAAGCATATTGTCAATTGTTAACGATGTCCATGGCCAAAATTTCATGGAGACTTAAACTAATTATATTGGTTTCAGTTTTTGAAGATTTCGTTCCATTTTTGTATTCCTGGTATCATCGTCTTTTTCACTTGATTGAAGAGCGTACAAAATAGGAATTCACATGCAATACTTCTAGTGAAGTATTTGAATTAATGTAATTAGTTAAATAGGGGCAGAATGCATAAGTTTATCCCTATACTTTCAATGAAAACCCTGTAGTTGAACTTTTACTTGATCTTGTTTACATTTACAAATTTAACCCTAACAAAATTGGAGGGATGAAAGAACAATTAATTTAGAGGGAAAAAATCAATGAGAGGGTTATTTTATTTTTCAATTCAATGCACATGTAATGTCAATGGCAAGCTAAGATTTTAAGGATCACTGTGAACATAAATTGAACATATTCTCTAAATTATATCTATTCAGTTTGTTTTGGCAAACCAAAATGGTCCGTAACTCACATTAAAATTTCTTACAATGAACTATTTTGAATTCTTATGTATGCTATGAATTTTTTAATGTCTAATTTTTTACTCCATTTCAGTAGAAAGACCATTATAGTCGATGCACCCTGACTTGATTCAGTGACATGTCAGTGACGATGGCAAATCAATTTTAAAAAATGGATTCAATTGACTCCTCTTTTTTTCAAAATTTTCTTTAAATACATATACATTTTTCTAAATTGATCCTCTTAAATTTGAGGTTGAACCATTTTTATTATATTTTATTATATATCACTTTAGAAGATTTTTTTTACTGGATGGTGATACCAAATCCATTGGTCAAAGTTAAGCTTAAAATGTTTCATACGTTTCATATGTTTTCACCACCTTTATGAAAATATTGTACTCTACTTATTATTAACACAAGCGTGTGTTCTGTTAATTTTATATTGAGTACAGACAATTAGACATGTTCTTGATCCTTGTAATCCTTCAGTTACCAAATTCATTTCGCAACGCAAAATTGTAAATTGTATATTAATTGACCTGAGTGAACCTTGGATTCTTTCCAAGTCATTCTTTATCTTAGTTTGCTTGATCGAATGATGAATGTAGTTTTAGCATTTTATTTGTTTTCTTTCTTGCCGGTTTGGTAGACTTGTCAATTGGTTAAGTGATCCTCGCTGAACATGATGACTTGTCAATGGATCCTTGCATTTATAAAGACCCAAATGCACCAGTAGAAGCTCGTGTCAAAGACCTTCTTTCAAGAATGACTTTGTAAGAGAAGATTGCCCAGATGACTCAGACAGATCAAGATGTTGCCTCTCCTTACTACCTCAAAGACCTCGCCATTGGTACCTCTCTCTTCACTTTTAGTTAGTGAGAAGATAATAATTAATAATTGCTTATTGGGTTTTTTGAAATGAAAGAAAGAAATAAAGGAATTAAATGATTTTTCTGAATTTTTTGTTCTTTCAAGAATTTTATCATACATTTGACGGACTATTATTTGGCAGGGAGTGTTCTCAGCCTTTTAGGCAGTGGACCTTTTGGGAATGCTTCATCGTCTGATGTGGCGGATATAGTTGATGGGTTTCAGAAGCTAGCACTTGATTCACGGTTAGGTATACCAATTATGTATGGGATTGATGCAGTTCATGGCAATAGTGGTGTCTATGGTACCACTGTATTCCCTCACAATGTTGGCCTTGGAGCTACTAGGTGAGTTCTTTAATGCATTGTTTTTGATTAATTTAGAATAGTAGCATTCTCGTACGTTTTTCTGTTAAATTTAAAGAATTCAAAATATGGATTAATGCTTTGATTTTGGCTTCTGAACTCTAATTGTCATAGGGATGCGGATTTAGTACGAAGGATTGGCATTGCAACAGCTCTTGAAGTTAGGGCAAGTGGCATTCATTATACTTTTGCTCCCTGCGTGGCTGTAAGTTGTTGCCTTATTGTTGGTTATTGTTAGATAATAACATGCATTACCCAACGTGTGGTTTGGAGTAAGTGATAGTGTTTGGGAACTGAGAATCTGAGAGAAAGAGAAGGAAAAGTGAGAATAGAAAGAGATCGATAGGGAAGGGAGAGATAAGAGTATGAGAGGGGGAAATACCTGACCAATTATATCTTTATAATTGGATTCTACATCTACAATTACAAACCAGGCCCAGTATCGTTGAGTACAAAAATACACAGAAAGCCCAAATACGTCTGAAGTTGAACCCAAATTCATAAACAGTATCAGAACTCAATATTCACAATTAGATTGCAATCATATAATGCCTAAAATTATTCTTTTTTATTTATTTATTTTTTTTTGAAAGCCTAAAGAGAGACTTTATTCAAATAAAATAATGCGAATGCAAGATAGATGGACCATGTCCAAACTACAAGACTTGCACATTGGTAGGATACTCTTGTTAAACAATGAGTCCCCATGTTAACATGTTTATTAATCCAACGAGCTAAGATGTCATTATGACAACTAAGAAAAAATTTACAATCCTCAACCACTACACCAAATTCAGAATAATCCACTGAATTGGAATACAAAGCATAAAAAAGAGACTGACAGTCACTATAAATACAACCCGAACCTGTCATATTACTAACAGCCATTGAAAGGTAGCTTGCAAGGCCAAAACTTCAATCAATTTTGCCTCACCATACGCCAAGAAACTGCTGGAAATTGTCTTATAAAGCACACCCCCCTGACACTCACAAATAGCTCCAAATCCCGACATTCGTTGTAGTTCTTTAGTTTTAAGTTCATATTAATAACATTTTTCATTTTAAGTTCTGTACTTTTGGCAGGAGATGCACTGGCTAAATTGTTGAAGCCTTCTCAGACTGACATAATGATATGCTTCTTGGGAGGGGTAGCAATACTCACTTCTGTATGGTTCAGTTACTATTTATAATTAAACGAATTTTTTCTTACGTCCAAAATAGTTATTTGGTTCAGAATAAATGCATTCAAACCAAGAGGAGTCGGTTTAATTTGGTTTTTGAGTTTCGGATTTGGTTACTTATAAAAATGCATCTGGTGGTTAGAGAAATTGAACTGGTTCGATTTGGTTCGGCTCGGTTAATCAAATGCTTGCCCCTACAGTCCTTAGTTTGGTCGGGATTGAAGTCCTTTCTGCAGGAAAAGTTATTACCAATTTGGTTATGTTATTTAAATATACTACAAAACTATGCTGCTTTACTAAAGTTAGCAACTCAGAAAATTACAGAAAATAAAAATTGGAAAAGAAATAAAGCAATAGCTCCTTCTGCTCTATCATCACAAGAAAAAAAAAAAAATACACTGTTGTACTACATGGTTGGTGTAAGATTGTAAGTTTTAGAAACCACTTGCTCTTTATCTAGGGTAAGATGCAATGTTCAGAAAAGCTTCATCATAATGATCCAAATCTCTAACTGCAATCTCTAAATCCAACAATGATGGTGTTGGTAGATAGGATGTTGTCTATGGGTCTTTCCTTTCATTACTGTTAATGTATGGGTTTGAGATTCCTTTAATGGTTGCATCAGTTTTGGATCTTGTATTTTAAAATTGATTTGATCAGGTTTACTTGTGTACCCCAACTTTCTATGGAGTGGAATGAATTATCTGTGTTCAAAAAACAAAAAAAAAAAAAAGATCCAAAAAATGTTATAGTAAACCAGATATGAAGTTCATATAAAATAATTTAAATAATTTAAACAGGATTATTTGTGACAAATAGTGGATTATTTCTTCCTTTTTTTTTTTTTCCTCTTTCCGGCTAGTGTTGACAAGTAATGCTATATTCTTCATATTCCTTCTTCATTGAATTGAAATTATAATTTTCTGTATAATTTATCTTAATGGTTGCTGCCAGGTATGCAGAGATCCCCGATGGGGAAGGTGTTACGAGAGTTACAGTGAAGACACCAATTTAGTTAGGCAGATGACTTCGATTGTTTCAGGCTTGCAGGGACAGCCACCTGAAGGACACCCAAATGGCTATCCTTTTGTGGCAGGAAGGTCAAGAAATTAACATCAATATGATTCTTTCCTTGTCAATCACGAAAGGCAACCCTAGTGGGCCAGAACCATAACACCATTGTTGATTGTTCTCATTGGTTATTTGATTCCAGAAACAATGTCATTGCCTGTGCTAAGCATTTTGTTGGAGATGGGGGAACAGACAGAGGCATAAATGAGGGGAATACTATACTTTCATATGAAGATCTAGAGAGGATCCACATGACACCCTATCTTGACTGTATTTCACAGGGTGTTTCCACTATTATGGCGTCCTATTCTTGTTGGAATGGGCATAAATTGCATGGCAACCGTTTTCTTTTGACAGAAGTTTTAAAAAATAAGTTAGGGTTTCAGGTAAAGAACATTGATGTCTAACTTGCAATATCATTTGAGCATTTAACTAAAACAATGATGTGGAAATTCAGTTTCCTATTGGCTTCTCTACTAATCTCCAATTTTTCTTTCTGATAATCAGTGAAATACAAATTCTCCTGACATTAAATTGACACCCTTGATAATACCTTCGGGGTCTTTTTGTTCTCTAAAGAGAGGAGATTACTGGAATCCTGAAATATAGCACTCATCCGATATTTTCAAATTTTCAAATTTTTGTTTGTTTATGGAACTAAAAAGTGATGAACATCTTGATATGTTTTATGGAAATTTGTTATGGCAGGGTATTGTGATCTCTGACTGGGCAGGAATAGATGAACTTAGCCAACCTTATGGCTCAAACTACCGTTACTGCGTCTCTTCCGCTGTTAATGCTGGAATTGACATGGTAGAGACTAAACCTTAATTCAAATATCTCTAGAATAAATATCACTTTCCTTGTTTATGGCGTCAGTTTCTGCAGGTGATGGTGGGCCATAAACACGAACAATTTGTGGAAGATCTGATGTTTCTGGCAGAATCAAGGGAGGTACCAATGGCCAGAATCGATGATGCTGTTGGACGAATACTGAGAGTAAAGTTTGTTGCTGGTCTTTTTGAATATCCCTTTGCTGACAGATCTTTACTTGGTATGGTTGGTTGCAAGGTGAATTTTCACACTCTCACACAATTGTCTATTTTATCCCTTTCACTTGATTGGGCAACTGCATCATTAGAAAATACATGCTTCGTCCACTTCTCATCAGCATGCATTAGTTGTATCACATTTTTTATTTCTATTGGATTTTATAATACAAGTCAAAAATAGAATTTAGATATCTGAAAGTTGTTAATATATGCACTGAAATCAACAACTTATACAGTGCCAGATGGTGAATCATGTGTCACCAACTTTAGCAGTCTGATTTCTGCTTGATGTCATATCCAAGCCCTTGATTCAGACCAGGAACAATAAAATCAAAATTCAGTGTTATTTTATGGCATGAACCATTCACTACAGACAAAAGAAGAAAACATCAGGCATGAAGAGAGAATGTAAAGGGGATAGGTGTTGCCAATTGGAATAGGACAAGAAAGAATTGTGGTGTCGCCAATTCCTGGTCCAGCCCGTTAGACAGGATTCTTACCTCTTTTCTTTCTCTATTTCTTCAGCTGAGATGGCTACGACTTTCCATAAATCTTTCACTAATCCCCTCTACATCAAAAACAGGTGAAGCCAACCCCTGGGTAAATACCTGTATTTGATACTTGTAAATAGGAAGAGGGAGATACTAATCTGAGAACTAGAAACTGTTATAAAAATTTTCATTTTTATTGCTATGCCATTTTTCACTTGATTTTAACTCAAGCATCATTTTTAGTTGTACATCATCGAATTGATTTGTTGCTGGTGATTCCTTTTAAACTCAGTGACCTTTTGACAGATGCATAGAGAATTAGCACGTGAAGCAGTGCAGAAGTCTTTGGTTCTCCTGAAAAATGGGAAGGATCTGAAGAAACCTTTTCTTCCATTAGATAGAAATGCTAAAAAGATTCTTGTTACTGGAACACATGCAGATGATCTTGGATATCAGTGTGGTGGCTGGACTATAACTTGCAAGGGATTAAGCGGCAAGAGTACTACTGGTATGCAGTTTGCTTGATCGCCAACTATTAAATATAATTATGTTGGTGTGTGTGTGTGTGTGTGCAAGTATTTCTATTTTCATTGATGATGTTCCTTGGTAGGAGTTTCTCTCACTGGTTGGTATTATTTTCATTTTCCTATATGTCAACATTGCTTTTCTCCTTTTGCTTCATGCTTTATTACCTCCTTCCCAAGGATGAATTCCATTGATAAATTGCATATACAGACTCTATGCGTGCTCGATGTATACCTTGGTTCTTACTGCTGAGTGCATGACTGCATGTTTTCATCTCCAATGTCTTTCCATATTGAAGTCAGTTTCCAACTTTTATGGAGATAACAAATATATAATTGAAGTTAATTTTGCCAAGCTTGATAATATATTTATGGGTTTACTTTGTTAACTAGTAATATGTGATTCCGTCCCTAGCATTCCTCTTTCTCCTTGTGTGCATGTGAGAATAGGTGTACAGCGATATGTGCCTTTACTTATTTTTTGTTGTCTGAATAATCGGGTAAAGTGTAGCATTCTGGTCAGAGCCCTTCCTGAAAAGAAATAAAGTAAATGTCATTATAAATATAGAAATTAGATATTGTGTTTCCATGAAAAACCTTCTTACAGTTTCTTTTGATTGTAGTTTGGACATTTTATTCAGGGTTTAGTGGCTGGGTACACAAAGACAGTTTTCCTATACTTAAACACCCCATTAATGATTTGGTTGGATCCTAGATCCTTACATTTAGCATAGTGAGATTTCTCCATCCAACTTAATCGGCATCCTTCTGATTTTGTGACTCCATGGCTATTAGCCAAAATTGACATTTTTCTCATTTATATTCTCTAGTGCCTAATTCTGCTGATAAATATGAACATCTCATTTATGAATTCATTTGCATTTTAGGTATGACAATCTTGGATGCTATTAAAAGGGCAGTGGGAGAGACAACAGAAATTATATATGAGAAATATCCATCACAAGAAACCTTAGCAAGCCAGGATTTTTCATATGCCATTGTAGCTGTTGGTGAAGGTCCATATGCAGAATGCACTGGTGATAATTCAGAGCTTGTGATCCCCTTGAATGGAGCTGATGTGATTAGTTCAGTAGCTGATAGAATCCCCACCTTGGCAATTTTGATATCTGGGAGACCTCTAGTTTTAGAGGCATGGGTCTTAGAGAAGATAGATGCTTTTGTTGCTGCTTGGTTGCCCGGAACTGAAGGAGCAGGAATCACAGATGTTATATTTGGAGACTACAAATTTACCGGTCGACTACCGGTGACATGGTTTAAGAAGGCTGAGCAGCTCCCTATGCATACTATGAATAGTGGAGATGATTTGTATGATCCTGTATTTCCCTTTGGCTTTGGCTTGACATACAGCGGAGAGAAATCCTTGGACTAATTTATTTGAAGAAAAAGGGTAGCTGAAGGTCCAAGTTTCCTTATTTTATTATGGTTGTAAATAGGTTGTCCATGCATAAGTTCCTACCTTAACACAGTGTTTTCGTTCATCATCAGTGGCAGATCTATGTTATGGAGAGGGGTCAATTGAGTGTGAAGTTTGTAGGCAAACACATTTGTAGGCGTATCATCAATGGCGGATCTATGTTATAAAAATGGGGTCAATTGAGCATGAAGTCTACAAACAAATACATTTGTGTGCGATCCGAGCTCTGGTACCATATTATAAAATAGATAGGGCCTAACTCACTCTTCAAAAACTAGCCCAAGGGAAGAAAATTGCTCATGTTTTATATTTTGAATAATGACCTTATCCCGAACCGAACCAATGTGTAACAATAACTATGTCAACTGTGTAAAGGGCAGTGCCTGTTTCTTTTTCAAGGTAAACCGTGGTTAATTGAAAAGGGATAATCAACGTGGTAGTTGTGTAAGGATTTCAAGCTGGCAATAATCAGTTGGTGTATGTGAGATGTGTAAGTAGATGCATAGGATCAGAAGACACAGAATAGTAGGATATAAGCACAGGCAAATCAAGAGCCTAACTTGACTTGTCGATCTTATGTTCTTAAAAACCAGCAATGAACTCAAATATTCATTTAATCTTATAATTAATACTTAAAATCTTCGCTCAGCATTTATGAATAGGAGTCGCATTTACATCTTCAGTTAGGATAGGAAACATCCTATAAATATTTGTATGACATCCATTAGAGGACACATTTTCAATCTCCAACAATATCTAGTATTCTTTCATCTTTATTTCTATCAATAATCATTTGCATTTGGAGAATTCAATTAACTGTAGGTGACTTGAAGTACATTGAAGTCATCTAAATTTACAAAATACATTATTTTTTCCAAGATTGTGATAATTTTTACGGAATTTTGACAAAATTACTTTTTTTTTTTAAATTAGTAATTTTTTTTATATTTTACAAAACAGTGATTTCATTTACAGAATTTTAATAAAAGTACATTTTATTTTATAATTCGTCGCTAGATTATAATCTTTGCAAAAAAAATCACTTTTTTACAAAATAATACTCTTTTTGTCCTGTATTGTTTGTATGATTTGATAAAATACACATATTAAAAATTTAGTTAACAAAAGTTATATTGCTTTTTTTTCCCTTTAAATTATTAAGATATTAATAAAAATTTTTCATTTAATGAACAATAATAAATGATTATTATAAGAAAAATAGTTATTTAAATATCTAAATTTAAAGACCTTACAAACCTTTTGGCACATTAAAAAAAGAAATAATAAGCAGACAAAATGAGATTTTTTAGAGAATCTTGATAAAAATACAATTTATTTTTTACTTCATTGCTAAATCATTAATTTTTACAAAAAAAAAGACCACCTTTCTACAAAATAGTGATGTCTTTTTAAAATTTTTTGATAAAAGCACATTTTATTTTATTTTGTAATTGACTTACCTTTTACAATGGATCTCAATCGCTATATCATTAATTTAAAAAAGACTAATTCTATAAAATAATGATGTTTTTTTTGTACGCTATTTTAATAAAAATACATTTTATTTTGTACTAACTTATCTTTTACAACTGTCATTGCTAAATCATTAATTTTTTTTAAAAAAAACCCACTTTTTATAAAAGAATGATGTGATAAGATGAGATTGGAGGAATCCATTTTCTATTAACTAGAGTACTCGAGTTTGAATTTTAGTTATGAAATTTTTTTAAACACTTGAATCGAGCGATTTGTCCCATCTTTTGTCGGCCTATCCGGTGCGAATCGGGAATAATAAGACAAGTGAAAAGAAGAAGAGAGAAAAGAAAATCGAACTAGAAACTCTTGTAAAATTAAAGAAACAGAGAGCTCCGACTCTACCTCCAAGAAAAAACGAGAACTGACGTTAGTGCTTTTTGGAGGCAAATCTCAAAGCCAACGCAACACCCAGAAGGAGCGGAAGTAACAGAAGTACGAAGAGCTTCACAGCCAAACTATTGTATTTTGGTTCTCGAGCTGTAATACGTATTGTATTTGGAGGACGGTTCTTCTTCTTCCTTCCCCAAGCTGGAACGCTCTTCTCATCAATATCTCCGATGTAATACTTCTTCATCACTTCTTTTGCATCTTGGCTGTGTCCAACATTTTCATAATCACCCGTCGCGTCTTTCTCTGCAATATTTACTTTTATCTCAATTTTATTATCCAAAGGAATTCTCTTTTTCAAAATGGGATGTTAATCCTACCTGTTGCTGCTAATAACACTTCGTCTCCTCCTGGGTGCTCTTCCAGAAAATTGGTTACATCGTAAACCCGACTGTACAGTTTTTTAATTGAGTATTAATATTAAAACATAGCTAATCAATCTTAATTAGCAAAGATGAAATCAAATCGACAGACCTTGCCATGGATTAGAAGCCAGCCACTCATGTCTATCCTTGTGCTTTACAACGTCATCAAATGATGGATTTTCGGGTTTGAAGCCATTTCTCTGCTGTTATTTGATCAAATACTAATCATTCAAAATAACAAATTAATAAAAAAAAAAAAAAAAAAAAAAAAAAGAGAAAGAACAAATAAAATGATGAAGAAGAAAGAGTCTTACATCTAAAAGAAAGCAAGAGATGGAGAGAGAGACAGAGGCGAAGTCTTTGAGCACAGAGTTTGGTTTAGCTAATAAAATCTCAGTAGGGATGTTCATTGTTCATAAACCGCATCAAACCATTCAAATTGAATCAAACTAATCTAAATCAAAATCCATGTTTTAAGAGTTGATAGTTTGGTTTGATTTCAAAATTTTAAAAATCGACAACATTAGTTTGGTTATGTTTTTGAGTGTTAAAACCGTCAAATCCAATCATATCAAATTGAAAATGTAAACATTAATAAATAATTAAATAAATAATGTTACTTTTCTTGTTATATCATATGGGATCAATTTGCCTAAACCAGATCCATAACTTCATCCATTTATCAAATTAATCAAAACATAATTTTTTTTCAAACGGTGATATTTCTAACCATGTATTGAAAGAAAAAAAAAAAAAAAAAAAAAAAAAAAAAAAAAAAACTAGTAACAAGAAGCTGAAAAAAAAAAAAAAAAAAAAAAACTAGTAACAAGAGCATGTGCTCTATTTCTTTATGTTCCTGATCCTTGCAATTCTTGATCAATTGCGTAATTTTAAAATTTCATATTCATTGACTTGATTAAACCTAAGTTGCTTTTAAAGTCAATCATTACGCCGTTGTAAGTCTTTTGTTGTATTAAATCTATAATTTTAACTGTTTTATCATACTAAACCTGTTAGATATATATTAACACATCATACAAATAATCGTATGAGTGCAAATTGAACATATTTTTAAACTATATTTATCTAATTTATTTTCGTAAACTAAAATAATGTATTACCCATTTTAAAATTTCTTATATTTATCATCTGAACTCTTTGAATTCTTATGAATATTATGAAAATTTCAAATATGTCTAACTTTTTACAACAATGAAAAGGCCCATTTGGTCGATGTAGAATACTTTCTTTATCATGACAGCCTTATATTTGAAAAGGATAATCTTATCAAATTTTATAACAACATAATATTTGAATCCTCTTGACCACAAAAGTGTTTATTAATTTGACGAATCAAACGGAGAATTATCTCATATTGTATAACCTATACTATTATCTTATCACTTGAAATAAAAAACTTCAAAAAAAAAAAAAAATTCAAGTATCTATTTTATTTTCTTTATTTTCAGGTAGATTTCTTGAGTGTTGGTGCATTCTTCTTTTAGTTTTATGTTTTGATTAACCTCTATAGATAAGATTTACGTGCATCCGTATATGAGTCTAGCCATATACCAAATTAATTAAAAACGGTCTTTTTTTTTATTTGAAATGAAAGTATTTCTGACCATTCATTGAAAAAAAAAAAACAATTTTTAAAAATATTTTTCATATACACCATCACAGATTATAAATTACTTTAGGAGCCCATTAGTGGCAGCCAACATGTGTTCTGATCCTTGGATCGTTTATTATCCCAACGGCAAGTGATGGGTGGAATTTTTCAATTTAAAATCTATCCTAATTTTTTGTTTTTTCCAGGATCTATTCAAAATCTGAAGACCGCCATTGTTTGATTCTTGAATACAAAATTCAGGGCCCAAAGCCAAAATTTTAAATTGTATACTAGTTGACCTGACTAAACCTTAGATGCTTTTCAAGTCATTCTTTATTATTGCTTGATCAAATAATATATACATGTACATATATGGTCATGTATAGATGTCAAACTGAGTTTTAATTCTGAACTTCTAATAAGCCAGAGCTCATCAGTAATTTCATTTCTTGCAACCCGCTATGGCTTCCTCTGGTATCAGTTCAGCACCAGCTTCTTCTGTTGCTGATAGATACGACGTTTTCTTGAGTTTCCAGGGTGAAGATGCCCAAAACCAATTTATTAGCCATCTGTACATGGCCTTGGCTGAGAAAGGAATTAAGACCTTCAAAGATGATAAGATGCTTGACAAAGGAGCAGCAATCTCTCCAGCATTATTTGAAGCAATTGGGAAGTCAAGATTCTGTATAGTTGTCATTTCCAAGGGTTATGCTTCTTCACCATGGTGCTTGGATGAACTCAAGAAGATCACTGATACAAAGACAGGTACAGTTTTCCCAGTTTTCTATAATATTGACCCATATGAAGTTCGCAAGCAGACTGGTAGTTTTGGAAAGGCATTTTCTGAGCTTGAAAAGAATTTCTATGGAGATATGGAGAAGGTGCAGGGTTGGAGATCAGCTCTTACCAATGTAGGGAACATGTCCGGATGGGTCGCGGCAAATTATAGGTAATTAATCTTATGATTTTCTATAATCTCTTTTTACTTTACTTTCTCTGAATATATATATTTTTGTGTGTTTCAACTCTGCAGAGACGAAGCCCTGCTTGTTGATGACATTGTCTTACATATTTTGAAAAAACTGAATGGTATTGAAGGTGGACTGGATTCCTGTGCAAAGGAAGTGGATAACCAGTAGAGATGAACGCTTGCTAGTGTTAAGATACCGGCAATAAAAATACGAGAATAATTAAGCAGCGGAAATATTAAAATTGGGACACACAGAAATTTACGTGGTTCACCCTCAACTGTTTAGGGCTTAAAATTGGGAACACAACACACAGAAATTTACGTGGTTCACCCTCAACTGTTTAGGGCTACGTCCACGGGACCGAACTCCGAATATTTTTCTTCCACTATTAAAAATAGTAGGCTTACAAAGAGAGTAATACAAAATAGTGGCACTCACAAGTGTTTCCCAAAACACTCTAAATTATCTTCACTATTTTAACTACCCAAGTTTTAGAACCCGTTCTAAAACTCAAAACTCTCTCTCTTTTATTTTTCTTTCCTTGTTGGTTGCATTGAACTGCGAAGCATCCTCTTCTATTTATAGGAGAGGGAATGAGAGAATAAGAGAGTCGTTTCGTAGTTGGTTGCCAACAATTCAAAGTTTGGCAACCAACAAAGTTTGGCAACCAACCTTTGAATTTCACTCTTTCTTCTTCCGTGGTATTATTGACTGAAAAAAAAAACGTGTTTTATTATTATTATTTTTTTTTCTTTTCACATGTATGTGGGTCCCACTTGAGTGGGCACGCCACCACTAACAAATCTCCCCCTGCACGCTCAAGTGGGGACGTCAGCCATATTCTCCATCATCCCTGCAACTGATCGACAATATTCAAACTTGTCTTTTGGAAGAATCTTCGTTAACATATCTGACCCATTTTCATCTGTATGGATCTTCTCAAGCTGTAACTGCTTCATCTCCAGTACATCCCTGATGCAATGATATCTAACATCAATATGCTTTGACCATCAATATGCTATTGACCTTGGAATGAAAGGAAGGAATTCTTCCCAAGATTGAATCGCGCTCTGCTATCGGCAGAATATCAAATAGTTCCTTGATGAATTCCGAGTTCATTCAAGAACTTCTTCATCCCAGCAACTCTTATGCAAGCTTCTATAAGTGCTATGAATTCTGCCTCAGTTGTTGATAGAGCAACACATTTCTGCCAATCTTGTTGCCACGACACGGCTCCCCTGCAAAATGTGGATTAGATATCCTGATGTAGACTTTCTCGAGTCAACATCCCAGCCATACGCATCAGTATAACCGACTAATAATCTGGCTTCTTCATCTCCAAAGCATAAATCATACTTTTTGTACCTCGAAGATACCTGCAAAATCCATTTCACTGCAGCCCAAATGTCCTTTCCAGGATTTTGAAAGAAACCGACTCACTACTCCGAACTGAGTGAGCAATATCTGGCCTGTGTACCAACCATGGCATACATCAAGCTCCAACTGTGAAGCATATGGGATCTTTTCCATCTCATTCCATTCTCTCCATCCGGTAGAAGGCCACTGTTTTTTTGAGCCTTATTTAAAGTGAATATAGCAAAGAGCGACAGAACTAACCGCTTGTTGGAGCAGTGTCTCCGATTTGGTTGGCGAACCTGGTTGGAAGGGAGTGGACTTTCTCGGGAGATATACTTCTCGTGTGACAACCCATACAGTTTCTTGGGTTCTTCGATTTCCTTGTAATTTCTTTTCATACCAAGAATTTTGCTATTACTGGTTCCCGAAGTCTTTCGCATGAGCAAAGAAGCTTCTTAGCTCGCCCTTTCTTCAAGATATTACATCCTCTGACAGAATTTTCTGACCAACAATCAACATATCATCTACATCTAGAGGCAAGAGAATAACTGTTAATCGATCGATCAGAAGAATTTCTTTATGAGGACACCCAGTGATCTGGAAGGGGTTGGTCTTTGTTGTAACCCGTGTCGCCCCCCATAACAGACTCAACACTTATACTGTGTACCGACTTGTCTTGGTCGCCGTGGCTTCAAGCCATACCAGGCTGCTTCTTCAGTTTACAAACATAATCTCTTTCCCCTTTTTTATGAAAACCCTCTGGCTTGCCTCCATGTAGTATTTCTTCTTCCAGAATCTCCATGGTGTAGAGAAGGCAGTCTTTACAATCCATTTGGCATCGATTTCCCCAGATTAAAAACCGGCGGCCATTCCGAGCACTATAGCCGGAATACGGATGTCAGATTTCACAACGTGGGTGAAATAGATCTCATCAAAATCTATTACCCTTTCTTATGATTGAATCCTTTTCACAACCAGATCCTAGCTTGAATCAGTGGTTGGAGCTGGTGTTTCTTCCTTGCTTGATCCTGAACACCCAACTTGTTACTTACACAAGCTTTCTTGCCTTTGGCAAACTTTACCAGCTCAAATGTGGTTTATTCTCCATGCAAGGATTTGCATGTGTCATCTTGCATGCTGTGCATTCCAGTTCCTTGTTTGGTTCAACTTTCCATTGCTTCTTTTCAAAGACATTATCAGGGTTCTCCCCCGTCAAGTCAATCAATTACATATTTGCGAATTTGTATGAATATCTAGGTAGATGGGTTGTGTCTGATTCTACTTAGCTCTTCTTAATGTTTTGAGAACCTTCTTGTGCTTGGTGGGTCGGCTGAACGATGAAGCACCCCATCAAGAGAATTTGCTTCTGGTTCGATCTGTTGGATAGGGAACTGTCTGATTTTCTAACTCTGGCTCTTGTGGTCTTTAGTGGAAAACATTTTCTGCCTATGTCCAACTGTCTTTGTTTCTGTTGTTGGAGGAAGAGCTGGATTTTGCACATCTGTTTGAATCATCTTCAGAGTCCTATGCGGCATCTTGCTTCTGAGTCTTGGTTGCAAGCATCTTCAATAGTGCTGGTTTGCAACAAATACGAGGCATCTCTTACTTTTCTTGATCATCTTTTTCTGGAGCGTGGATCATAAAATCTTATAGCCAAATTGAATCTTGGAAGCCATAGAGCCAATGAAGTACACGTTATTGTTCGAGTCTTACATCAAGCTTAGACCCTCTTCATCTTAGGAATATGCACGAAGGCTTACAACTCCAAACACCCTTCCAAAATGATGCATAGGAAAACATCCTTTCCTGACCCCATACCTCCTGTTCTGGGAGGTAGTCATACTGATAGAGGAACAACAAAGGTTGAACGATTTATTAAGAACTGGAACTACCTGTAAGAAGCAGCGCTTCCACACCCCCCAAAATCTTTTAAGACAACTTTGGCAACATGTGAGAGGTAAACATGCTGACTCGTCTCCATCAAACGTGGTGGTGTTGCATCCTCTCAGCCAAGACCATTCAATTGCGGGGGTGTCTTGGCGAGGTCGTTGTTTTGATGGCTCGAAATACCAGTGCTGCTTTGTGCCAAGAGGAAAGTGCATCTAAATGCCAGTTGTACTCTCCACATTATCCTGTTCTGATTGCACCTTTAGCTTCTTGCCTGTCTGTCGCTCAAAACCCAAGTTAGAAATTGTTTAAAACATAACTAAAACTGATCTTTGGACTTTCAAAGTTTACCCAGGTCTTCCTAGAATGGTCATCGATAAATGTAAACGAAGTTATCGATTTTCACCATATGACATCGTCAATGGTCCACACAGATAACTGAATGTTACCAGATCTTAACACCATTCTTCATTCTGGAAGAGCTTGAGAAATCTTGAAGGCTACTCTATTTCTGCTTTCCTGGCCATATAATCAGAAATTTCTCTAAATGGACTTTATCCAATCCAGATAGCATTTGTTTTTACCAGAGGTTTCAGTTCTTTCTCAGCTCATGTGGGCCTAGTCGTTGTTGCCACAATTCAACTGCAGGTTGTGTCGCTCTTGCCTACATTTAAACATCTCGGGGAAGAGCTTCGCAGCCTCACTACAGCTTTGGATCTGTTCTCCATTTGCTGCATCACCCATGAACCTGTTTGTGAGGCTTCCACTTCCCATTTCTTTGAAGTTGCTACAGAAATTTTCATCATCAAGGTCTTGCGCAACCGAGATTAAATTGAATGCATATCTGGTAGCATGGCACCCCGACAGTCTTTTAAAATTAATCTCGAAAACCTATTTCTGTTCCAGGCAGATATCTTCCTCTTTACCGACGACTTTACAACAGATATTACCGTTGCTAATCTTGGACCACACCCAAATTTTTGGTGGGTGATTGTTAAGATTGAAAAATTCTTTCTCTTCCGGGACTGTTGCATGAAGTGCTAGCCCCCTCTATCAATTACCTCCAACTGGTTCTCTTGTTGGTTGCAAGATTTGATGTGTTCTTCAATGAACAGTTGGAATTCAGCAAATGACAAATTAGCTTCACATCACTGCTTTCTTTTCTTTCTCTTTTCCTTGCCTTTGATATTTTCTCCTTGATCACTTTTGAACTTTCCGGCAATACCTTTAATGTGCCCCTTCTTCCCACTCAATGATTGGGGGTGGGGGGGGCATAACCCCAAACCCCCAAAATTAATTTGGTGGGGGGGGGGGGGGGGGTGGGCGGCCATAATTTGTTTGATCTACCTCTGCTCTTATCTCTTGTATTTGTTTACTTCTAGTCTTAGCCTCCCTCCCTCTGCCGGCTAATCTGTTGTTATTTCTGGTTTAGCATTCTATATCTTAAAAAAATAAATGTCCTGACTGAGTATGCGAAGGAGGATCTCTGTGCTTTGGTCTCATTTCTTCATTCAGAACAGCATTTTAAACAACATTCACCAGCTAACTCCAACTCTGTGGGTGTAGAGTCTCTAATTCCCAGCTAACTCCACTATGTGGTGTAGAGTTTGTTATTGATATCTTCAGAGTCTCCCAAGACTCTGGTAAGGAGGCAAGCACCATAAGGCCGAGAATTTTATCATCAAATTTTATGCCCATATTTGACAGCTGGTGAATAGTCGCCTGCATTTCACTCAAGTGATGTGCTACAGAAGTACCTTCTTGGTATTTGAAATTCATCAGCTTTGTCAAATAAATAATTGGTTGTTGCCGGATTTTGAGACATATAGATGTTCAAGCTTGTCCCATAATGTTCTGGCGTGAGTCTCGTTACAGATGTGGTTGTACACATTATCATCGACAAATTGTCGAATATAACCACAAACTTGTTTATGCTCGAAAGCCCATTCTTCATCAGTCTTGTCTTCCGGTTTGCTTGCACCAAACACGGGTAGATGCATTTTGGTTACCATAAGAAGATCTCTCATTTTATTTCTCCATATATGGTAATTTGCGTTATTTAAACTGATCATTTTGCTCGTTCTAGCTTCCATGACTTTTGAGTGAATAGTAACCTGAATAGTGACCAGAAATAGTAATAGTATACGAGAATAGTAACTATATGTGTGAATAGTAAATGTACTCGTACATAGTTCTATATATGAATATTGCTGGGCGTAAGAGTGACGGGTTAGCAAAGTAACGCTAGTACTGTTCACCATCAACTTTGAGTTACTATTTTACTATACATCACTAAGTCGATTTTGCAACGTCTTTCCGAGCGAACAGCACCAATGGACTCGTCGTAATTTTCTCTTCATCGTGGTATATTTATTTTTGAAATATATATTTTTTATTTTCAAAATATATCACGGTCCGGTACCGCTATCCTATCCTGGCTGAACCAGGCTCTGATACCACTTGTTAGGACACCGACAATAAAATACGAGAATAATTAGTAAGCAGGCGGAAATGATGTGAAAAGTTGGGACACACAGGAGAATTTACGTGTTCACCCTCAACTGTTTAGGGCTATCGTCCAACAGGATCTAACTATCCGAATTTTTTCTTTCCCACTTATTAAATTATAGTAGGCGTTACGAAAGGAGCGGGGCGTGAATACAAAATAGTGCGGTACTCAGCAAGTGTTTTGCCGCAAAACACCCTAAATTATCTTTCACGTATTTTAACTAAAGCCCAGTTTATAGAACCTGTTCTAAAACTCAAAACTCTCTCTCTTTTTTATTTTTCTTTTCCTTGTTGTTGCAATTTTGAACTAGCGAAGCATTTCCACTCTTCTAATTATATAGGAGATTCTAAAACTCAAAACTCTCTCTCTTTTATTTTTCTTTCCTTGTTGGTTGCATTGAACTGCGAAGCATCCTCTTCTATTTATAGGAGAGGGAATGAGAGAATAAGAGAGTCGTTTCGTAGTTGGTTGCCAACAATTCAAAGTTTGGCAACCAACATTTGAATTTCCCTCTTTCTTCTTCGGCGGTATTATTGACTGAAAAAAAAACGTGTTTTATTATTATTATTTTTTTTTCTTTTCACATGTATGTGGGTCCCACTTGAGTGGGCACGCCACCACTAACAGCTAGTTATTCTGGAGTAGATGAAGTACCTGAAGGTTTAAAAGATAATAATGAATCTGAAACCCATATATGCGGAACCTTTATATGCAGAATTTCCAATTTTTATATTTTATGTTGTCTCTTATTTGAGATTTTCCATCTTGGAAGAATAATATGTATTCTGGAATTTTAACCTTGGAGCCTTATTTTCTTGTTAACTTCGGGGTTTCATCTTATTTGCAGGGCTCCTGCCACTTTATATTGTCATGCTTTCTATAGATTATTAGCTTTTGTTTCTTATTAAATAACACAATCTACAAACGGATTGAGTCTAAGTGCAAAGGACTAAGATTTATTAAATAAGACGTCGAGCATTTCATCCTTATGAAAAGAAAAAATCCCCATTAGAAAGCTTTCCTTTGCGAGCCTATCACGTCGCAAACAAAATTTTGTTTAACCTCATAGAATCTGAACACCTTTAGTGTAACCAAAAAAGAACACAATCATTTCCTTTTGCCTCCCCATTTTCTCCTTTGAATTCTACAAAATGATATTCATAGAACTAATTGACAACTAGGGATTCGAATCCGAATCTATTACTAAATCCTATATGTACTTATCACTAGGCTATGTCTTGATGTACAATTTAATCCTAATTTTAATATTTTTTTTATAATTGCATCCAATTAGTTAAAATTGAAAAATATAATATAATATTTTTAATATAAAAAAAAGTATGAAAGCTTTTTTTCCCTTCTTCCTTTCTCTTCTACTGTTCTCTTCTACATTTTTTAATATGACTGAACCAAATAGAAACAGTTAGGCCATACAAACACATTAACTCAAAGAGTAGCCATGAAAATTTTTTGAGATAAATATGCAGTTATTAGTTGCAGCAATCAAATCTTATCATAGGATACAATAAATGGTTGGATCACTGGGGATACATGTGTATAGATATCATGGATGGATACTGATAGTTCAGTCCTCATGGATGAAGTAAATACTCATTGGAAGTGCTTTCCTTTTAGCAATCGATCCGATGAGTACATGATTTAGGGTCTGTTCAATAAAATTAACTATTTTAGTATTGTTTGTTTTAGCGGTGTTTACGCTAAAAGCTAAACGTTACGTGAGTTAATTTTTTATATTATCCTCTAAAAGCTAATTGAAACACTATATTACCGAACACTATAAAAAATAGCGTTTAGCGTTTTGACTAAAGCTATTTAAAAAGCTGTTACCGAACACAAACATAGTCCTAATCCAGTAGGCTTTATTGAAATTTATGGTTTTATTGGGTACATATACATTTCCTTTTATATTTCATTATGTTGAAGTTGTCATCTGAACTCTCAGCATTCTTAATTATGAATATTCTGGATATATATTTAAATTTTTTATTCATTATAACGACTGCAATGACATATTATTCTTTGACTATTAATTTATTTATCATTTTGATTGACAGGTCACATGGTTCATCATACCTAATCAATTAAATTTCTTACAGTATATGAACACTTTGAATTCTTATGAACATTATGAATTTCTTGAATATATATATAGAATTCGGTAAGAAAGAGAACTATTCATGTCAGATGCATCGTTGATGACAGCTAATGCAAAATTAATTATTCTTATATTCATAGACTTGATTAAACCTAAGATGCTTTTGAAGTCAATTTTTATGTTAGTTTTGCTTAATCACATCGATCTTATTATTACAAGTCTTTTACAGATTAAATCTACACTTTTTAACTGTTTTATCATACTAACTGATCATTAAACATGTAAAAACCTGTTGTATAAATGATCATATGCATGCACATTGAATATATTTTTAAATTATATTTATTCAGTTTATTTTTACAAACTAAAACAATCTGCTAATTTCTTTATCATGACAGGATTTGGTAAGGTTAATGAATTTTACCCTATTAATCTTAAAATATTTCATATATTTTCTGTATCCATGTGCGTGGTTCTGAAAATATTTCACATCATAGTGTTTAATAATTAAGGATGTAATTGCATGAAAACTTTTAATTGGAATTGAATTGCAAAATGGATAAAATTATAGTAACACATACAATTTTTTACTGAAATTACTTGTTTAGACGGGATCAATGGCTCCACCTACAGACTAAACCAATAAAATTAAAGATTTTTTAAAAGTGATGTGACTGTTTTTTTTTAATATACGATCAAAAATACCTTTATTTTATAAAAATTTTCAATTTCATTAATTTAATATGTGTGGCAATGGACCCGTCCGTCGCATGGTTCACACTAAATATCCTGATTTTTTGGATCCTGTACTATCCTAGGAGGTCAGTGCCATTGCAGATTATCTTAATTTTTTTATTTTCATCTTTGGTTGATTAATTTATATATTTTTTTATTATTATTTCCTCTGCCATAAACAACATTGCTTGTTTAACCACTACCCAGGGCATGTGAGGATCCGATTGAGGCACTGACTTTTATTGATTGCTGAAGGTTGAAGATGAAGTTACATGGCACTTTCCCGAGAAAACCAGAAGAGTATCCTGTTGTTACTTGTAAGAACGATTATAGTTTTTTTTTTTTTTTTTTTTTTTTTTTTTTTTTTTTAATTTATATATTTTTTTATTATTATTTCCTCTGCAATAAAACAAACATTGCTTGTTATACCACGTACCCAGGGCATTGTGAGGATCCGATTGAGTCACTGACTTTTATTTGATTGCTGAGGTTGAAGATGAGTTACATGGCCCACTTTCCCGAGAGAAAACCAGAAGAGTTTCCATGTTGTTACTTGTAAAGAACGGATATATAGTTTTTTTTTTTTATTTTTTTTTTTTTTTATTTTTTTTTTTTTTTTTTTTTTTTTAATAAAAATCGCTCAGCTGCAAATTCTTTTATTATTTGTCAGTTGACTTGTTCAGCCTTCTGCATGTGAATTGTCTAAGTCAAATTTTCTCTATTCCCTTAATTAGCTATAAATTGCTTCAGCGGAAATGGTTATGTTAATAATTTCAAACAATTTCAGTTCCCGTACGTCCAGTTATTCCATTTCTTGTACTCTCCTATGGGTTCTAACCTCAGCACCGGTGGAGATGCGGACCGTTCTACCGTGGCTCCTGCAGCTAAGACTGCTGAAAATTCGGCTTTTGCAACTTCTCCTATGGCAGCTTCTTCTTTTTCTTCTGTAAGTGTGGATTCTATGACCGTAAATTCTGCAACTGCAGCGGTCATAACCTCTAATTCTGCTACCGTGAAAGCTCACGTGAGTGCTCCGGAGACTGCAAAAGTGGCTGTTGCTTCCAGTTCTTGGGAACATGACGTTTTCTTGAGTTTCAGAGGTGAAGTCAGGCACGAGTTTGTTAGCAATTTGTATAACGCTTTGACTGAAAAAGGGGGAACATGACGTTTTCTTGAGTTTCAGAGGTGAAGTCAGGCACGAGTTTGTTAGCAATTTGTATAACGCTTTGACTGAAAAAGGAATTAGAACCTACAAAGATGATAGGAGCCTCGACAAAGGGAAAACAATCACTCCTGCACTCCTTAAAGCGATTCAGGAGTCAAGGTTTTGTGTCGTAGTTCTTTCTGAGAAGTATGGTTCTTCCTCTTTTTGCTTGGATGAACTCATGAAGATCACTGAACGTATCCCAGATTCAGAGACGGATGAACAGAAATATACAATGAGAGATACAGTTTTGCCAATATTCTACAATGTGGATCCATCAGATGTGCGCAAGCAGACTGGTAAGTTTGGAATAAAATTTGCCAAGTCAATATCTAAATATCCTGAGAAGGTGGAGGGGTGGACATTAGCTCTTCTAAAGGCAGGAAACAAATCTGGATGGGATGCGAGAGATAGGTAATACATTCAATTCTATGATTACTTTGTTCATGTTCATTTTGTAGTTGCACTCTGAACACTCTGCTTATAATCTTCTTCAATTTCTGAATTCTGAGCACCTTAAATTGTATTCTGTCAGTCTTTTATCTTTCAATCAGTCTCTTTATGTTTTTATTTGACCTTTTCATTGCATCCATTTCCAATTCTGCAGAGATATTCCTACTCTTATTGATGAAATTGTAATCTATATCTTGAAAAAATTGAGTCGTACGTCCCCCAAAAGAGCTAAACACCTAGTTGGAATGGATTCCAGAGTAGAGGAAATGAAATCAAAATTACATCTGGGGCTGGACGATGTTCGCATAGTTGGTATATGGGGAATGGGAGGAATTGGTAAAACAACCATAGCTAAAGCTGTTTATGACAGTATATATCGCCAATTCAAAAATGATTGTTTTCTTGAAAGAGTTGGAAAAGTGGCAGAAACATTCGGTCTTCAACATTTACAGGAACAGCTTCTTTCCAAACTGTTAAAGGAAGATATCCAGACAATAAGAAACCTGGGTGGAAATTTTGATGCAATAAGGGAAAGGTTACAGTATATGCGTGTCCTTATTGTTCTTGATGGTGTGGATAATGGCGAAGAGATGGAAGCCTTAGCAGCGGACCATGACTGGTTTGGTCCTGGTAGTAGGATTATTATAACAACTACAGATCGCAACTTACTACTTGCACATGGAGTGGATGAAATTTATGAGCCTAAAGGTCTAAACCATAATGAATCACATTCTTTGTTCACTCAATATGCCGTCAAGAATAGCTATCCTGTAGATAAATTCATTAAATTCATGGAGCTCTCACGCCTTATGGTGAAGTATGCTGAAGGTGTTCCTTTAGCTCTGAAGGTTCTTGGTTCCTTTTTAGCTCCCAAGAATGAAACTGAATGGCAAAGTGAATTGCTTAAACTTGAAAAATATCCGAATATAAAGATCCAACAAGTGCTGAAGATCAGTTATGATGGGCTTGATGATCCGCAAAAATATACATTTCTTGATATTGCATGTTTTTTTAACGGGGAGGATAAATCTTATGTGGTGAAAGTATTAGAAGGCTGTGGATTCCATGCAGATGGTAGTCTGAAGGCTCTCGTTGATAAATGTCTGATTACCATTTTAGATAATAAGATATGGATGAATGGTTTACTGCAAAAAATCATGCAGATGGTAGTCTGAAGGCTCTCGTTGATAAATGTCTGATTACCATTTTAGATAATAAGATATGGATGAATGGTTTACTGCAAAAAATGGGACGGGATATTGTTCGTCGACAGTCTCCAAGAAAGCCCGGTGAACGCAGCAGATTGTGGGATCACGAAGATGTGTACCGAGTGTTGGAAGAAAATGCGGTGAGAAATCATTCCCATGAAAGTTAATTCTTTTACTTGCAACTTGCAATTTTACATGCTTAAATGATTTTCTAAGACTATCTCTTCCCTATATTACATGCTTAAATGATTTTCTAAGACTATCTCTTCCCTATATGTGTTGCAGGCGACAGACAATATTGAGGGTATGATCCTGGATTTGTCTAAAGTAGACAATTTAGTTATTGATACCGAAGTCTTCTGGAGGATGAAGCGCCTTAGAGTGCTTAAGATCTGCTATGTTGACCATTCTGGGGGTTTTGAATACCTAACCCAAAATTCAAGAACATATGCTATAAGGCCACCCAAAAAGTCTCGTGCAATTCTTTATGGAGATTTTTCAAAATTGTCTAACGACTTGCGGTGCTTGTATTGGCATGGATGTCCCCAAGATTTGCCATCAAAATTTTATCCAGTGAACCTTGTTGAACTCAATATGTCATACAGCAGCATAACAAAGCTTCCAACAGAAAGCAAGGTATTGTTGTCAAGTATTTTCATTCTGGTCTATATGATGTGAGATTCACGGCCAAGTAGTTTGATTTTCTTTTTTATTTGACAGTGTTTCGACAATTTGAGGTTCATCAAACTCAGTCACTGTCAGAAACTCACTATGACACCAGATTTTTATGGGGTCCAAAAGCTTGAGATACTTATTCTCGAAGGGTGCAAAAGTTTAATACAGGTTCATCCGTCTCTGGGTTCTCTCAAAAGCCTCAGATTATTAAATCTGAAAGACTGCTCACTTCTTCAGTCCTTTCCAAGTGAACTTCGCACAATATCTCTGGAGATTCTCATACTCTCTGGATGCTCACTGCTTAATAAATTTCCTGAGATTAAGGATAATATGGAAATCTTGTCAGAGCTTTTTCTAGATGACACTGCTATACAAGCACTACCTTCATCTATTGAAAAGCTTACGGGTCTTGTTCTTCTGAGTGCCAAGAATTGTAAATATCTTTGGGATCTTCCAACAAGCATTGGACATTTAAAGCATCTGAAGAGTACTTATTTTTCAGGATGCCCCAATCATTACACATTGCTAAAGGAGCTACAATGCCTGGAGAACTTGGAAGAACTTTATCTAGATAAAGTGACAATAAAAAATCCACCACTCCCTATCTGCTCTTTTACGAAGCTTAAAGTACTTTCATTTCGTGAATGTGAGAATTTTCCATTTGTAAACACAGAACAGAGTCTGCCAGAAGAAAATAGAGAGAATTTGTCACCATATTTTTATGGCAGTTTATCCTGTTTAACAAGTCTTGATCTCAGCTACTGCAATTTGACAGAAGTATCAATCCCTAAAGAATTTGGCCTGTTAGAGTCTTTGAAGGAATTAAATCTGAGTGGAAACTACTTTTACACATTACCCTGTTTTAAACGAGTCCTTCTGATCTCGAGCTACTGCAATTTGACAGAAGTACAAAATCCCTAAAGAATTTGCCTGTTAGAGTCTTTGAAGGAACTTAAACCTGAGTGGAAACTAACTTTACACATTACCCTCTCCAAACTTTTGAAAAACTTAAGAAATCTAACAAGTTATTTGTTTGGCGAATGTTAATCAATCATTGTCTCAGTGCATCTCTTTCCGCTCCGAAGACACATTGTGTAGAAGCACAAAATTCCCAGAACTAGGTCAGTGGTATGCACCAAGAATCGAAAGGTTCGTGAAGAACTATTTCAAATTTTATGAATGTTTCACTTGGTTCATGTTTTATGGGGAAAAAATGTGAGCTTCTTGCAATAAAGGTAGCACTTGAAAGGCTGCTGAAAACAGTCAATGTTTTCCGCAAGGTCTGTTTACTCTATTTGTTTTCCCTCTTGTTCATGGTTCTTGATTGATTTTTGTCATCGAACGTTCCCCCTTTTCCTTTCTCAACAAATAAATTGTTCTTGTTTTGTAATGAATGGCAGGTTATTCATTCACGTGAATTTACTGAGTTATTTTCTGGAGTGGGATTCCAAAGGTGTGGGTCTGAAAGGCACCGAGCTAGAGTCCACCCTTCAAAAGAAAGTATCAATCTGCCTGAGATTGGGTACACATTACACAGAAAGTTTGAGGGGTTAGCTTTTTTGGGCATGTTTTTTGAAGTCGATGAATTATGACGTCCTGGATAATATACAATCCATGGACCATGCAATCGCGGATGTTGAACTTTATTTTGTGCATAACTGAACTAAAAGGGTGATTCCTGATAACTGGATTTTTTATAATATAGACCATGGACATGCAATGCGGATTTGAACTTTATTTTGTGCATAACAACTACAAGGTGATTCCTGATACTGGATTTTTTATAAATAGAAGTAGCAAGGTTAAGTCAGATCATTTGTGGTTGCATTATATACCGTCATGTTCATTCAGTACGACAAGGAAGATGGGTAGTTGGACGGAGCTAAAGGCTGTTCTGCACACTCGTGGCAAAGGCTTGCGGGTGAAAAAGTGTGGCCTATTCCCAATGTGCTGTTTGTCCAATGGGAAAGTTGTTATTTAGCGAGCGTTTGTTTTAGCTTTTTTGACGCAGCGGACAGCTAATTGGACCCAACAGCTAGATTGAAAATATTTGGATAGGATTCTAGTCAGGAATTAATAGCTGATAGAACTCCTAATACACTGCTGATCCCATCAGCTGGACTTACGGAGCTTTTTACAAACTGCTATTAGGATAAACTAAAATATCATCATATTGCTAATAACACAACATATCTTATCGTGATATATTTAGCAATAGAGATGACACCTAGTCAAAAGAAATTCAACCAGAAATTGAAGCAGTTCACACGAGTGTCTTACATGATCAAATTGCTCACAGCTTAATGTAAAAAAATAATAATTAGATAGGTTTTATTAATATGTTTATTAATATTTAGATACATAATTTTATCAATATGGTCATAGATTTTATTAATTAATATATTTAGTTTAATTAATTTTATTTTTTTTATTTTTTAATTCATTAGAAATAGATTAGAAATATTTTATAAGTAAATCTTAATTTATTTAAAAATAATCCTTATTGATAATTTTACATATTAACAGCAACAACTGATTATAGATGATATCAGCTTTCAGCAATCGTTATCAACTGTCTAAAACCGTTAAACCAAACAGGCCCTTAGATGATAGTCGAGGTAAGATTTTTTTTTTTTTTTTTTTTTTTTTTTTTTTTTTTTTTTTTTTTTTTTTTTTTTTTAAATTTAGGGATAAAAGTTATTACAATAGAAAATAATTTCTCATTAACTTTTTGCCAAAAACCACGGACAAAAATAAAGAGGTGAAGAATGATTTTATTGGATGCAATTGCTTCCCGTAGAGGTTAGCTGGTTTTGCTGTAAGGAAATTTTTGTCTACACCTGGTGCATAGGTGGTTTACATACACCTAGTCAATCATTATCCAATGGAGAATTCCTCATGTTTACTTTACAATTCAGAATTCCTAAGGGTGTCGGGTTTAACATGAATTTGCTTAAAACGCGACACTATTAGGTTAATACGAACATGACCCGTTTAATAATCGTGTTAAATTTCTCAATACAAACATAATATGAAAATTAAACAGGTGACATGAACATGACATGTGTAATCCACCTAATATCATAAGCAGGTTAAGTGAATTGTATTGACTCGTATATGATCCATGTAACCCGTCTAATATTATAAACAGGTTGAGTGGGTCGTATTAGCCTGTATATGACCCATTTAACCTGCTCATGATATTTTTAAGTTTTAACATTTTTGACTCAAATCATATTTAAAAATAAATTTTATTCCAAGATTCATAACTAAAGTAATAATAAATTAATAAAACAATAAATTTTAAACAGGATTTTAGTTGTGTATTTATATTTGATACTAAAATTATCTCTTTGCCCTAAAGTAAACGGGTTACTCGCCTAACCCGCGTGTCAACCCGTGACACAACACGTTTATATTCGTGTCATAAATAGTTGATCAATTTATGACACGAACTCGTTTAACCTTAACCCTAACTCGTTTATTTCACGTGTTAGACTGAAACACCCCGTAATTTTATTTTCAAAACTTTCAAATTTTTATTAAATCAAAAATCCGAATTTTTGACGGTATGGGCCGTAAATAGTGAACAATTCAAAATAACTTTCAAAATTTTATTAAATTTCAAAAATCCGAATTTTTGACGGTATGGGCCGTAAAATAGTGAATCCAAATCCTTAATTGAATTCAAGTTTTTGCCAAATTGGGCCTCAAGCCCAAATATATTGATCGAAAATTTTTGAATTTAAGAAACAGTAAAATTTCGAGTTAAATATATATGAATACTCTAAGCAAATTAATCTATTGTATGTGTATATAGTAGATTAAAGTTTTTTTCCCGAAAAAATTCAAATATGATTACTAATTATATTTTTAATTTTATTTAGTTAGTGGAAGAAAATGTTTACCAGAACCTAATTAACAAACAAATAGAATCAACCGGGAATCGCGAAAACCAAATTGGATTTGTCCGAGCGACGCATCTTGAATTTTCTGAAAAACTCCAACAGTGAAAAACCTGCAAATCGAGTAAAAAATCGAAGCCGAATCAAATTAATTAGACCATACCGGTTCGTAGATCAGAACCGTGAATGGTCCTAGAGCAAGATTTTTCTTTCGTTTCTTCTTTTTTTTCTTTCTTTATAATCGAGTAAGCAAGTAACTGTATGTATAGAAAGGCCTATGTATACGACTCAAACAATTAGTGATCGCAGTTGTAAGATTTATTTACATTTTAGTCGTGTAATTATTATACGACGAAAATTAAATTTTGTGAGGCCCATTATTTAAAAAAGTGATGTAATTGTTAGATTAGGCTCAAATGTGGAATGTGGTAGCTGATAATTTGGGCCCGAAATTCTAGTAAAATGCTTGAAGGTTTAGTTTCCTGTGACAAGTATGGACTGAATTTTTAAAAATTAGTTGAGGTATGTAAATTTTTAGTATTTTCGAGGCTACTACGGGCTCGGGGGCCCTTAAGTTACCTGGCCTAGTTGCGCGGTCCGGCCCATGGAGATCGGCATGACAAAGTTGGTATCAGAGCTTAGGGGTAGGGTTCTAGGACACAACTGCGGAGCTATGGAAATTTCTTTATGTTTGGGATTCGCCGTAACTCAAAACATTAAGGAAGGTAAAACCTTTGTAAATTCCCTCTCTAGGGATTGGTGGATCCGCACTAGACCCTATGAGGTGGAAAAACCCAACTACCTATTTGTGTAAATAAACCAAAAAAATCATTAATAATAAACTATTAGAAAGATAATTGACGATTAGAAAGTGGAAAAGTAGCTGGATAGTAGGATGAACCCATTGCAATACCCATAGGGGGCTCAGAGGTTGGTATCAAACCTTAGGCCCTAGGGAATTGAGAGTAAATATCTGTTTGTAGTAGAGATTGGTCCTGATCACCCAGTACACTAAACTTTACTATGTTGAAACTCTATTCTACAGTGCATACAGATGAGTTATAGAGAATAAAATAGGTTTTTCATTGTGTAATGGCAGCATTATGTGATGGAACTTTTTGAATGATTTAGGTGAACTGGGTATTTTATACTTCCAGCTCAAGCTACCTATACCTGGAAATTTCTTTAGATTTATTCAAAAGATAAATCTTTTATTGTTTTATTTACTTTGATATTTGATATCTTAAGATTTTAAAACCTCCCAATTTTTAAATTTTGAATTCGAAATTTGTGTTATGATAAATAAATTTGAAAATTGACTTATTTAATTATAGAAAATTATTTTTGAAAGTTGTCCTATTTATATCCCCGGGGCCAATTGGGGAAGTTAGATCCATAAAATGAAACGATTTGCGAGGAATAAGTACATTTAAAGGAAGAGTTTGGAAAGAGAAGAATAAGACAAGTGGTATGATTGAATATTAAGTAAGTAGACATTTAAGGTCAGCTATAGTAAGGAACATAAACATTGGAAAGGGTTTGAGGAGAAAAATTTTGTTTAGAAGCTAGACTGCAACCAGAGTTAGAGTGTAGGACTGTTTAATGTAATAAATGGGAGAAATAACATTAGAAATGGACTGGAATGATTTAAGGGTATAGAAATTATATATGTAACGAGTTGTAATATATACATGAGGAGTAAGTGGTAAAAAAAAAAAAAATTTTTTTTGAGGAATTCATGAATACCTTATTAGACTTTGATAAGGAAAAAGATTGGTTGAAAATCCTAAAGTCAAAAATGAAGTTAAAGATAGATAAAATAAGTAAGTTGACATATGGAGTGGATTCATGTTGCAAATATAATTGATAAAGGTATAGAAACATGTAGATTATTGCGACTATTGAAAATTTTAGTATGGTAGCAACTGTAATTGAGAAAATTTTAGTAATGAGTAGCAACTGTTTTTAGCCAATTAGAGTGTGAGTTGTGGTAATAAAAGTGAGGACTTGATAATT